TTTTTATAACCTTTTCTCTCCTAGTTGCTTATCCTCTTGTTTGTGATCCTGTCCTGTCTGTCTTGGTTGTTTGTTGATGGGGTGCCTTCTGCGAATGATGCCACATCTTCTCATTCGGTCTTAACTCACTTTAGCTGTTATTATTCAGTGTTGATACTACGTCGCAACTGTCCCGCGTTCTTTCTCGAGACAGGTGCTTCCCCTGATAATTCCCTTCTCTTCCAGCCTGGTCGTTCACTCCCCGAGCCATTTTGGTCTTGGAAAAGGTGTCGATTCTTCGTTTTGCGACTTCTTTTTTTAAAGGTATTCCTTTATTCCTTTAAAGCCATGGAATACCACCTACCAGATCAGCAAGGAAGACAGAGTGGTGACTGGTGCTGGAAAGTTAACATTTCCTCTCTTCAACATGTAACAGTTGAGTACAGTCATTAGCATAGGCTAAAGCTTCAGAAATGAGTAGTAGTTTATGTAGACATTCCACAACATGGGGCTAAGGACATCGCTTCAGCCTGGATAATGGTGCTGCTTTAATTAATTTATTAACACCTTTCCTATTCAATGATGGTCCAAGTACAAAAAACTGAAATTTGTTACATTTCAAAGTACAATATAGTACTGTATTGTCAACAGTAACAATGGAAAGAAGTTGACCAAACCACACGCTAGAAAGTGAAGGGACGATGATGTCTCGGTCCGTCCTGGACCATTCTCAAGTCAATTGTGTGGAAAATGTGGACAGGCATGAAGGAAAAGCATGAACATGAGTCCAGTAGGTTTATTTTTTAATAAGCAACTCAAAGAGGTTACATTAAATATATCACACATATTACAGTAATAATAATAATAAAACAAAAAGTGTACTCTGAAGTTTTGTACATGCAATTCTAAATTTTTTTTTTTTAAAGACCACTTCAGTCAGAAAAATTACGAAATCACCCGTGTTGCCCTCATTTTGCATAAACGGAATTAAATCAAGCCTATCTAGCATTCTGGAAAAAACAAATTGAATGGTAATACTGTACAATATAGAATTGAACTCTGGTACTTTTTTTTTTTCCATTTAAAAAAATACAATATTTTTAGATTCTCATGTTTGAAATATCTCTACCTTAAGTTTTCTTTGGCATTGAAATCTACACTTTGTGAAGCTCAAGTGTTGCATGTACTGGTGGTCATACATAGGTTGCATAGATGGTGTATTGGATTTTTTAAATACTGTTGTTTGCCAGCTTTCCATATGCTTGTCAATGCTATGCTATTAGTGCTGAAATTATACCCACTAGTCTTTCTTTTCCCAGTTCCTGTAGTTGCGTTTTCTTTATGGTGCAAATTCCTTTTGATCTCGTATCTTCATTACCATACACTTGTTGGGACTGAACTATTGTAACCCTATGTGCCCATTCCTGAACTTTATGAATGTTTTCTTCAATGCTAGACACACTTGGTTTTCAACTTCATTAGCTTTGTCATATTGCAGATGCACCCCACCCTTATAAACAAAGGCCAAAGTCCATTCTATGCACCCACCAAATCCTCTGTTTATGAATGAAAAATGATTTACACACGACTCGCAACTAATGACGTCTGAACACTTCCAAGATAAGTGCTTCGCTGACGACTTTTGGTCGAACCACAATGCTGTAATTGCTTCACCGACATACTACAAATACAAATAATCTCCAACAGAACCTAAACACCTAACAAACGCTTAAATATGCTAATACCAGTATATAATGTTTTATGTTTGAGAAAATTCCTATTTTGAATGAACAGCATGTTAAAATTTATGAATGCATTTTTGGGGTCGACTGCTGGATGGAATGGACTTGTCTGAGGATGGGATGGGCAGATGTGATTAGGTTTGCCTGGTCAAGTTGCCTGAATCACATCAAACTAGTAGTTTAATCAGAAAACTACTTTGTCTTAGTGATGAGCAAGAACAGTTTGGGAAAGCTCAGTGTTTGGTTTTCCTTTGTTGGGAACAGAAAGCCTGATAGTCTTATTGAAATCCCCCAAGCAAATAACTGACCATGTCCTAAGATGCAGCTTATAACAGATGACACACTCTTAGGTATCTATTTACTGTTAAAGAGCCACAAGATACAAATAATTATAGAAAAACGACATCTAGCCAGCAAGACTATGTAATTGGATAAGGTATGTATATGGAAACTTGCAAGTCTCATCCTGCCCGGAAATTCGACCCAGAAGCTACCAGTTGAGAATTATAAAGCTTTCCTCCAATGCCTTCTTTGCATCAGTATGACCTGGTAGACATACTGAAAAGATCCATGTTGTGTGAGCCAAATGTTACTCTGCCCTGGCAATTGAAACTTGTCAAATTGAACACCGAGGTTGAAATTACATTTTAAATAATTAAGATGAAGGTTGGGGGGATCCAGTCTTAGTGACAATATGAAAAAACATTTATCATTGGCAAGTGTATACATGTTATTTATGCAGTACAGTATGTTTATTGTTGGGAGAAGCTACAGTCTTGGAAACACAGATCAAGTATATTTGTTCTGTAAACTAGAGTTGAAAATGGGCAACACTGGGAGGTATATGGAACTTGTCCACTTTTTCTGATAAAGGGCCTAAATTTTAAAACTATTTATACGGGGATTTCCAGTATTGGTGACCATTTGCATTAATTAGTAAGTTAAGTAAGTATTAACAAAAAAAGGCACCAAACCGGGAAGGTTATGTAGCACCATCAAATGTGCGGAATAATCAAAGGGCGCTAAATATCACCAAGGATGCCAATACGAGAACAAACGCATAAAGGGAACTACGTATATCAAAAGTATCCAATTCACCAAGAATTCTATCGAGGGACAAGCGACCGCAAGGGACAGTCGGAAAGCAAGACACGCACGCCCCGGAAGTCAGGACATTTCAGCAAGGATATGCACGACCATAAGAGGGACCAGGCAATTTGGACAATAAGGGGCAGGGCGGCGCTCCACTAAGTGACCGTGAGTTAAGCGTGTATGGCCAATATGCAACCTCGCTAGAGCCGTTTCCCACCGCCAGTTACGGTGGTAGGAGGAAGGCCATGAGGACACACTACTCTTAAGAGAACGCAGTTTGTTACCATTAACAAGACCAACAATCCTGCCAACAGGTAAGGATGGAGGAACGAATAACTGGGTAAAAGTTGGAATAAGGAATACCTCTACGGGAGACGAGACAAGAGCGGACAGCTTTCCTAGTGGCAGCGTCCGCACACTCATTTAAAGACACCAATATGGCTGGGAACCCAGCAAAACTTAACTGACTTAAATTTACTGGAAATAAGAAACAGCCAATGCTGAATCTTTACAACCACTGGATGGACCAGATTAATTAATTAGGTTAAATGGCTTAGGATAATTAGCCAGGATATGTATAGATACTTGAAGGAATATCCTGTGGTGCAGCAAGTATTGTACTAAAGTACCTACATGACATCAGCTTTTGGCTTGATTATACGATTTCTTTTATGCCATCTTTGCATATAAAAAAATTACCAGGAAATGTAGAGACCATATACAGTAGTCCTTCACAACCCTGGATCACATTGTTCAAAACCCATTCCAGATTTCATAAGTTATATGTAGGTCCAGGATTTTTTGAGGATTTGTAGATGCAATAAATGGCTTAAAATCTGCAGTTAATTATATTTATCATACTGAAAATATACAAGCAATATAATATAAGAAAATATAAGAAGCAACCTATTTTGAAATTATTAAGTGGGAAAAAAATAAAAATTCAGTCATATCAAACATTAAATTGCCTTGTAGAGAAACAAATTCAAGTTCAACTCCAATAGAGCAAATTACTCACAGCAGCAAAACATTTAGAGTTTTCAAAATTCTGTATTTGAAAAGTGTGTAAGTACAGTAAAGTACCTGTACACTATTAGTTCTACAAAATTTCATTTTTCAATCCTTAAGACAGACTTCTTAATAACACTTTGGCGTACCCCGCGCGCCACCCCTCAACTGTGCGATTTGGGTCCCAGCGTTTCATGGGAGCGCGCATTAATTCTGAAAAGTGTATACTCTCTTCAACTTTGTCACCTCAATTCTCGTCCTACGAGATTAAATTTGGTATCATTGTGTTCGCAATAGAATTCTCTACAGCACTAAATGCATATAAACTCACTTTGAACTCGCATAAACTTTCTCTGTATAAACATACTGTACAGAGAAAGTGCGAACGAGTTACCCAGGAGCGCACAAAAGCGATAAAATGTGTTCACTCTTTTCACTCTGGTCACCTCAATTTTCGTCCTAGGTTTTTCATTTTGGTATCAATGGGTTCGCAATAAAATTCTCTAGAGGAATATTAGCATATAAAATAAAAAAAACCTGGTCACACTCCACCCGCCGACGAGTTGAAGACAGGCCACGCGTTAACGGCAAGTGAGCGCCCAGACGCCTTCCAGCTACACTCCCAATTCCTGCACACAAATGTTTAGTACTGTATTTAGTATATTTAGTATTATAGTTTAGTATTTTTTGTGTAGTAGTTGTACATCACATAAGCATTGTAGATAGCCATTTGCACAAAATAGGTAATTTTCTTCATCCATTTGAGTTTTCCTCATGAAGTGATAAAATTTGATCATTTGGTCAAAGTGATCAACATCTTTCATGTTTGTATTGTAGTCACAGATTGCATTCGGCTTGTTGACAGTTACCAAACGGTCCCCAAAAAATCGGATAAAAACCCGATTTTTGGCAATTATTTTAGTGGACGACGCAGCATTGCGTCATCCCCGAGATTACCGACAGTAAACGGATGACGCAATGCTGCGTCATGCCCGGACTAAAGTGTTAAATTAAAAACTTTAATGTACTCTACTGCATTTGTGTGCTTTTTAAATTATCATTAAATTATCATTATCAAATTATTCATAAAATGGACTACAATACTTTATATACACAGTGCTACTAAATTCCTGTAAAATGTAGCTATTTCTTTGAGACAGGATCAATAAAAAGAAGGTGTCATTTTAATACTTTAAAAAATATGCATAGCGAGCTTCAAAAACAAACTGGTTATCTCTATGTACAAAGAAAATATAGTAGCAACTCCAAAACTTTTGTAGCATAAAACCAGAACTACAGACTAATCTCAATTATAATACAGTATAAGAGGCCTTTCAATGTCTCATATCCAAATTGGGAAATGCACCTTATTTGTATTTAAAAAATAAAGTGTGATGGCCCAATTTGCATCAAACATTTATACAAGTTCATTGCAAGTTGTGATTACCAAACCACACATCAGAAAACAAAAACGTTTCGGTCTGTCCTGGGCCATTATCATGTCCATGATGGGTTCGACGTGATATATCACGTGGTCCAGGAGGGACCAAAACATCAGTTTCTTTATTTTCTGGTGAGGTTTGATCATCACGAACAAATCCACAAGGGCCGTGACGAGGATTCGAACCTGTGTCCGAGAGCATCCCAAACGCTGCCTAGGACGATGACTGAGCTACGACATGGTCAAAAAGAGTTGACCGTGTCCTCATCATGGCCCTTGTGGATTTGTTCATTTGATGCATTGTGATTTCCGTGTGTAATTGATTATCATAACTTTAGCCATGATACTGCGATTCATTGTCTGCATTTAATCTTTCTTTTGAACTTGCAATGAAGTAGTTTAGCACATTTGTAAAAGTAGACTTCTGGAATGCAAAAAATTGTTTCAGAGACAAGAATGCAAATTTCACTCGACAAAAAATATGAAATCGTGCAATATTGAATATGTACCAAATTTAAATTAAATTTTCAGGATTTTAAGCAATTTGATAAATATAAAAATATGCATACCAGGACCTCTTATTATCTGATCTATATAAATATATTTAACACAGTTTTTGCATTCGAGGTAGAAATCTCATTCACTAGGCCTCACATAGATCACTAAATAATTAAGCTTCAACTGTATTAATAAACCATAAGAAACTGTTTAACACAAAGTAATAAAAACAAAACGGTACTCCAATAAAACTTTTACAAAAATACTTTGATAGTCCTTAAGGTAACAACTTTGATTTGCATAACTGGAGAATATTAATATACTGGATTGTATTAAGCAATTTGTGTCAATAAATGGATTCTTTACTTTCAGGATTATGCTATGCTAGAAATTTTTTGATATATTTACAGTAGCAAGATTCATAATGCAGAGGTTCAGTTTATGATGTGCAGTCTTGTACATCAATTTTCTCTTAGGTTTTATTTGTTTTTTCTGGAATAGGTGGAATTAATTCCAGTTTTTCAATATTCTGCCAAACTTTGCTTGTGCATGTCTGCAATAATAAAGCAAAAAGGGAAAACAGTAAGTACCAAATGCCTAAAGCTCTAAACTGCATAAATAGACTTACACCTTCTGAATATAATTTTATAAACATTTCAGAAATGCAAAAGCCTATAACCATTAAAGTGGAGAGTAGAGCGGATGAAAAATTTATAGCCAGTGAACAGATGCAAGATGAAACCCAGCCAGTTAAATAAAATAAAGAGTAAACTCATTTATATTGTTTCTGATGGAAACTTGGGCATGTTAGACCATAATGATACACTAACCTAATTATATTTTTAGCCCATATTTAACATGTTCCCAAGCATTATATAATTATCATACGTGTGTGTATTTACTGTGATAAATAACCAAATTGTGCATTACTTACACTAAGAGGAACTCTCTCTTCACCTGGAGCAGTGACCAACCCACCAGTACGAATATACCATTTGTGAAGCTTCTGGTTGAGCACCCATAATGTTTGAATAAGTAGGTCCTGCATATCTGTGTCTTTTTGCAACATTTCCCGACATTCCACCTAAAGTCACAAGAAAATTTTAACAGAACAGGGTTAAGCACACTATAAAATTATAGAGTACAGGTACTGAATATATTACAGTATATGAAAATATATACTATATCTGGCCACAACAAAAGCTAAAAAATTACTTGCCTAGGGATCTTATCAAGTTAACAATAAATTGTTAAAGTTTAGAAACTTAGAAAATACAAACACAGTTGAACCTTGATTAAATAAATCACATTTTGGCGAATGTCCAGTTGCAGCACATACTTTCCAGGCTGGATTTACTCCCCAAACACAACAAACAAGAGTGGCAAATTAAGGGATGTGTCGAGTTACCTATTTAAAATGTTCGGCTACAGTTCAGAGACCGTTGGGCGAGTTGCCCATATGATAGGTTGAAATTAAAATTTTGCTCAGCAAGATTAGCCCATAGAGCCTGGGAAATATTAGTGCATGAATGGTAACTTATTAGAGCATATTAAATAATGTTTTTAATGATTTTCATTGAAGCAACATTAGAAAAAAGAAACGGCTAGTAATTTTTTTTTTATAGACAAGAAAAATAAAATTTGCAAATGCCTCCAGATGATATCTAGTTGCAACGAATCCCTCACTTCAACAAATCAGGGTTGGTCCAATATACTTTGCTGAATTGAAGTTGCACTGTAAACTAAAGTAGATATCTTCATAAAATCTGTGTCAATGATTGCACTTATCCAATTTGGTCTATATATTTGACAATGTTACCCCATTCTATGTTTCATTATAATCATGGGAATAAGTACAAGACTGAACTTAATGAAGAAATAGCTAAAGGCAATTAAGAAAACCAAGAAGGGAAAAATTTATGTGAACAAAGACCTTAATACTATTGCATTCCAATGGACATGGCATAAAAAATCTGTTGAGTGTAGATTTACTGGGCGGCCTCAGTAGCTTTCTGGTGGTACCATGGATATATCTACAAAACTACCTCATCTTGGAACTTTACCTTGCATACCAAACACAAGGACCATAAACTGGGTGTGCAGGGAGCACAAGGATTCAACACCAACTCAAACTGATGGAAGACCCCAGTGTACAGGTGAAGCAAAAACTATGTACTGTATCTTGATTACATAAAGAAAAGGTGGTAACAAACCATGTACCAGTAAACCACCAAGTGGCAGCTCAGGTCCCCTCACCAGAGTGACCCCAAGTCACTCAGGCTCGTGTGCTTAGTGCCAAACACATCACTATTACTCTGCAAGATGAAGCTCTTTATTAGCTAGATGGGGGGGCTAAGTATGATAAATTCTTTAAACCACTCAAACTCTGCCAACAATTCACAGGAACTTTAAACTTGAAAATGGCCAAGAATATTCTACACCACCTACTATCGACCAACTACCTCCACCAGGTGGCAATACTGAATACTAGGATCAGGGAAGTTGGCTAGCCATTTTAAAAGCAACCCATTGAAGATTTGAGATATACAATGAGAATTAAAGGGTGGTAAATGGGAGATGTCACTCAGAAAGGGGGGCCATTTCATTCCACTTGATGCTTTATATTTAAAGTTCCTCTTGGCCTCCTCCCCATGGTGCTATAGGAATATAGTGAGTGCATGGCAGTATTAAAGGAGGATGATACAAGCCAACATAGCATGATACAATAGCAATGAGGATATAGAAAGGCGACCAGATATCTGGAAGTCTGCATTCAGAAAGACCCCCCCAGGAACTGGTATTGGTAGATGCCATGGTTCAAGAGGGGCTAGAGGAGCCTATTTCCTCAGTCATGAGTTCAGGGATAAGATTTAGGTTATGCCTAAAGACCCAGCAAGTTAACTGGGAGAGGTGATGCTTGTGGTGTAGAGCTATAAATGAACCATGCTTTAACTAAAATTCACCTACAATTGAAGACAGAATTAATTAGTCATGAAAAAAAGAAATGTGAAGGTGGCAAGCAGGGAACTGAATGAGAGACCCAACAACAGTGACACCCTAAAATAAGTATATGACAAAGTTCAACATTACATCTAAGGACCAAGCCAGTTCCAAAGGTGAATGGACACTGTACATAAAAGAATGCGGTAAGCTAAAAGAAAAAAAAAAAAAAAAAAAAAAAAACAAGATCAAGGATAAAAGTAAAAAGGCTTGGCCAGCAAGAACCTTAAGATGCAAAGGTGTTAGACACAAGATAGCGCACTACAAACAACAGACACGAGAAAGGCCACTAACGAGGAAAATGCTTAGTGAACTAATGACTGAAAAATTTGCAAGTATCCTGTATTGGCAGCAATGAGAAAAAGCGAGCCCATAAATGAGACGCCAAAAGCTTTGCTACCTGCCTCAAATACAGGTGACGGTAAAATAAACTTGAGAAACCAGAGGTGAAAATCGGCAGAGGAAAACAATAGGTTACCATGCGATGGATTAGCGGATCAGTGTCGATGTGACCCTATCTCTGACCAGTCCTCCTGGTAGGTAATCTGGTCAACCAGGCAGCTGCATTGCCGCTTGCAGTCTGACATGACTTAAGAGCTCACTTGACCATGTCTCCAAAGCATGACTTTGGAGACCTTTAAAAAGTTACCGTTTGAACACCATGATAAGTCTGCTAGTTATGACAACTCTTACACTTTAAACAGAGGTGGTGGAAGCATTCACAGTATTTAATTACTATTATTTACAATAATTGTTCACAAATCAATCTCTCTTGTGTGTGTGTTTATTTATAAACAGCCTGGATGAGTATGTAATATCAATATTAACTTGCCAAACATCTGGCAAGCAGTATCAATGTACAATACCCTATTTTGTTTATTTATTATGTGCATTTTAATTTTATTAGCCAATGCTACATGCTTCCTCCTACTTTGGCTGCTCACCAAAGCCCTTGGCAACACAGCACCACTATTGTTGTTACATCCATATTAAGTAGTTTAGTTCTAACAAAATGATGGCTATTACAGAGTAAAACCCAGCACATTATTTGTAACACTACTATGACAAATACTGCACCAAAAGGAAATGGGTTTGCTGATAAGAGTTCTCTCAGTCAGGATCCTGTATGACAAAAAATTCCATGAATAACTTAAAATACTCACCTCCTGCAAAAGGTTTACTTCTTTCAAAACAGGTTTACAGTTTTCCGACATGTCGGCTGTTACCTCAACATCAAATGTGAGAGGTTTTGCTGGCTCTGGTAGAATAATCACTGGGTCTGCAGGTACTGGAGAGTTACTTTTAGACTTCCTTGGTGAAGAACTTTTGGAATGAAGATTTCTTGCAGGACTTTCAGACCACCTACTACACGATGCACTGCCAAATTTACCATTACGGGAGCGACTGACAGATCTCCGGCTTCGGGAATGACTTGGCGATCGGCTTGGTGAATGTCGGGATCGCGATTGACTCCTAGAACGACTTCTTGAAATTCTATGTTTTGTATGGCCTTTAGGTCTGAAAAAGATTATCTGTAAAGGAATTTCTCCAATTTCATGAGGTGAGAAAGAATCGGCTAAGAAAATGCCAAAAACAGAGCACCGAGTGCAAAGAAATACTCCTTTCTGAAAGGCACCTCGACTCCTGTGTGCCTTACCTTTGAAACCTACCAAGTCACTGATTGTTTACCAGGTCCTGTGTTGGCTTTTTGCCCCATGAGAATAAGTATCCTTGAAAATTGTCTTATCGCCTGCATACAGGGTGGGGAAGCGAGTCAATGGAGAGCACACTTCAATCCTCCACCCAGAAACATTTGAGACCACTCACACCTACTAAAAATATCACTGGCAACTCAAATCAACTATTGAAATATATTATATATTAGTCGGTAAACAAAATATTGGGCTTCTTTTATTAATAATTTGCAACATTTCAACCTTCAGCTCTTGAATTTTTACAATTCAGATCTGGCAACTCTGTATGAATGTACAACGAAGTTCTACTTTAGCACTTGCAAAGAGCAAAAATGAGAATTCATTTTTAAAATGTCTCTTCTCTAGAAACTGCTTCATTATCACCATACCCTATACCACATGCGAGTCTTCAGCAAATGTTTCGAGTTGCCACTCAAATGATTAAAATTCCAATGTCAAAAGACTACTGTACATGAAGCCCTTCACCCTAGGAAAAGGTAATTCTCAAAAGGAACAAGGAAAAGATACATTGCAAGACAAATGTGTAATTTGCTTTAGCATCACTTACCGTATCATGTTTGGTGGAAGTTGTTTTGCTGAAAGAAATGAAACACACATTATAGTATATTATACATGTCGGAATTTAATATCAAATTGGATAATGGGTAACCCCTGCATACCATTAAAAAAGGTATACCCCCTAACATAATAGAGAGATTAAATTGTATTAAATTTGAGAAGCAATATACTTTAATTTAAATAACCAAGAAGTGAGGATACAAGTGTCACAGCTGACAATAAGAACCAACGGTTAATAAATATGACTGGTTATCTTACAGGTGTGAAGTAAGCCTCAGATTAACTTTACTCTTACAATGCACCTCAGTAAGATTAATAAGGAATACAAACATTTAGAAACATTGGGTTGAAATGTTAGTACTAATTAGTACTAACATTCATTCCCACTTTAAAATCAGTTTCTACCCAGCCTAATCCCTTACCTAGCCTGTGCCTTTATCACATTCACTACCTGCTTTTTCACACCGTCGCCAATGTCCACCCATCATCCAGGCCTTCTCTTCCCACTCAAATTCACTTAAAATACACATCTTTACCTATTTACATTCATCCATTTGTTCAACATACCAAAACCATCTTGACACACACGGCAATGTTACAGTTTACCAACTTTTGCACTACATCTCCAGTATATTTTCATTCCTAATTTATGTATTCTAACACTATACACGCTCCTCAGATTCATATATTTCTACTAATTTAACTTGAGATTTTTCACTTTCTTACCACACAATCATCTCTGCTGTACATTCAAGTTTCTCCTGATTGTATTTAATCCTATCTTGCTTTTTCTAAGCATGGCTTTTTCACTAGCCCCTTTCCTTCCCTTACTAACCTTATCACAGCTTCACAAATACCTCTTATAACACATCCCAAGTATTTCAAACTGATAGTAAATTGGTTAACCCTCTGGAGGTTATTCCATGTTGTAAAATTGCTTTTCAACATCTTCCTTCCTTTTACCATGACCTGGAGAGATTGAAAAGGTTTCCCATTGCAACGAGTATATAAATATTGTCCTAACCAGGTTATAACTGGTCATGTCCTTGTAAAGAGCTGGACATTGCCTAGGAGAGCAACCAAGTGGTACAGCTCAGAAACACTCAAAACACCAAGTAATTTTCACATTTAACAATAATGACAGTACTCGCACTCAAAGGCACTTTTCACAAGAAAATCCGATACAAGTCGTTACGTTTGATACCGCTAACCTGAACATCACCTAATGAAGCTACACCTTTCAATCCACTTAATTCAGAATTCCTTATTACCTTTACTCAGATATATAGTCTGATTATTGTTGCACTATGCATATTAGTGGCTTTGCAAGAATGTCAAATATCAATCTTTTGTAATATCACCAACCCATTGTACCTTGTGAATGAATAATAAATAATAATTAATAATAATAAATTATTATTATCAGTGAATCATCCTATGAACTACAATGGTAGCTCATAGGATAAGCTACAACTGTAGCTCATCCTATGTAAAATAATGTTTACTAAATGTGGAGAAAATCTTCATTGCCTGCCATGGATGCCCATTTACATACAACAAAATAACAAAAAGTGTTGCATCAAGTGTATGGGGTCAATAGGCAATCTATGTACAGTATACCCATAAAACCAGTTACTTTAAATTATAAGAAAAAAAGACAGGATTCACCAATATGAAAATAAGAAAAGGAAGTAATCTTAAGTTAAAATTCTATACACTTCATCACAATAAAAGTATCCATGTTCATGTTTGAAAGAAAACAATTTCTTCCCATTTAATTTAAATTATTATTATGAGAAATTACCCCCAAAAAAATAAACAAATATACCTGTGCAGGCGATGAGTCGCAATAACGTGGCTGTAGTAGTTTGACTTCACACACTAGACGGTGAAGGGACGACGACGTTTAGGTCCGTCCTGGACCATTCTTGAGTCGATCAACTTGAGAATGGTCCAGGACGGCCTGAAACGTCGTTGTCCCTTCACCTTCTAGTGTGTCGTCTGGTCAAACAAATATACCTTTTCCTATATTAAATTTACCCACCACTTGCAGCTGGTTACAAGTGCACAACTTTCTGGAGACTATCATGGCTAGGTGGTGTTTGCCTCGGGAGCACAAACTAATGCAACTGACCTTCAGATATGTAGATAAAGTATATACACATCGTCTTTTTCCCAAGGGTGATCTGGGCGATACAATCATTTTATTTTTCTCTGTTATCCCATAACACATACAAATGTTGCTTTCCAAAACTCTTAACCGTCTCTAGCATACCCTATAAATATTTTCTTATTTTCACTATTACACAAATTATTTACACAAGTCATGATGCCTTAATTTGCTAACTTTTGTGATGCTATGAAGTATTTTCCCAGGTTCACTACAAATTCTTCCTTAAAATTTATAATATTGCTTTTAATTACTGTATTGCATTAATTTAAAACCCTATACTTACTGAAATCTGCAATGTTTGCATGAATTTTTCCTTCAAGTTCTTCAATTTCCTTTGCTGAATCTTCAAAATCCATTTCTTTCTTGGAAAATCCAAATTTGACTTCCTGTCAAATAATGATATAAGTATTAAAATGACAATTGTGATACTGTTATTTATTTATATATATTTTTTAAATGGGTATAAGATTCTTAGCTATGTAGTGTACATGAATTTATTATGGTACATTGTGTTACTCTACTACAGTATAATAATCACTAATACCATAGTTAAACATCAGAAAATCCACTAGAGCCGTGATGAGGGTACGAACCTACGCACTGGGAGTTCCAAGATGCACACTCTAGTCGACTAAGCCACGACATGGTAAAAGAATTGCAACCTAGGGTACTACTGCATCCCAGGTTGTAATTCTTTTACTATGTCGTGGTGTAGTCGACTAGAGCATGCATCTGGGAACACCCTGTGAATAGGTACGTATCCTCAAGTCTTTTGTGGATTTTCTAATTAATATATCACAGATTTCTGTTTATAGTTGAACTATTTTATTATCAGAAAAAAAAAATAAGCTTAAATGCTAGTCTTACCAGGTATTTTCTGCTGTGACACTTCGACACAAGGTGTGAAAACATTTTTCTAGATCGGATACGTGTAACTTTATCATCTTTTTCACACAACTGACAGGTAAATAATTCCTCACCATTAATGACCTCCTTGTACACAAATTGTACACCTGTACACATGGAATAAAAAAAGTACATACAGTAATTGCTCTGTTTTTAAAGTCAATGAATATATTGTATTACTAAGTTATGGTTGAAAGTTAAAAAATTAAATACAACTGAAATATTGGACCAACTTCCAAATACAGTAATTAAATTGTTCTGCGCCCGATTTGGATTTCGTGTAAAATTTGAATGTCCGGGAATTTGCTGCTATTTCATAGTGATCAACTTTATGACAACGTAAAATTTTAAATGAATATGAACCAAACAATTGTTTGATAATCGAGTAATAATTGTCTGAAATATGTTCAACAAAAAATGTTCAAAAAAAAAAGTGGTTTGGAGCTGCCATTCAAACCCTAATATTTTCCATGGTCTATGGGCAAATTTTCCAAAGAGAACTGTAAAATGTGGCCTTATCACATGCACAACTATAAGGAGAACCTGTCTATAAAAAGATTTGTCTCACTACCAGCTTCTCAGGCTCTAGCCACTGAAAGCTTAATTTTATAGGTAATACTCCAGCACTTAATACTAGTACCATTGATTTTTTTCCATACCCAAAACTTTCGTAAACTCAGCGTTTTCGATTATCTTTAGAACTTTTTTTTTAATACCTAATTAAGGGTATATAGTTTCATAACCATTTTCAGATCATTTTTGGCAGATCCAATGAACAAAACTTTAGGGAAAAAAAATATGATCAGCAGGAAATTACTTTGCCTAATGATCTGGACTTCACGGGGATCTCCAAGGTTTGGATTTTTTTTTTTTAACAAAATTTGGAGTGGAAAATTTGGTGGCTAAATGTGATTCATTGTTTAGTGGGAGATGTATAGGAAGGAAACATTTATATACCTCTTTCAGCATGAAAAGAGGAATGAAAGAGTGTTGATAATTATTAATTGACTGGAATGTGATTTCTTTGGCACAGTAAAGGCAAGGTTAGTAGCACCTAATAATTTTGTTGGGAGGAGGGCAACTTCTTAATAGCATGGATTATTCTGCATACTTTAAAGCCATCATTTTTCCAAGCACAAGAGAGTAGAGCATCCAAAATGGATTCAACAATCACTGAAGTATTTATATCCAAGTTCTCCCAGTGTGGAACACTGCCAGCAAATTTTACATGCATAGGGGACACAACCAGTTATCACAGAAGTAGGATTCTTAGTGAAAAGGAACCTATGCATATTTGTAGACATGACCAATACACAAATGAGCGAGCGCCATCTCCAAATGGTATGGTTTATGGACAGGACTAAGGATATACCACCTTCATTATCTCACTTAGCCTGATGGGTCCAACAGTAGCATTCAAAAACTATTAAGTTAAAAACTGCTGTCCTAGTTGCATGATGGAAATCACTTCACAAGAGAGTATGCCCTAAGGAGATTAAACTGACCGAGGGATTCTTGGCCACTTTATAAAGTTATGCATTGCCAGACAGCAACATGTATCATTACCTGAAAAGCTTTGAAGATTATGCCTCTTGGATAAAATCAACCACAAAAAAAAAACACACACACCTAGGGATGCAATAAGTTAAAGTCTTCCTGGGACTGAAGTACACTCCTAGAATCTTTAACAATGGTACAAAGATTATCCTCTAGCATAATAATCTGTTTATGAGCAAGCAAGAAAGAAAACTCAGCAGGGAAACTACTATAGTGGCTAAAACCAGGAAAGACATGCACAAAACCAACACTTGGATTTAGAGCTGTTCGTGTAAACATGAACAAACGCTTGTGAATGAAGGAGTGCTCCAAAAATAAAAAGGTGTAAAACATCCGAGTGTGTTGCCCTTTAATACCAGTGAAGAACCTGCAGTGTACACTCTAACAAGACCCAAGATGCAATCTGCAGATGTTTTGACTAACCTGGATGCTTGGGAGTATATTAGCCCAACTGCTAAAGGTTGAAGTTGGAGATGTTTTGCAATTACTGTACTCTAACTGAAAAGATCTGAGGTCATTCCTAAATAGCCCAAGCCAAGATTCTCTAGTCTAAGAGACTTTTCCGCTCTAAATAACCAGAAGGGGGTGCTTTAAAAGCCTCTCTTGCATGAGGACAAGAAGGTCGATCTGGCATGATGAACTTTCCTATATCCTTGAGAGCTAGACATTTCTTAATGGAGTAACCGAGTTTGTTTAGTTCAAAATCAATCTCAATTGGCTGGCACTTTTAAGGTTAAAATAAATTCAAGTCTTACCTCACTGCCCTTCAATTTCCCCTCCTTTCTCCTTTTACCGTCATTTTTTTTTTTTTAACTGCTAACTGACTTTTTAAACTGACTGCTTTAAAAGGACATTTCTATCACATTTAGTAAATCGCATTCCTTTGCTAAACACATTTTACCAATTTAATGTCTTACCAAGGATGGGTAATTTTGTCGAGTCAATGTCATCCTCTAAAGATCCTCTTTCAAAAGTTTCCCGAGGCTCATTAAGAAACCGTCTTTGCAACGTGCCGCTGATATTTGGATCCTTTGGTGTCAAAACTTGCTGCCGACACTACAATGGAAAGAAAAACTTATTTAAAACGGTTTTCAGTTTAAATAAGGCAGATCCACACTTATACTGTACAGTTTGACTCTTCAACATATCTAATGATATTTAAAAATAACAATCAGTAGTAGCCATAATAAAACTAATGCATGGGAGCTTAAGAGGGAATTACTTCATTGCATTTAAAAACAAAGTACAGTACTACATATGAAAATTAATGTTGCCTTCAGTGTGATTAACAAAAGTTCTTAATACACTTAAATGATCTGTGCAATATACAATGATGCATGTGTTTTGAGTGTTGCATGGAAAGTTGCCAATACCACTTTCATGTTCCAATGATACTAAAACACGTTATCCGATTGCTATACAGCAATGCAAGCATTTTTCAAATCACCGAGTGGTCTGGGGAGATGAACATTTACAGATGGCAACACAGGCTGGACCACAGAGAGGGGCACACCAGGAACAATCAGTAGCTGCCACAAAACTTCCTAAGCTATCACTGATAATATGCTTAATCACCAGTCATACAGCTTGTTTATGCCTAGTCTGTAGTATTCCATGTGTCACTCCAGGAATCTTTCAATCTCTAAAATGACATCCTGCTGAAGCATACTAATTCGAAGCAAACACCATTCAGGTTCATGAAGGATTTTATTTCAGCAAGCATTTTGCAAATTTTCCACAAATCTTTTGTATTGTCCTAATTGCAAATGATAAAACTCACCTTTGTGCATATATGCTCATCTAAATAATATATAATCAAATGCTTTTTAAATGTGCCGGAAAGTAAAGCAGGGAAAACGGTACACGAAAATTTAAAGTACTGTACCAGAAAAAAAAAATAGCCAGTTAGTGATGCTCGAAAAGCAAGACCTCACTCGGTATATACTGATAGGTAACATCTCCACTGGTTCATTTCTTGATTTTCTTCTTGCTCTTTCTGTATAATACAGTACAGTATAGGAGTTTTAATTATTTGCCCTTTCCCGAGAGAGACGAGTGTATAAATAATCCATTAGCCTCTTCCTGTTCAATTTCTGCATTATTTCTATTTTATATAACTTATCTCAACTGGAATGTATTTTATCCATATTCAATACAATATATTTGAATGTTTTTACATTAGTTTCCTCAATACAGTATCTTTGGGGATACAGAATTATTCATTGCTTAATGTGCCTGAATCAGTACTCAACTGTTTGCTGATTTTTATATTTTTTTAATCCCCTCACCTGTTGCTCCCTGATGTTTTACATTAATCTTTGATTTTTGGAGAACAATTCAAGGGTGTATTTCTAGTTGAATCTATAATAAATTTTATAAGCATCACAAAAACTATGATGCGCTTTGTAATAAACTTGTCACTACACTGCTTACAGGTAATTTTTTAGGTACAGCACAACGCTGCACTATTAAATACTACTCACTTTGAATGAGCCAAGAAACTAATGGAACTTATACCGACAGTAAAACTATTGTTTACTTTCTTACCTTCTTATGGTTTCTGCCATTCTCATGGGTGTAGAAAGGATCGTAAGATGTCAAGTCTTTGCTGCAAATCTTAGAAAGAGAAATGATAGTTAGCAATGGCTTTTGCCATTCAGTAATTAAAATTTTCCATTACACATCTAAAACAAACCCCCATACATATTAAGATCCGAAAATTGCATGCAGCCCAGTGTAAAGAGCCAAATACTTAAAATGGCATAAACATTAAGTGAATTATAATTGTTATAATTGAGAAGCATGATTAATTTTTCAAACATTAAAATAAGAAGTGCATTACTGAAAATTATTCATTATTTTGGGTATGATGGCTTCCAGTAATAAGACTACATTACATGCAGATACACAGAAATCACAATGCGTGATGCATCAATGAACAAATCCACAAGGGCCGTGACAAAGATTCAAACCTATGTCCGAGATGATCCCAGACGCTGCCTTAGCAGCGTCGTAGCCCAGTCGATTAAGGCAGCGTCTGGGATCATCTCCGACGTAGGTTCGAATCCTCGTCACGGCCCTTGTGGATTTGTTTATTACGTGCAGATATTTTCAAAGTCTCCCCCATATGCTTCAAGTACTCAACAATGTACTCCTGCTTGAACACATTTGTAATGGCTCCTTTCATTGCAAACAAAATTCAATTGCATCCCAAGTTTGCTTTATTACCATTATACAAAAAATTTTTAATACTGTACCAAAATTACTTGGTAAATGTACAGTTTTAATATGTATTTCTAAATATTTTCACTAAACAATCCAAGTCAATGTAATGCACGAGGTAGTAGCTCCTGATGTCTTCAGCCATTTTCTATTGCTACTGAATATAATGTAAGACAACAATCTTAGTGCCATTTGAACAAACATCTTCCATATCCAGATTTCTGGTATACAAAATTAACTAAGATGTGCTGTAAGCATTATTTAATAGAAATCCAGTAGATATTCAAAGCAGCATAACCAGTTTATCAAAGCAAAAAGTTATAAGAAAAAGGCCACAATGTTGAGACCTGAATGAGGTCTTTATACATTACATTCATAATTTGATGTAACATTTTATTGATAAAAGAAAAGGGGGGGGGGGAATATTATTACAACTTATCACAAGGGTATGTTATATTCATTTTATCAGGTATGAACAACTAGTAATAAAGAATATAACCAAAAAGAGTGGAATTGTATGGCAGAGGAATAGCTCTACAACTCTCAGAAATATGTAACAGGGCATGGCTATACACCAATCTACAGAAATGTGTGACAGCATTGAAAAGTCCAAAAATGTATGCCTATGATTTAACACTGTAGTCAACTTAAAATGATACCAGACCCTTACATTGCAACGTATTATGAGACGGGTGCCATTCTGGTTCTCTTGGTAGTCAACTTCATAGTTATTACCAGATACTGAATTGTAGAGCACATCTGAAAACAGCAACATTAAAAAATCATTTATATTTTGCAACTTGCTTATTCACTAGACTGCAAACAATAGTGTTAAGCCATTACATAATTTATATGGATATTTTTTGAGGATTTATGTACTGGGTAATTTACTTTGTACATACTTTATTATGACTTTGTATACTGCATAATTAATCTGATTATGTTTTAGGTTTAGTTGCAAAACAAATCAGGGTACCAGAGTACAGATACAATTACAAAATGCCATACTACTGGAAAATATTCCCCTGTAGTTTATCGCTGTGGTGAATATTTCGTCAAAACACCAGTAGATTACCAGTGTATGATCAAAATATTTGGGGCACATAGCCTACAAGAAAATTATATATCAAGTTATTGAAATATTATGAATCACTGATTTGGTCAACTTTTTAAAATATTTATTCAAAAACCAAATAAAAATTACCCGGTACTTTAGAAAGTAATTAATGCATTTACTAATCATTTCTGTAAATTTTAATTGCAAGACCTTCAAATTTTGTAATATAGTAGATATTTGAATTTCAAAATGCTTAAGTGTATTTTTATTTTATTTTTAGCACAAGATACTATACAGATACTGTATACAGTATTAGGCACGAGAGCTATCTCGTTTAATTCTACTGATCATATGTACATTTTTCATGAATTTGAAAAATGCATTCCTGTGGTAGCCTCAAGGGGGTAACTATTCCTTCAGATTGATAATACAGTACTGAACATTCTGAAATGAGGTTACAAGTTAAATACAATTCCACTTACCAAGGACACGCTGTAACTTGTGACAATTGTCATAATCATAGTCAACAGTCCAAAAGTCTTTTGATCGCGCATCTGTTTCCATTATTTCTTCTGCCTCGGTCTGTAAATAATAATGGTACTGTACATAGTTCATTTAAATTATGACACACACACAATTTCTGAATCGCCTCAAATCAATTCTGAAAGTCTGTACTTTAACCTCTGGGATTATTTCAGTTCAAATCCAATGTGCAGGCAATACACCATCAAAATAATAAACGTTGTGATGTCTAAATACCATAGTTATGAGCCATAATGTATGCCAACCTGTTCAACTGCAAGATGCGGTAAAACTTGTACAATGGAGCCTCAATTAACGAGTTTAATCTGTTCTGGCACCGAGCTCGTTATGTGGAAAACTCTTCTTTAGAAACTAATTTCCCCATTTAAAATAATGGAAATAAAATTATTCCGTTACATCCCCCAAAAACATTACCTGTATGACATTTTATAATGTAAATATAATACTGTACTGCACATGTAATTATAAACGTTTTGTTTTACCGTTTCAATTGTACATGTACTTTACCTTATGAGTCGTTGCTGGCTTGAGAGAGACGATGAGGACGTGGGAAGGAGGAGAGAGGTTATGGTGTGGAAGGAGAATCCACCTCTGAGTCAGGCAGCCTCTTGGGAATTTCACCCCACTGGGACCGGATTGTGATTCATTATCACTTGCTGGTCTTTTCTCTACTTTTGCAAAGAACATGTCTATTGACAATTGTTTTTGTCTTTGTTTTAGGATGTCCCTAAAACAAGACAGCAAATTGTCATTAAACATGTTCACACATTGGGTTGTCATTGCTTTATCAGGGTGATGCTTTTCCAAGAATGTGGTCACCTTTTCAAACATTCCCAACACTTCTCTGATCTCACTGGAAGAGGCAGCAGCATCCTCCCTTACCACCACCTACCCTGATGAGAGCTCTTGTACCTCCTCTTGACTCAGCTCCTAAAGTTCCAGGAGTTCCTCAGTGGTCAGCTCATCACTGTGCTCCTCCACTAACTCTTGTACATCACCAGCATCCAACTAGAGACTCAAAGTTTGCCCCCAGAGCAACAATATCATCCACTAGATGCACATCCAGGTCTATAACAGGTGCAGATGCAAGAGCAGGACCGAAACCTTCGAAGTCTTGCTCAGGGACACCCTCAGGCCACAGGTTTCGCCATGCAGAGTTTAGGGTCCTCCGTGTCACTCCTTCCCAGGCCTTATCGATCAAATGGATACAAGGCCTGGGAAGGAAGCACCCAGGACATTGAAGTGGTTCTTCCAGAATTCTTTGAGGGTCAGCTCTGTATTGTCTATCACATCAACACACCTCTCCAACAAGGCCTTCATGTAGAGCTTCTCAAAGTTTGTAATGACATTCTGGTCCATGGGTTGGAAGAGTGGAGTGGTATTGGGAGGATGAAACTTGGCAATGAACTGATTTTCAAGAAACAAATCTTGCATCTGTGGAAGATGTGCAGGAGCATTATCGAGCACAAGCAAGGCCTCTAGTGGTAACTGCTTCTCTTAAAGATATTTCCTCACTGAAGGGCCAAAACATCATTGACCCATTCACTGAAGAATATCCGCGTGACCCAGGATTTCTTATTGGACCTCCACATCACATTCTGTCACACCTTGTGTAATTGATGCCTTGAACACTCGAGGATTTTCCGAGTGGTAGACGAGCAGCGGCTTTACCTTGCAGTCACCGCTTGCATTGGGGCAGAGCACGAGAGTAAGCCGATCCTTCATCGGTTTGTGGCCAGGCAAAGACTGTTTCTTGTGTGATGTCGGTCCTCTTCATCATTTTCTTCCAAAACAGGCCAGTTTTGTCAATTAAAAACGTGTTGGGGCAAGAACTCCTTTTTAGCAACAAATTCCTGGAACTCTGGCACAGATTTCTCGGCAGCAGCTTTATTAGAGCTGGCAGCCTCCCTATGTCGCACAACACGTCCACGGTAATTGTCTCTTTCCCTTGCCAACACTGTCTTTAGGAAGCAGCTTCTTTGGCGACATCATGCATTACAAATTGTAGTATAAAAAAAAAAAAAATGCAAATAAATGCAGAGGGATGCTTGTCGTGTGTGATACAACAACAGCACTGGCGTCCGAGGATTTGCGAGAACCAGCGAGAACGCTAAGAAGCACCATGTAGTTTTGCTTGTTAATAGAGCGGAAGCTCGTCAATAGAGCTCATCAATTTTCTGCAAGTGGCTTGCTCGTTACTCTAAATGCGCGTAGAAAGAGCTGCTCGTCACTCAAGGTTCCACTGTACTTTAGAGGAAAAAAAAAATCTATGCAGAGAAAGGCTTTGTTCCATTAAATCAATACCAGATCTTTACAACAAGAATAAGACCATACTATGCCTCCATCTAATATACATTACTAATTATCCCTTTAATGTTTTTGAGATGCCTACAGTCTTTATTTGCTTGAAATGCCAGAACGTTCCGATGACAACTGTAGTCAATGTCACGTTGGCTAACCTTAACTTGCCTCTGTAATTTTGCTATTATTGCATTTTTGAAAATACAGTACCATAATAAATTACAACTCTTTAGCTTGAAAAAGGATACCAAATTGAACACTACCATGCATGGTAACTTTACAGCAAGTGTTGGAGGTAAAATATCAAGCAATTTGAGCTTGGCCCAAGGCACTAGTAATGCCCAAAATTGGTAAAGGGTCAAATACACGAATTAGTTATCTTACCCTTGTCATTTTCTTTTTATCATCCCGGTGTCTCCCTGGAGCCATAATTATTCCCTTTATGTACAGCCTGAAAATAACAAATGCTTATCAATAATATACCCTATAAACTGAAGAGGTACAGGAGGTAGAAAAAATATATTTGTCTCGACTCAAATATTTAGTTAAAACAATAAAAGCACAACTTTTCTAGTTTTACATAGCTGAGGAGGCACTGTCACCAGGTTGCCAAGCAGACATTGAAACCCTAAACCAAATAATACTCATACACACACACACACACACACACACACACACAGAGCCCCACACTATTTTAGTGATGACAAATAACAATATAATTACAATATCTTTAAATTTTATTTTAATTAACTGAATGGTGAATGTACTATTGTAAAGTTTCAATAAAGAAGAAATCTAAAGTTATTAGCATGTACAGTTGGACAAATTCTATTAATAATATATGCTATACACAAAGTTTTTATCTTTATCAATGATTTGCAACAACATTGTAGTTACACCCTGCGATTTTCTATACACATGTCAGGGAAACCACAGAATTAGATATGCTTAAATAGCAGCAATATCCCTGTCAGTGTGGCAAGTCGATAGTTGCAGTTCGATAAAAAATAGTAATTGACAATCCATGATAGTAAAGCACAATTGGGTTCATTCCCTACTCTCAATGGGGAATTCTGGGTTCGAAACCTGGGTGAAAAAATATCTACATTTTCTATCACCCTGTTCACCTAACAATAAATAGGTACTCAGGAGTTAATCAACTTTCTGTGAGGTTGCATCCTAGAGAGTCAGTAATTCTATCTTGGATGGGGAAGGGAAAACTGCATTACAGAATAAGCTAAATAAATTTTTTATTTGGGTAAAAGTACATACACATATCGAGTTACAAGCCAAATATTGTTTTTCTATTTAATTTGTTTATTTCTATGAAACTGGACAAACCTATTAAAAACCTACATAATTTCATGTTTTTACCCATTATTAATACAAACAGATTTATATACAATTTAAAATCTTTATCGAGAACTTTCAACATGTCCGTTCATTTCCCTGCATATCTAGTTACTGTATAGCATTGCAAAATATTTTGTACTGATCCAGTTCTTTTAAATTCATTTGCAAGGTCACAAACTTGTCTGTAGGAGTGACAGAAATTTCCTTTTAAATCTTTCTCCAATTTCATTTTATTGCCATCCTTTGACACAGGATGTTACAGTAAAGGTACATTCTTATGTATTCATTATTAGGGTTAATATTTTTATAAATTTAAACAATTTAACATATTAAACATAAAACACCAATTAACATGGAGGTTTTAAACAATGTCAAATTTCACAGAAAGTTAATTCTGGACTAACTCTGTTATCAAATGAAACATTGTTAACAAAACCACACACTAGAAAGTTTAGAGGCGACGACGTTTCGGTCCATCCTGGACCATTCTCAAGTAGATTGTGATGAGAGGAAGGAGGCGAAGATATATGCATTTTGAAGGGAAACCAGAGTTTGAGAGGAATGCGGCAAGGGCAATAAATAGACGAGAGGCGAGAAGAAAATCTTGGCAGAAAAAGCAAGGCAACATGTATGGAAGGCAAGGTGTAATAAAAAGGGTGTAATAATAGGAAGAAAAGGGATCATAAGAGAAAACAAGGAAAAAAAGAAGATAAAAGGAAGGGTAGGCTTGTTAGGTCACGTCAAACATGAGCCAACATAAGCCTACCCTTCCTTTATCTTTCCCTTGTTTTCTCGTATGATCCCCTTCTTATTCCTATTATTACACCATTTATTACACCTTGCCTTGCGTTCATGTTGCCTCTGCTCCTGTGCCAGGCAAGTCCACTACGGGCTCACCATAGCCCGTGCTACTTGGAACTTCAGAGTAGCTGAATCTATAACAACAACAATAACTTCCTCTCAAACTCTGGTTTCCCTTCAAAATGCATAAATCTTCGCCTCCTTCCTCTCGTCACAATCTACTTGAGAATGGTCCAGGATGAACCGAAACGTTGTCGTCCCTTCACTTTCTAGTGTTTGGTCAACATTTTTCAGCCACGTTATTATGACTTCATCTGCAAATGAAACTTAAGTCAAGTGTCAAGACTAACAGATAAGCACATTTCAACTAGTAAACACAGGAAATAGTAAACTATACAGGAACTTAGTTAACACAACGTTTAGACCAAGTCACATCGGTCACCACCTAATGGGGTTAATATATCCTCGTCTTACGAGGTTTTTGACAATTATGAAACGAGCTTCGTAGAAACGTCTATGTACAATTTGCCAATAATGTTCACTATGGTTGGATGCAGACAAAGTATGAAGTGTAAGGAGGTACCTATGAGGGTTGAGGTGAGGTGTAGGGCTGAGCCTGGTGTGCACACGTCTGCTCCCGTGGTGGTGGGTTTGTTTACTGACGCCCGCACCTCCTGCCACTCACCAAGAAAACACTCAAAATATTACTTTCATCTTATCATTGTTGATGTGACGACTTATATTGAATTTTGTAACTAGCTCATTAAGATTGTAACTTGCTTAGCTAAATGAACTGTGGGGTTCAGTCCCTGAGCCCATTATGTGCCTCTGTAACACTTTCCACTACCGCCCACAAGACGAGTATGGGGTGCATAATAAATGAACTAAACTAAAACTCATCTTATCATTCATTTAATGTTTTAGAATACTGGTATTTAGTTTATAGCTATTAATTTATACAAATTATTATTATTATATACTTTTCCATCGCTGGATGTCTCTTGTTAAGCACTGTTATATTAAATACAACCCTTCCTGACCCAAAGTACCCGTTGCGCAGTGGTAAAGCACATATTGCCTCAATGTACATTCACCCACACCAGTGTAAATATCCCATTACCCTTTGTACCCACTTTCAGGCAACTAAGTCAATCCACTTAAGTGGTACTCTGGTAGGTGATCCAATGACCCATAGAGGGTCTTGAACTCAACAGATGTCTTTGCACATACGTCATCCTGACAGGCAGGAGAGGGAGGCTGAAGTTTTTTTTTTTTTGCAGGGATATTCCTGCGCGGGCCCTAAGCCTCTGGCTGGCCCACTAATTGTTGCTTGTTTATGTTTTACGTTGGTGGAGTATGAGTATTTATGACTCGTAAGGTCGCTCCAGGAAGATTTTGCCGAAGCTATCCACACCAACTACCCGAAACGCTATGCGTGTTAATGGCTTTGCATGATTGTAAAAATATCAATATTATGTACTCTCACCAACCCATTGTAACAAACTAGCTTGTTGTAGAAAGTATAGACCTCAGATCATAGACATTAAATTTGGACCACGTGGTCTCACAAAAGATGCAGGCTGGTGGTACTCTGTACCTGGGAGGCGAACATGGGTTATCTTCCCTGGGATTTAAGGATTAGCACCTAGAATACATGATGGCCGTCTCTTTTGTAGTAATTTAACAAATGATGGATAGTTAAAGAGATACAGTAATAACCAATCTGGATTAAGTATGTATGCTAGGGATCATACACCGTCATTAGGAAGTGACGTCATGTTGAGTAGGAGGGACAAGGTCGGGTGACCTCTTATGACGTAGCCGAGGCAAGGGGGTCACGCGGTTGACGTGACCACAATCTCCCATATTTAGTAATTCATAATGTACAAATTCAGACCACTAGCCAATATTGTAATTGGATACTGTATAGCTTTTGCCAAGATGCCTAATTTAATTACTGTACCACCAATTTTAATAATAACTCAACCTTCTGGGTTGGCTAGTAAACTTAAGATTTGTTTGTTAAATTAACCCTTGCTTGGTAATTGATAACGTGGGAAGCAGGCGGAGTATATTCACTAGCCTCAGTTTTGAGGAGAGCTAGGTCAGACAGTGTGGCTGGTTTCTTAGATTAAGGTAAGTTGCTGTGAAGTTTAGTATAGTAAATTCTCCATCCGTGCCTCAGTAGGGAATAGTCAAAGTTAGGAAATGTTAAATTAGGGAGTGATTCTTATTATTTACGTTTCTTAGCTTTTGATCAATAAAATTTGAAAGACTTTTTTTAGTATTTCTGAGTTTTTTCCATGAATACAGTATTATATACTTATTGTCCTGGCTATTCTGATTCCCAGAGTCTGGTTTATTTGGGTTAAGTCGACAATCATACCCCAAGAAACCGAGGCTGGTAACATTAGATATATATATCCCCTTGTGTTGATTGAATTCCCACACTTAACGTAACTAATACCTCCCGTTCCACGAAATTGGGGGATACCCTACACCCAAGGGTTAATGGTTAATTGGTCCAACCCCCAATTAATTGATCTATCAGGTTTTGCTTTGATTGGTTGGTGGTGGCGGCGAAACGAAGACCCTTGAGTTTGCTAGAAAGTCTAGTTTCAACGTCACGTGTTTTGTAGAATCTCAAGGTGGACGATCATCTGGGATCACGTGGTGTGGGGATGAGGGCTGGAAGAGTGGGACTGTGAGGTCATGGAGTTTAAGGTTATCTACGGGCAGGGTAGTGGACAGAGAACAGCCAAAACCCTGTGTCGTGTTACACCACTGTACCTTCTTTCAAATAAATTATTAACAAGAGAATGACATAGGAGAGCTCCCTTAACCAGGCTGTGATGTATGTCAGGCTACTAGAAGCTGCATCAAACAGCCTTGTTGACCAGACCATCAAACAGGAGGCCTAGCCAGCAACTAGACCACAGGGACAATGAGTCCTGGAACTAGCAACATGTAGGAAGGGGGTGCTAATGCAATGTGTTCATTCATAGGATGAGCGACTGCTAATGCAATGTGTTCATTCATAGGATGAGCGACTGCTAATGCAATGTGTTCATTCATAGGATGAGCGACACTACCCAATATACTCACCCCACAGGGTAACATTTTTAATGTAAAGGAAACAATGTTTTTATCATTTCTTTGTTACATCTTAACACATTTATTTTATCTGTACCTTGTGACACCATAATACTGTACATCTATTTCACATTATATTTTAATACATATTTAAGAATATTTACTAAAAAGCTAAGCTCATTCAAGAGGAACCTGTCATTTAGTAATTGGGTTTAAAGTCCTGACCAAAACGACAGAGTTGTGTGCTAATATCAGTCCCTGCACCAAGCTTGCATTTGCTGTTATTACCAAGAGTTAAATATTTAAGGTAGTGAAATGATACTAAAACAGCCAAAGAAAGGGGGAGAGAGATATATGTAGTGGTATCTGAATTACAGTATTTGTAAATTATACATACACGTACAGATTATGATTACAGTATATATATTATATAAAGTATTATATAAATATAATATACATAAAATATTATATAAATACTGTATTATATTACAGTATTATATAAATGTTATACCTGTATATATATAATACTGTATTACTTTAAATACCTACAGTAACTTGAATTTTAATAAAATAATCTAGAAGCATTACAGTATATCATTACTGCTGTTAATACCAAAAAATGAGAAATATCTCAATTTATTTCTTAATTACACACACACACCTAACTTATTATTGCTTAAATTAATATAACACTCATATCGTAAATGCATGAAAGATCTTTCTCAAGTCAAAATTAAGAAATGGACAGCTGGATATTTGTACTCGATATGTAATCTAATCATGAAAATGATGTACACAGTATTGATCTGATACATGAAGAGATGGTGAACTAATCTTTATTTCAAATATTAGCATGTGAAATATTGGAAATTGTAAGACGACACAGTGAATTGATCTTTATTTTAAACTACTGTGTGGTATATACAAGGATAATGATAAGTTAATGGCATGGCTATAATACAATATATTATCCACTATAAGCTGGAAATCTGGGAAGAAAAAACTACAGTGGGTTCATTTTAGGACATCCAACTAAATGTGAGACTACTGTCGGGAGAGAAAAGTATATCAATTCATAAAAGAAACTATAAAATAAGTTTTTAACATTTTACATTTGGGATGTTTACCATACAACCACCACTATTTATTCCTCAGAGATACTAACTTCTTTTCAAGAAGTTACTTGTTTGATGCATTTATAATGTCTCGGTGCCAAATTTTGGTTCTGGCTTTCAGTTTGCTTGGGTTAGTCTCCGGTCTGGAGAGATTCCCAAAGGCTTGACAGGGAAGTAATTGAGGCCCTTCTGGAAATTTGATTGTTTATATCCATGAAATACAACAAAAAGATTCTTTCACAGCAATCACATGATCATTGTCAAGGCTTACCATGACTTAATTTACACTTGACATACTTGATACCTGATAAATGTGAGAATCTCTGATTTTGCTCCAGCTAATAGGTCATTGACAAATTCCTGAAATTTATTGTTAAAGTAGACCTTAAACTTGTAAGTGGATAAAATTAAATGTGAGTACATGGTATATAGAGTATGGTTTTCCAAGTACAGTAACAGTATGTTAAGTCCACTTATCTTTAACTGAAGAACTAAACAAGCGAAAAAATCTGATGTTCAAAATTCATGGATACACTTTAATGTTTATATACTAACAGACAAGACACAAGAATGATTTTTATTAAATAAAGTACAGTAAACTGTGTACATATACTATCTTTATATTATCAAGTATTGTATTTACAAAGATTATATATTTATAAGAAAAGGCAATATAAACCTGAGGTCTAAACATAAAAGGGATAACAACTCCACATAGGTAACCTATGCAGTGGAAAAATATTATACAAAGTTATGATACTATACAGTATGTATAATTTGCAGGATATAAACATTTGTATATATACAGGAGGTATTAAATAAATATCAAATGATACTATCTTTGACAATGGTTTTTATCACAATAAACCTTCAGCTTAAACAAATAAAATCACATTTTCAGTACATATATATATCAGAATTCATATATAACAGGTCAAGTTTCCCAAGTTAAAGCAATATCTTGTGTTGTAGATGTGACACTTGGTAATATAAATAATACAATAGGTCTTAACATATGAAAGATGCTTCATACTATAACTTACATGTTATATACACAAAATAAGAGATCCTTTCCAGGGATCTCATATTTTTACCCCTTTATCAACTAATATCCCAATAAAACAAAGGTTTGACCATTTTTACTAAGTACACTCACCCCTTCCCTAGCCACATATAAACTGTATAATGTAGATTTGTACACTGGCCAATGATATATATGTTCACAGGAACATCATTAGGTGCAGCAGGAGTATCACAACTATTGTAGTTATGGTGCATTAGTACCATAATTGTAGTTACAGTGCATAACTACATAATTGGGTAAAGCCAATTCACCAAGCTCCTGGTGAGCTGGCCCTGGTACCACAGACATCAGGCCTCCTAAATACCAGGGCCAGTACCTGGTGTGCTTATAGAGGTAAGGGAAACATAAGGATCTGAGATCAACCTCTTAGTCGAGTAAAATGACTTGGAAAGTACAGTTGAAGCAAAATGAACTACATACTATACCTTGATGAAAGAAAGAAAAGATGAAAACAAGGGAACCAATAGTTTGCTGAAAGTCAACAGATCATATGATACAGTAGTGTCCGAGCATGTCACCATATGGCAGCTGAGGTCACCCGACATTGAAGTCATAGTCGTTTTCAATTCCAAAGGACGAACATTGAGTTCACCCAAGAGTTTCACCTGCCTGCCTACCTCACCTGTGTGCATACATATACATATACATATATATATATATATATATATATATAGTAGTAGGCATCCATCAGTCTCAGGAGACTATGGTGTTGTGCTCTGGTTGTCAGTCTGGAGTGGCCTCTCCAGGGTGCAAAGCCAGAGTGCAACACCACAAGTGGTGTGTATGTGTATGTGTGTGTATGTATGTATATATAATATACATATATATATTACACATACACACATACACACACACACCCACCCTTGATTTGAGAAAATTTAGATAACACAAAATTTCCAAATGTAAAGCTGTTTTTATCACCAAAATTTTAAGAGTGAGACATATATGGCTGACTTGTACAATTGCCTTTGCATAAGTTAGAATTTGAATTTGGTAGCATTTTCTGCTCAAATTGTTCCAGTATTTCTGCATTATGTTCTTGAATCATAGAACAGCTCAAGCATTCTACAAAGCCTGATTGTGATGAAATGACATGTGAAGTTTAAGCTAAAAACAAAACTTTAAACTATTACAAAATTGGAGAAAAGGAAGAAAATCTTACTACTCAGTCATACATCATTGGCAAGTGTACAGATGCTCTTTATTCAGTGCAGCAAACTGAACATTTATGAGAGTGGAGTGGCAGGAGTACTATAAAAACATAGATATTGCATGTACTTCTTGTAGACAATGGCAGAAAAAGGGGATATGCATCTCTATTTGTTCATATAATCTTGTGCTCGATTTGCACACTTTCATTTTACAATATAATTTCCAAGAATGTCCACCTCCCACAAGTCAAGGAAATACTGTGTACACACACACACACATTCATGCTCATGTATGCACAGCACTCTTCACCCAGTACTGTCTTGTATGTATTGTACTGTAAAATAAAGTTTTATTGATACAATAAAACAACACAATCAATTAAGCAGGTCTAAAATTGTCTCAATTCATTGCTATGTACAGTATTATAGTAAACTGGTGATCTCAGTGGTGGCTTGAGTTGGACTCATTACTGTCTCCCCTCAATACATAACAGAACCACTTACAAAGATACCTGTCAAGATGAGGGATAACAATCATAAGAGTTTGGCAGATGATGTGAATCTTGGATGGACAATATCAGGCACTTACGAACATACCTAGCTAAGCATCACTGCAGCCAAAATTGATTTAAGTGTACCAATGTATTCCTTCACCTCTTATTTTATCAGGACACAATACTTGACTGAGAATGCTAACTCTCTTAAGGTCAACCATAAGAGTGTATGCATTCTCAGTCAAGTATTGTGCTCCATCAAAATAGAGGGTTGGAGGAATACACCAGCACTTAATTTTGGCTGCAGTTGCACTTAATCAGGTATGTTTGTAAAAACATCTAATATAGGACCTGGCTTTGGAAGCATTTGAGGGTCCAGCTCAGAAGTTAGCATTTCACTAAGCTCAACACCTAAATTTTTAGTTTTGTTCTAAACAACAATGAAGCAAATAATTTAATAAAGATTTCATAATATATATAAAACAATATTTATTAAAAGAAGTACTGTATACAGTACTTGTAAGCCTTAATCATTCAGTGAGGCACTATCATGGCAGAAGTAATGGGAATATTTTTCCTACCAATGATTCCAATATATTTATTTTGCCCTATCATTCATTAGACAGAGCTACAGTTTAAAGCACACATGCATAAACTTTAGCAAAATCCTTCTTTCTTACAGTACCTATTAAACTTTTCCCATGTTATTATCTTCATTTGTGTCCACTTCTCTCTCTACCTATGCCTATTTTAATCAATACATTTGCTTTATCTTTTTCTGAACATTTGCTGACAGAACACTCCTTTTGTTTGTTTATTTGACAGCCAAACCAACAAGAATGATTTTCCTACAAATATTACTAGCATTGTTTTTGGCCTAATACAAAAATACAAGGCAAGGACGATGATAAAGTTTTTGTAAGATTCTGCATACTTCACATTCTAAAGAAAGGCAAAATTGGTATTATTGTGTGTCATAAACACACATGATATTTACGGTTTAATTTTCAATAACATATGTACAGTACTAAGGTATTAACAAACTACCAATAGCTATTTGAATATTAAAACTTGAGCGTGTTTACTACACTAGAGGCAGCAAGTGTATCACAGCGACTCTGAAAACCCCGAGAGTAATTGCAGGTATGCTTAAGGTTTGTCTCACACCCTGAGATATTGACCGTGGAAACTACAGCTACAAGTGACCAAACAAAAGATTTTCCTTACTTAAATGTGATCTATTTTGTTAACGTATTATTTAAGGCATGTTCTAATGCATTACAAATAATGAAATTAAATGATAGCAGTCAATTATTATCATAGAATTCCTAGCCATATTCCGGAGCATAATCTGTCTGCATCGGTATTATCCAAATTAAAACCCACAAACATATTGGTTACCAAGAAAAGTATTTATCACTAGTATCTTAGTATTCTGAACTGCACATACTTCATTACTACAAAGATGCCATGCTATTGAGTAGAATAATAAAAAATGTAATTACATGAAGTGCATGAAGTGATTATTATGTGAATTATTAGCTGTCAGAGATTTTTGCTTTTGAATAAAAGGAAAAATCACAAGAATAAGTTAGGCTTCCATGAATGTCCTTAATAACATAAAGGTGTATACGTTACATTGATTTAGCTAATACTTGCAAATGGAACCGAGAGTAGACAGATGGGAAGCTGGAGGATGAATAAGCAAATGGCAGGTTGTGACATTAGCTTTACTTGCACAGCTAAATATGAATCATATCATACTGTTACTTCTTCCAAATTTCCATTAGCTTGCAGAATGCCTGTTTGTCCTGGATCTACATCACAGTGGGAGTAGAGGTCACAGTAAATTGGACAATGGTCACTCACTACTCCACCCCAGCCCCAGCCACAGGGAATAGCTAGGTGGCTCATTCCTTGCCGCACTACTCCCCAGGTGCCTGTTAAGCAGAGATATACAGTATTACATATACTTGACTATAACAGCATTAAAGTCTGTAACATTATCAGTGATTGTCTCACTGCTTAAAAAGAAATGAACGAGGACAAAATAGCAGAGCTAAATTACAAATTTCCTTCTTGACCTTTTGGCTGTGATATGCAACAGCGGTCGCAGCCAAATATATGCCCTAGAACACAACAAATGACTTGAGTCCATGTGCCTAGAAAAGCATTTCCAAATCAAATAATATTCCACCAAGTCCTTTGACCTTCAGTAAGTCATCCCTGGACTCAGTAAGTGCTACCAGCAGTTTGCAACATAATACAATACCTTATTACTATATATAGTAGCAGTCTAAATCATCCATTATGCTTCTTTGAAACCCCCCTCCCACTTATTTCCACAATTTTTTTTTATACAATTAGGGTATGGTACATAATTGTGAATATTGTAACATGTTGTGTATAAGGTCGACAGTATATGCATACAAGATGGTGAACCAGTGAGTCAACTCCAACCTTTATGACATTCCTAATACAATCACACATCACCATGCTATGTTATCTTGAGGTTATCTTGAGATGATTTTGGGGCTTTAGTGTCCCCGTGGCCCGGTCCTCGACCAGGCCTCCACCCCCAGGAAGAAGCCCGTGACAGCTGACTTAACACCCAGGTACCTATTTTACTGCTAGGTAACAGGGGCATAGGGTGAAAGAAACTCTGCCCATTGTTTCTCGCTGGCGCCCGGGATCGAACCCGGGACCACAGGATTATAAGTCCAGCGTGCTGTCCGCTCGGCCAACCGGCTCCCTATGTTGCACAAGATTAACACCAAGCATCTAGCCTCCTACTTTGGACAGACAGGTATTCAATTTTTTAGATATACTGGTAGGTAAAATTAAAATCAATTGACGATAAAACTTAACTAATTCAATTACCCCTACTGATGAAAATGGTAAATTAGTTATTGATAATGTCTATAACTAAAATGATATAAATTAATAATAGCTTTGTTTAACATTAATGCTTCAGAGTTGCAGTCAAATCAAGTTTCCATCCACAGTGTGCCCCAGCCTATTTACTTCTCTATTTTAAAAACTACAGCATCTTACTTGCACTTAAGTTAATTTTATGTACAGTATTTACTTATTCTGAATGTACCATAAAGCAGCAACTAACCTGTGTAAGCTGTTCTGGTGTGAGGATTGAGCCATATGTTATCACAGCAAAATGATCCTAGATCACTCTTAGCGTTAATAATAGTGAAGGTATCTCCTGGCACAATGTTGCTGTAAGATGCTTCTCGTAATACATCAAAAGCTGAAAACAAAATAAATTTCAACCGTTACTCTTCGAGTATTTTGTAAAACATTCAATAAAAATCAAATACTGTATATGCTGTATCCTGTGGACATGGCTCAAAACAGAATTTATTCCTCTGGAATTGCTGGTTTGACTAGTGTCCAATAATACAATGACATTGCTACCTTCCATATCTAACCAAACTATAAAAGAAAAATCTTTTTTTCTCTTTTCTTCACTTTTTATACACAAATATACCATTCCACAAAAAAAAAATGCACACAGAGGAGGTACCAATTTTGATGAGGGTTAATCAGAGAAACATTAATTTTGATTTAAGAAGGGGTTGATGTATGCAGCCTTGTTCCTCAAACTGAACTGGGTGAAGGGTAGGGGTGATCGGTGTGCAGGAAGGAAAGGGGTGTGTGGGGCTGTGAGGGATGGAGAGTAAGGTTAAGGTGGTGTGGCAAGTAGTGCATTTCAGTGCCACATATTGCAAAGATGGTACACAATATTTGCATTTATTTATTTATTAAAATATTTTCAAGAAAATACAGAGTTTTTTTTAACAATTTTGGAGTAAATGGTAAATTCTTGCATAACCATACTGTATCTTAAAACTTGGGAACTGAGGTCAGAAGAAAGGAGGGGGTTGATTCATGGTGTTACATCATGCTAATGCATAGATAGGTGGGAGTTTTAATCCTGTTCAAGGATTTTAATCCTTGTGTCTAATGTGTCTGTGTCTAAAAATTGTGTTTGTGTCTAAGACACCATGTGTCTAAAAATTTCTCATGGCCTACCAGGAGCAGGGAGCCTGCTCCATCAGAGAGGCTGGGAAGTTGTGGGTGTCAGATACCCCACACAGGGAAAATGTTATCAAAAGGGCCAAAAGAGTGTCACAAAAACTAAAAACACCAGGAGAAAAATGATTGTTATGAACGAGAACCAAACAAAATTTCAAACTATCCTCAAATGGTCAAGAAAAACATGGGACAGGATTCTGGTCACTGCTCCTGGTAGGTCATGTGAAAGTTTGACTCCTGATGGGTTGTTATAAGTCTTGGGGTACCAGTGCATGAGCTCTGGGAAGCCAATGAAAGGTCCCCCCCCCTAAAGAGGGGTGTATACTCAATGCTCTATTTTTGGCCCTAGACTCCCCAATATATGATAAACTTGGAAAAACAAATGATGAAATACTTAAATTCAAAACTTACCAGTATCATTTGGGTGCATGCTGAAGTCTCCTAAAAGTATAACATCCTTCTCATTCATTAGCTTTTCTTTCAATGCAGTAATGAGAGGTGCAAGCTGTGACACCTCAGAATTTGTCCTTGATTCACCATTATTGCTTGAATCTATATTATCTTTTTCTGCCTCTCCATTCACATCATTTTCCTCATACATTTTGTTTTTAGTTATTTTAATAGTTTTGATGTGAAGACTAACCACAACAAAGTCAAAGTCATAGCACTGTAAAAAAATAAAAACATTTTTTACAAGATATGCATATACAGTAGATATATAAACCAAGCATTGAATGTAATGAAATGCCCCTTTCTGGTTGACCTCCAGTGGTTCACTAAGCTTATACCTAGAACAACATATTAAAGGGTCACCAAGTTACTGGAACAATAATACAGATTATAAAAAATGATTTTATAATACAAAGAGCAAATATTCTCATGTCTTGTGCATAACAAACAATAGCGTTCCCTGGCACAAACATTAATTTATAAACAAGACTGGAATGACATAAATTTGTCACTGTCAAACTGCCCCTTCAACTTCCTCCTGTCAGTTAGAGGAAGAGTGGGAGTGTGTGTGTGTTCTTACCTAGTTATGTTTGTGGGGGTTGAGCTCTGGCTCTTTGGTCTCGCCTCTCAACTGTCAGTCAACTGGTGTACAGATTCCTGAGTCTATTGGGCTCTATCATATCTACATTTGAAACTGCATATGGAGTCAGCCTCCACCACATCACTACTTAATGCATTCCATTTGTTAACTACTTTGACACTGAAAAAATTCTTTCTAATGTCTCTGTGGCTCATCTGGGTACTAAGTTTTCACCTGTGTCCCCTTGTTCGTGTTCCACCGGCGCTAAAGAGTTTGTCTTTGTCCACCCTGTCAATTCCCCTGAGAATTTTATAGGTGGTTATCATGTCTTCCCTTACTCTTCTGTTTTCCAGGGAGTGAGGTTCAGCTCCCTTAGCCTTTCCTTGTAGCTCATACCTCTCAGTTCCGGGATCAGTCTGGTTCCGTGTGTGTGTGTGTGTGTAATTACCTAGGTGTAATTACCTAAGTGTAGTTACAGGATGAGAGCTATGCCTGTGGTGTCCCGTCTTCCCAGCACTCTGTCATATAATTCTTTGAAATTACTGACAGTTTTGGCCTCCACCACCTTCTCACCTAACTTGTTCCAACCGTCTACCACTCTGTTTACAAAAGTGAATTTTCTTATATTTCTCTGGCAGCTTTGTTTCATTAGTTTAAATTTATGACTTCTTGTTCTTGAAGTTCTGGGTCTCGGGAATTCTTCCCAAACAATTTTATCGATTCCTGTTACTACTGTATTTTGTAAGTAGTGATCATATCACCTCTTTTTCTTCTATCTTCTAGTTTTTGCATATTTAATGCCTCTAACCTCATCTCGTAGCTCTTGTACTTCAGTTCTGGGAGCCATTTAGTAGCATGTCTTTGCACCTTTTCCAGTTTATTGATGTGCTTCTTAAGATATGGGCACCATACAACCGCTGCATATTCTAGCTTTGGCCTAACAAAAGTCATGAACAATTTTTTTTCCCTATAGTACAAAATATTTGTGTTTATTAATTAACGGATTAATTCAATTTACATTATTTATGAGAAAATTCGTTTCAAGTTACGAGCCATGTCTGAGAATGGATTAAATTTGTAAACGAAAGTACCACTGTATATACAGTACTGTAGTATTATTATGACCAAAAATTATTCTTTATTATTTGTACACCTAAATATGCATTGTATAATTTGCTACAAGAAACTACAAAAACATTTACAAATAGGCTAAATAGGGCATTGTTTCAGAAATCAGCAAATCACACAAATTTGGAACACAAGATTTGGATTTTGGAGTGCCAGTGTACTACACATGATAAGTTGTATTGTCAGGGAAAAAGCACGGTCTTCATTACTTACTAACCTTAAAATAACCAAGATATGGCTTTCTGGTGAAAGCTTTAGTGAATTTACTACTGTTATTGCTGTGGACACTCAGTAAAGTTGCAGACATCAGCTGGAGACCATGACACACATTGTATATGAAAGCTGCGTATTCAGCACCCTGAAAAATAAAGCCTTTATAAAATCAAATTAACCGTGACATTTTTTAACCAAAGAAGATAAGGTATAATATGACTACAATACTATACTGTATTCCAAACCATACAAGACACTGACAATACCTTAAAATATTCCTTTAAGTGTAAAATCAGGTTTAAATTTAAGTGGTTGTAAGCTATATATAATTTGATACAAATACCTGTAACAACATTTTTATTTATTTTATCTAAAAATATATTTGCAAAATATGAAAGGTAAATGAAAATGTGAAAAATTAAATACTGTACAAAATAAATTATCCATATTTTTTAGCATGGCACCCTCAGCTGTTACCCTAGCCAAGGCCCTGAGAGAGAAGAGAACCAAACAGGGATAGGGAGCTACTGAGGGGTCACAAGAAAAGGGCATTTCATTACATTCAACTCTTGACTTCTGATAGGAATCCTCAGTAGCTTCCTGAGCTAAATCACAAAGGTGCCTCTGCAGAGGCTGGCATTTCTGAAAACAAACCAGTAAATAGAGAAATAAGGCCAGAGCTTACCCATGTAAGAAAATGGCAAGAGAGACAAGGGATGGGGCAGCAGAACATCAGCTGTATGCCAAATGCCCAAGCACAACAAATGTGGTGAGGCAAGCAGGCATTCAATAGCCATGGATATTTTGACAAAGCCATCAGAGTAGCAAACTTCCAGACATCATAAGAGTGAGGATAGGATAAACAGCTAGCTGGGTGAAGTGATCCATCCTAATGATCACCTGGGGAGAGGTGGTGGGCCATTTGAAACCAAGGGATATTTTTTAAAGCACTACAATCACTACAAGTGACTGTAGTGCTTTTAAAATGCTAATCTAACCTACATACATAAATACACAGACTTACATCTGTCCTACATAAATAGTGTTCAAGATATCTTTTATACAGTGTCATTAATGTGAGTTTACACACAAGGGATGTGAGACTCATGGTTGATAAACAAGGCTCCCAACCTCAGGAGCACAGTAATTAAGGAAGAGCCAGAAAAAACAAGACAGCACAATGCAACCAAGATAAAAATGCTGATGAGACAGAAACAGGCAGATAGTCTGCCAAGCCATCTCCTGCTACAGGCCCATATACGTACAGTTTGTGGAATGCAAAACATAGAAGTCCATACTCAAAGATTGCCAAAGAGCCTCAAATCATCGAGCTAGGTCATGCCATGATCCTCTTTGAGAGGAAGAGCCTTGGGAATGGGAGGGGGTTGGGGCACTGAGCCAGAAGGGGAGGGAACCATGGCTGAACTAGCCAAATGGATGCCAGAAAAAGGAAGAAGCCTACAAAGTCTCTAGCCTGGTTAGCATGGGAAGAAGCAGCTGGAATGCAGGGAAGAGGTACAAATGAGAGCAACTGCTCCAGTTCAGTTAAAACACATCTATAACAAAAGCCCCACAATATGAGAATAGTGCCATGTATACTGGAATACTGCCAGTTCCTTACAGAGGCAAACTATCCACCTGCAGATGGCTGAACATCTCACAAAGCCAGAGAAAGAAGGTCTCGTCCAATACCCATTCTGTTTAAATAATAATAATAATAATAATAATAATAATACGTAATAATAATATTTATTTACAAGAAGGTACAATGGGCATGTGAGATTACATAAGACTGGTATTTTTACATTATTGCAAAGCCACTAACACGCATAGCATTTCGGCCAGATGGAAGAAATAAAGACCATTTGCAAGAATGTCTAACATATGCCAAATGTGAACCAAACTGAGATCTAAGCCATGAGCAACCAGAAATAATGTTATCTTCAGAATCCAACCCCGCAAGAAAAGAGAACGAACTGAGCCCTTTTTATGAAGCAATGGACTACTGTGGTGCAATCTAAATTAAGGCAGGGAGCAGAGACCTACAGGAGATGCCATTCAGACTGCTGCAAACTTTCACATATAAAGGGATAGGATTCTGGTCCCTCCTCTCATTCCAGTTGATCATGCCATATCTGAGATGCCTTGCGAGATGGTATTGGCCTTGGGCACCAGTGTATAAGCTTTGGGGAGCAACTGGGAACCACCCTCACAAATATTGTTTATTACATAACTAACTTTGGCCTACACACAAAACAATTCTTCCTGTCAGGAACGTACCTCCCAAATGGCCAGAATGGCTCTCATAATTTTATGGCAGTAACAATTTACATACTCGTATTTTAATATTAATGCATCTGAGGTTTACCAGCAAAGTCACAGCCAAACTAAGCAAAACATTCTGTTATGGCACAATTTAAAAAAAGTCTGCTTGCAATATGTGATTTTAAACAATATTTGAATGAAAAGTATCCAAAACATATTAGTTCTCCTCTAGTGGATTAATATCATGCAGCTCAGACATTAAACCTTAAAAACTTACTTGAATCATGCGGCCAGCAGGTTCCTCTGATACCTGCCATCTCCACTCTCCCTTGGGTCCTGCCCATTCACGTACACGTCGTAAACTGCTCTGATTTAGCTCAGAGCATATCTGTTAATAAGGAAAAACTGAAAAACTAAAACTTTACAAATATCTTGACTGAAGTGCAAACTTAAAAATTATTATAGATACTGATAGTTACAGAACTAAACTTTCAATTCCTCCCAATATAGCACCAAGAGTGATGATCTGCACTCTTTATAGGCAGCACCTTATTAGCTCCCCTGACACACTAGGACACATTAGGACCATACAGGACATATCTGGCTACTGTGACATCTCTACCCACCCAGAACAAGCACATTTCCAAACCATTTTGCCTCTTCCAAGGGCCAGGGAGTGCATATGGGGATCATAGATAAGCCCACAATTAAGGTGAGGCATTTGAATTAATATAACAAAAATCCAACATTGAATGTATTGAAATGCCTTTCTGGTGGGACCCTCACATAGCTCTCTGACCTACAGCATTGCCAACACCCAAGCCTTATAAAACACACTCACTACCTACAAAGACATGATCACTACCTACAAAATTCTCATAGGAATTGACAGGGCAGATAAAGATAAACTGTTTAACATGGGTGGTATGCGAACAAGGGCATACAGGTGGAAACGGAGTACCCAAATGAGCCACAGGGACGTTAGAAAGAACTTTTTCAGTGTCAGAGTAGTTAACAGATGAAATGCACAAAGAAGCGATGTGGTGGAGACTGACTCCATACATAGTTTCAAATGTACATATGATTCTTTCAGGAATCTGTACACCAGTTGATTGACAGTTGAGAGGCGGGACCAAAGAGTCAAAACTCAACCCCCGCAAGCACAACTAGGTGAGTACAGCACTAGACAGCCAGACAAGACAGCTCCAGCAACAGCTGAGCAGGATGGCTCCAACAACTGGTGGGCAAGACAGTGCCAACAATAGCCAGGTAAGACAACTCCAATACGGCATCCAGGTATGCTAGGCAAGACAACTCGGGCAAGGTATCCAAGTATGCTAGTCAGAGCTAAAATCAAAAGTGCCATGACACCATGCAGCTTAACAAAAGATGCAAACACCAAACACCAAACACCCTTGTGCAAGCACAGAAAACAAAAAAGGAATGCCAAAAACCTGGAAGATGCCCTTGTCCACCCCCAACAGCACCGCGCACAAGACAGGCCATGCGAACACACGGAATGGCAGGAAATGGCAGCTAAAGGAAGACAACCTAGCCCAAACTCAAAACAGATGAATGAGAGGAAATGAACAGGGTTAAGATAAGGTGAAGGAGGGGAGGGCATGGGGGTTGAAAGATGATGAGAGAGGAAGGGGTAGGGGTCCAGAGGCAAGGAGGGAGGGAGGGGAGGGAATTATAGGGAGAAAGCACCAAACAATTACGACTACGGTATATAGCACTTGGAAGAGACCAGGATAATGATTTGGGATGGGACGGGAAAAAGGAATGGTGCCCAACCACTTGGATGGTCAGGGATTGAACGCTGACCTGCATGAAGTGAGACCATCGCTCTACTGTCCAGCCTAATTGGTTGGGCAAGGCAAGGAGGGAGAGGGCAGGTGTTGGAAGGTAAGAAGTTACCAGAAGCTTCACATATCCTAAACTGAATATTGATCTGTAGTACAAAATCTATAGTCCTTGAATACATGTTACTTCTTTAATAAAGATCTTTAATAAAATATTATGTAGTCCAATTGAGTCTCTCTCCAGTAATATAACCCACACCAACCAGGAGTGCCCTGGCTTTAATTTGATGTAGGTACAGTATACTGTACATCCAGTACATGAAATAACTTTGTGACATACCATCTACAGAACTTTTATTATAAATTACAATATAATAATATTTGCCTTACCCTTTCAAGAACATCTTTACTCCCAACTTCTTGAATGGCCAAAAGACTAAATCCATTTTCTAGAACAGTCCGACACACAACCTCTAGTACACCCGGATTACAGATCTGCAGAAAAACATTTCATGCATGTACATCAGGATATTTTATTGGATACTTAACTCGATAGCAACAAAAGCTGCAAAGTCAGTGAATATGTCATTAAAATTGCACTCAAATGCATCCTTAACTACTGAGGCTAGTTCTCAATACTGTATAAGGTGTTAAATATATGCCAACATGTAACTAATGTCTAGAGCAACCTGGGGTGTAACCATCAGATATCCCTACTTAATTACCAGTAGTTAGAAACCCTGTAGCCTGTAAAAATAGCCTGACCACCCTGCCATAACATTATTCAAATCCAATCTTTTGTACGTATGCACTGACATATAATTACAAGCCCACAGATCTCGGAAACCTCAAGAAACAATGTCTGGCCCAGTGATGTTCAGGGGATCAATTATGACCATACCAGCAACAAAAAATTACAAACAAACTTCCTGATGCTCAGGAAATTTTGCCATTCCTACTAGGCAACTCAGGTTAAGGTTCTGTGCACAGTTTGCTAACATGCTTCCCTTGCACTTGTTTTTGCAAATTATGGCCATCCAACTGGATATGCATTGTATCCAGTTGGCTTGGTTACCTCATAGAAGACACTGGTTGGTTGGGATGTGTGGATTTTCCCAGCCAACTCTGGCCGGACTAGACTGTGCAGCTTCACAGCTTGTGATTCATCATTTCTGAGTGCCATTGTTCTTCCTGTAGCCTGTAGTCTTTCTGCCTGTAAACCTCTACCTTTGTTATGACAGTTATGGGTCTATGCACTTCTTGTGGCAATTGTGTATTTATTATATTTGTTGTTTGTCTTGCTATTGAGGTGTTGAGATCCAGGGCTGCCAAAGGGGCTCTTGCTTGTAAGTGCTCTCTGCTGGTCCCTTGCCTCTTAATCATGGTTAGTCATGGTTAGACATTCTCATCTGCCTTCCTGGCCTTCCCTGTTGGCTGGGGCTCTGCATCGCTTCAGCTTGTGTGCCCCTAGATTTTGGAGGTGGGTGTGTTCATGACAATGGCAGCTAGGGCTTAAATTTGAGATTCTAACAGCCACCTCGAAGCCTACATTTGTACCATCAGCCCCTTTGTTTTGTGGTATATTTTTGAGGGCTCAGCTTCAGGGGGAGTCAGAGGCCTGTGCCTGTTACTCCTTTCCTTTCTCCCTCCCAGATTTGGGCCAGATTTCTCTCCTGTGGTACGGATGGGTTTCCAGGGTTTCTGGGAATTGAGGTTGTCTCACATTTGCTCATTTTCTGTCTTTGCTGCCTTGTTACAATGAGGCCAGAGGGATTGCTCAGTTTCCCTTACCAGTCCAATTTTGGTATCTCTTCTGCCCCATCCCTCGGGGGCATTTTAAAGTCCAGTTTTTACTGTCTCGTTATCCCCATCATTCATTTCCGTCTTTCAAAAAAGTAGCTTGTTTTATTTTCCCTACACTTTCTGGTTGATTTTCTCAGTTTAAGGTAGACCTCTGATGTCCAAGCTTCGCTCACCTTGCAAAGAGCTAGGTTTTGGTCCTGGTAGATTAGTGTGGGTCTTAAAGTCCAAGTGTGAGTCCTAAAGTTTGGCTGTACTAGTGTGTAAGCACAGAGGAATTACCGAGGGGGCTTTCCCTGGAAAAAATTCACAAAGTAAAGCTAACTTGACATAATAATTGCAAAATATATTATATTATATTATATTATATTATATTATATTATATATATATGTGTGTGTGTGTGTTTGAATAACATCTAATAATATAACACTTTTACCTTATCCCTAGTTAGTTGCTGCAGGTTCCAGGTAGCAACTCTGATAGCAGGCTGTCCCTGATGATACCCATTAAATACTTCTTTAACAACTGGTCGCTCAGATCTAGAAAATATTAGAAATTTATTTCAATTGTAGTGTAGCATCATCTTGAAATTCTTAAGTACAATACTTTCAAACAATTCTAGAAATTATTTACCCATCAATAAACACCAATACAGCCAGTCTTGGTTACTCTTGAAAGTTCTACTATTAGAAACAATGCAGTTACAGGATACTTTTCTCCCATAATTCTCAAACACTGCACTTATTAGATAGTTACTAATATTTTCAGAGCTACAGTATCCCACTTGCTTGCACCATACAGCAAGACCCTACTCACCCTGATTAGGATGTGTTGTAGTCAGGTCAAGTCAATATCGCGAATCAATACGGCTAGGAACTTTTCAAATCATCACCATCAGGTTATGCTAGTACAGTACAATACTAGAGAGACACTGGAGAATACAGTACTTAATCCAGTCAAAATTTTTGACAGAGAAGTGCTTAATATACAATAAATTCAAAAGTTTTTTGAGATGCAGTTTAGCAGCAAGAGCTACACCCTAGCTAACTCGTTGACCAATCACTGTCACTAAGTATCCACTCAATTTAACGGCCTCTTTTATACCGATCTGCCGGTATTAACGACCGGTTTGGGAGCCCAGTATCTGGAGCCTGCTATACCGGTCTGCGGTCGATATTACCAACAGTCGGTATTGGGTTTGTTGTGGCATCAGCGTCCCCTCACATGGCGACCAGGCCGCCACCGACCTGGATCGTCCAGAGTCATATATTACATCTTAATTTTCTTTTAAAATGATTCACTTTAATGAAGAAAATTGTAAATTATTATTAATAAAATATTTTGAAACAGTTTTTATTAAGCAAAAGTCTTTGTTTTCTTATTAAATACCTTTTATAGTATGTATAGGCACTAGGTATTTTTTTTCCCACGGACCTAGTATGTACTCCGCCGGGCCATGTGTTCCCATTGTTTACCGTGAACTCGTGTGGCTAGCTTCAATTGTGAAGGATATTACTGTACTGTAATTGTGATCTTTTTAATTTACAAAATGCCAAAAGTTACCCAAAGGAAGCGCCTGACGGTTGCACAGAAGCTGGAGTTAATTAAGAAACTTGATAAAGGATATTCTCATGCACGACCAGCAGCAGAGTTTAACATCGGGAAAAGTACAGTAAGTGACATCAAGAAACAGAAGGATACTCTATTAAAATATGCCTGAAAATAAGTGTACATACAGTATGTACCCTGTATACAATATAAACAATATAAAACAAGCGCTGCAGAGGATGACGTAATCTTCACAGCTTCGTAATCTTCAGCTTCATTAAAAGTAAGTCAATTTACCAATTTTATTATAGTATTACAAGATATTAATTGTTTTTTTTCAACAAAAGCTACATATTAGTCTCTGCAAATGTATATTCTATCGTCAGCTTAGAATAGGTGAGCTCAAAATATTTCGTCTTGGCTAGCTCTCAGTGACAAGGCTCGATCGCCATTGTTATGGCATGGCTGCCACAGCCTGTGTTGTAACATTAAAAATACATTACCTGCACTGTTCAGGGTAAATCAAAACACATCTCTAAAATATTATTGAGAAAATATTAACTTGCTGATTGATACATGAAATATTTTGCAATACAAAGGAATGAATCAATTTTTTCCCACCCATCTGGGCTTGATCAGACCGTGTTCACACATCATCCATGCAGCAGCCAACAACTGGCTTAATCGTCGGTGTGGCACTAAATTGGAATGCAATTACACAATGAACTTTATTTAATTTTAGTTATACAGTATAAAATATATCCTACCTGAATGTTACTTGAAAAATTACCCGACCCGACTTAACTTCGGAAATAACGACTAGGGCTCAGCCCCATATAGGCTGTTAAATTGAGTGGATACTACTGGGTTTATGCTACAATTGTAAGCACTTCTTGTTCATGTGTAGACAAACTGATTACAAGCTGTATTTGGCTCTGGATTTCCCAAAGGAAGCGATTAGTTATCTTCTCTGTCCATGCCTTTGATGAACAGAGTTTCATGGTCAGTTCATGCCTTTCAGCAGAGGTGTTCTCCTTTGAAGTTTGGTCACTATATTCACAGTTCATAGATAATTTACACCAAAACTTAAGCACTTGTGCTAGGCATGGTGTACTACACTGTTAATTCTCACATCCCAATTTGATAGTGCATGGCAGTGCCCTTTGTACTGAGTTTTGCACTGCATTCACAAAAGTACAGCAAAAGGTTGAGAGCTACACTTGTGGTATCCCATCTTATCTATAATCTTTGCTACACTTGTGGTATCCCATCTTATCTATAATCTTTGTCATGCTGTAAAATGTTTTGAGGCTTCTAATGATGTTTGCTCCCACATTTAATCTAATCACCCATAACTCTGTTTACATGCAGAGAATTTAGAAAACTGCACATTTGTTTTTGAAATTTGATTCTATGACCTCTTGTTCTTAGTGAAGTGGATATGAAAAAAGTTTTCCCATATCAATTACAGTACCTCAATTTCTGTTAGAACTTTGTACATTACAAGATGATATCACCTCATTTTGATACAGTACTTTATGTACAAATTTTGGCATATTTAACTCCACCAACATCTACTACTCATATTTTTTTTAGGTATGAAAGCTATTTAGTAGAATGTCTGTACCTTTTCTATTTTATCTACATGTTTTTTTAGAGATATGGATACTATACTATACAATTGTTGCATATCAAAATTTTGATTTTGCCCATGGTGTGAACATTTGTTTAAAAATTTCTCTATCACATATTTGAAGGCAATTCTGAAACTAGCTGATATAGCATAAGACCCCTCTTATGATGTCCTTGATGTGGCCCTCCGGTCACAGTTTACTACCCAGGATCAACTCTAAATCTACTTCCTTACCTCGGGTATTTAGTCTTTTTACATAATTTAAAAGCTAAATGTGGCCCATTTTTCCTTATTATGCACTCCATTACATGACATTTGCCAAAACTGAATTTTCATAGCCAGGTATTGCGCCATGCCCTTATTTTATCTTGCTAATTTTTACATCATGAAAGATATTTAGGTTATTTCTCAGTAGCTTACATCATCTGCAAACATGTTTGTGCAACTATCTCCCTTCAGGTAGATTTACCGGCATAAATGCCGTACCATGGACATTACTGATCAAGCCATATGGTACCCCACTAGCGATATTTTTCTCCATTCTGATTCAACTGCCTTTAATCACTGCTCTTATATGATTACCTGTTAAGAAATCTTATGTTCATACTAGCAGTCTTTTTGTCACCCTTCTAACCTGTTCCAACTTCCAGAACAGTCACTAACTGGAGTATAATTAAATGCCATTTTTAGGGCCAAATAGATGCAGCTTTCCCAACCATCTCTTTCTTGTAAGATCCTCAGTGACCCCTCTAGTATATAGAACAGCAAGTACGCTTCAGTAGTTCCCCAGAGCTTATTGCAATGGTATCCCAGTATCAGTTAAATAATCTGGCTTCTGTGGTTTGACCCACTAGAAGTAAAGTCCATATCTTGACCCCTCTACAAATCTAGAAAGCTCATGGGCATCAAACTACAACCCACTGCTATACAGAGGTGAACCATCTGAAAAGTCGAAAAGTAGCCACAAAAACACAAATTTTCTAAGAGAAAAGATTAGAGAAACTGTCATATTCAACGCAAAAACTACTTGAACCAAACATGAGTGACAGATGCAACAGTAGTGACTATCAGTGTCCAAAAACCACTGATAATCCTGCTGGGAAGCTGCAAGCACCAACATCTGGCTCTGAACTGCATCCCAACAACTATAAATATTAGGTAAGTAGCCTCCCAGATCCATGGGAACTGGAACTGTAGACAAACAAGACAAATGGCAGAATTGCCACGGATGAGAATAAGCATATTTGCTGCTAAACCTCAAACTCTTTTTACCAGTGACAAGAAAGAGTGTACAAAGCCACAAGAAAAAAAAAAGGGCAGTGAACACATCTCTCCATTGTAACTTAGCTAAAGATATGAGACCCCTGACTCCTGCAGCATACATAGACTATCATACAACTACCTAAGTCCCAGGGCATTATCTGGAACAAGGGCAACTCAAAAGGAATGCTTCAAAGAAGTAACCCAAATACTTCAGGTAAGTTAAACTTTGGTGGTTAACAGTTTGCTGACAGAATCACAGGACACCTTGCATCAAAAGCTGCAGTGATTGAGGCATGCAATGGAAAGAATAAAGAACAACCCCAATGCTAGATAAAGCCCAATGGAGACCTGGTCACCCATTTGTTGCAATCCTCAAGTCTCCACAAAAGTCAACATGTTGTAGCGAGGGTGCCAGATTGAACTGAGGAGGATGGCTGGCAGAAGCTCTGTTGCCTGTTTCTGTTGGAGTTGTTTTGTGTTTTGTGATCTTCATCAGTTTCTCAGGTGGTTTACCTTATTAGGGTAGTGATCTTTAATCACCATATGCCCCTCCAGTTCTTTAAGGTGGCAGGATATTAGTACAAAATTACAAAAATATTAAGACAAAATTGATAGGGAAGATTTGCCGAGACCTGGAACTTCAAGAACAAGAGGACATAGATTTAAACTAACTAAACAAAGCCGACGAAGATATATAAGAAAATTCATTTTCGCAAACAGAGTGGTAGACGGTTGGAACAGGTGAGGTGGTGGTAGTAGAGGCCAAAACCGTTAGTAGTTTCAAAGCGTTACACGAGAAGAGAGTGTGGGGGAAGACCAAGACACCATGAGCATAGCTCTCATCCTGTAATTACACTTAGACAATTAAATGAATAGTACAGTACTTGCTTTTGGTGGGCTGAGACTGTCATAAGAGCTTGTCAGTGAGGGGGGTGGCCCTGGGGTAATAATCCCATAAACTCTAGTAATCTACTTAGGAAACCAGTCCAGAAAAATGAGTAAGATGATTGAGTGGTGTTGCAACATAATGACAACCAGATAATAAATACATCAAAGGAAGTAATGTTTCCTATTTTACTTTCCCATAGTAGAGCTTTCAAGATCTCCAAGCCCAAGTGGTCCCTTGCCTTTCCATTCCATAAACAGCAATGTAAAGAATCTTAAAAAAAAAAAAATGCATCAGAAAGAGCATTCACTTACATATTCAAGCATTACTATTCAAATATAAGGTTAACTAACCTTAAAGACAAGAGTTCAAATATATCTTCACTAAAATCAATTGATATTTTAGGATCTGCAACATTTTTGAAGGCCATTGTTTTTTTCGCAGGAGAACCTCCACCATTGTTCAAGGGGGCAGAATGCGTTCGTCGATGACCTACGAGTTAAGTAATAATACATTTAAAACCTCCATTACATAAAAATAGAGTATTGAATGTAATGAAATACATTTTTCTGTGCAGTGCTGCAGTAGCACCTCATAGTTTACAGCACTGACTCCACAGGGTCAGGTCCTGACTTCTCCTAAATGTCAGGTACTTGACACTTTCTTGGTCTACAATAGAGCACATGGGGATAAAAATTCTACCTACAACTGAAGTGTGTTGCTCAGAAAGTCAAGGCATCACAAAACTAACACCTGCTCTAGGAGAAACGAATGAGATTGGTAAATAATCTACCAATATTTGGAATAGGCAAATAACACCTACACCAATTCCACAGGACACCACAAGGTGGTACACCAAATAACCCAGGATTCCAACCAACAACCCTCCTCATGGTCAGGGAGAAAAAGGGATAATGGCATGAGTAGGGCACTACTGTAATGCCACACAGTTTATTTTCATTACATTTAACACAATATTTTTAGGTTGGTCAGCTCTCGGGAGCTTCCCAGAGCATACAACAGCACTTCAGAGAAGAAAATAACTTTACAGAAAGGGAAGTCAGGATAAAGAAAAACAGATAAGATGAGACTGAGCTAACCCAGTTGGACTGCCAGAAACTGAACCCAGAACGTAACAATGAACACAAGATATACAAAATTCCACCCAAGTGACCAAGGAGTGCAGGAGAAAGAGGATGAAAATCTGTCTCGCAAAACCCAACCCCCACCACAGAATCAGAGCCAGCCAACCCGAAGAACATGAGACTATGACCTGAAAGTGAAGAATAGGGCACCAAATCATGCAGCACGAGGCATGAGGAGTGTGCACAAAATTCCACACCATGGTCACAGACACCAAACAGGGAAAAAAATTCTCATCTAGACGAACAAGATTTCATCAGGCAAGCCAATATGAGGTGGGTAACTAGCCGAGACCCTGCATGACCTAGGCTGTCAACTAGCAGCATCTAGTCAAGTTGGAGAAAGTGTTTTTTTTCCAGTTCCACTCATCTTTTATCATAGAGCAGTTGTTAGTTTTACGAGGCATTTGACTTTCTGAGCAGTTCACTTTGGCTGCTGGTCGATCTTTGATCCAACCTGCTTCCCTCATCTTTTGGGGAAGCCTCTGGTTTCTGGTAGTCCAAGGAAGTCTCAGGACCCTGACATTTATGGTTGGTCCTGAGTAGACAGTACCATAAGCTTGGGGGAGCTACTGAGGCAGGGGGGGGTGCACAGAAAGACTGTCATATAAATAAGGTACTGAGTATATACAAACCAATCTATTTGAGCTGATTACTTGGTTCCTCCTTTAAGCAATATTATTTTCCTGGGACATTGCAAACTCTACCCTGATTCCGATGCACCTTTCCATCTATTGATGCATGAGATAAGGAAATTTCAGCCCTTAATAATCATTAGAAAGTAAATCATTCAAGATTCAAATAACTACTCCAAGTAATATTTGAAATATAAAAGACCACTAAGTACTGCTCTACTGCTTTTAACCACCATTAACTAGTTGCTGCCACCACCAGTATTGCCACTAGTTTCAACAGTGTCAATCAACAACTGTGCAGCAAAGAAAATGCACAAGAGCAACCGAGTGACTAGATAAGAAGAGCATTTCATCAACACTAAACACCTGATTTTTAACAGGCACATTTGGTCACTCCCTTAGGCAAGAGTAACCAGCGTTCTGATTAGACAAGACCACTTTAAATTTGACACTCAAAGCAATGGGTTTTCCACCAAAAAGTACCCTACTATCTGCACATTTATTTATTTATTTATTTATATACAAGAAGGTACATTGGGGGTTAACAGAGAACATAGAAATTAAATTGATTTTACATTCTTGTAAAGCCACTAGCACGCATAGCGTTTCGGGCAAAAATGTCATGTCAGGAAAAGAATACGAAGGCAGTACAGGACATAATAGATAGATGGCTGGAAAATCCAGCCCTGCACATCTCATTCTTTACAAGGAAGGCTCAGGATAGGGGCTGATAAAGGTATCACAACAAAGTAACAAAAACCAGAGCAACATGATAGAGCAAAAGTTTACGAACCAGACTGCCAGTAGTAAATGTTAGTAGAACACAGTCTTCAAAGACGGATCCTTAAAGGATGGTGACACCCTAAAGCAAAGAGGCATATACAATGTTCCAAGGAAAGCCATGTCAGGAAGGACATAACTAAGAGGCACCAACATGGACAGAGAATAGCAGGAAGCTAGAAACTTTGGTGGCAAAAGCCACACCACCTCATACTGATGACTGGGTGATTTTCAATGATGATGGAATAGGATTTCAACCACTCGGTCCTACCACAGCTAGTACTTTAGTGTTCCTAGGAAATATCTACTGTACAGACTGATATTTTCTTCATTTTTTTTCCCATGTAGACTATTGATTTCAACATCAAGAAACTTCCAAACCAATATTTGGCAGGTCTTCCATGGCCAAAAATTATATCTCCATATTTTTTATTGACAAAAATATTTCTTGCAAATAAATTAACAAGTATTTAACAGACCTCAAACTTGAACCATTTCTTACCTGGCATCATCTTATCTGTGTTGTTCTGGTAAACTTTGCCATAGCTTGTAAATGAGATGATATCACTTATGGGTGGGGAAGCAGGTGGAACAGCATTCACTGTCAAATATACTTTCAGAATATTCACAAAACGAGCAGATATTCCTCTCACTTTTACCAGTTCTTCAATACTCTTAAAAGGACCTTTTCTGTCTCTGAAAAAGTTATTATAAAATCAATTTCACATTAATTACCATAAATCAAATCACAGGTGTTTATGTGACTGCATGAACAGTCATATATGTTTAGGCGACCATCAATAATCAAATTCACAAATTTTTCCAATTTCAATGGATCATTGCTCAATAAAAAATAAATCATGCTTTCAATTTAATGAAATATCCTTTACTCGTGAGGTCCTCAATAGCTTCCTAAGCTAAGCGGTAGTCCAGCCAAGCCTTAGGGCAGTGTTTTTCAACCACTGTGCAACAACACACCAAGGTAACTAGGAGTTCTGCAAAAGATACAAATAAAAAAGCTAAATCTAGCAATATGCAAATATATTTCCGAGTCATTGTTGTGTTTAATTTTTCTCATTTAACCAGTATCAAGAGCAAAGACAAATCATTTCATTTCAGTTGAGAATGAAATCCATTTGTGTTTATCTAAAGTATGACTGGGAATAATTTCAAGGGTACAAAGGTTGAAAAATGCTGCCTTTAACACCAGGCCTCTGAGATCCACCCTTGCCTACTGAGAACTAGGGCCAGAATCTGGTTCTCTATATGCGATGATGAGGGAAGCCTGGGGATCAAACCAACCAAAAAGCACCCCAACAGAAAGTTCAAGTACAACACAACAAGCCACTGCTTGAAGGTGGATTGAGGCATGAAGGCTAGGTACATGCAGGCAAAAGATCAACCTCACTGAATAGCTGAAGATAAACAGCTGACCAGGAAAGAGGAAAATGGAAGAAGGCTCCAGAAAAAACCTTTTTGAAGGATGAAACCTTCCCAGATCCCAAAACCGAGAGGAACAATAGGAAGTACACTGAAGGTGGGTGACAGAAAACATACACGTGAAGTAAGAACTTTTCTAAAAGCAGGGAGATGAAAATGGGTCCAGCAGAGAGAAGCCTCCAAACAACTCCAGGTGAATGCATTAGGTGACCGAAGGGGTGGGAACCCAGGTGGCCTGGGTTGCCATCTAATGGCAGTCTGTTACATCATGATTTGTATTTTACCCCTATAAAAATGCCTGGTGCAATTCCTTAAGACTTGGCAACTCCAGTGATTTAGCTAGAGGAGCTACTGAGGTGGGCCCTACCAGGACACCTGGCAAGTGATTAAGGTGGGCGGATGGCTAGGAACCCAGGTGACCTGAGTTGCCATTTGGTGGCAATCGGGCACATAGGGGCTAGGGTTAATTGCACACAACAATGATTGGTTGCCTGTTTGCCTCAGGGGCTCATTTCATTCTTTCATCTTTGGTCCCTAAGCTCTCCTCACCTTGTAGAGAATCAGATTTTTGTCTAGGTTCCTGGTAGGTTAACATGGGTCTCATAGACCTAGCGAGATTCCTAAGGCTATGCTAGTGCTTAATTTCTGGAGTGCTACTGAGAGAGCCCTTCCAAAAAAACTAAAGAAAATGGGGAAAACCAGAGGCCTTTCCCCACCTCACTAAATAACAGATGTATGCAAAGGACAGACTGGTCACCAATGGCAAACACATCCAGGCGCATACCAGAAACAATTGGGTATTAAAGCTTGGAGACATATGGCATCATGTACAGTATTACAATTTACATTTATGAAGCACTGATTTACTAAGAGGTATGTTGAGTTTTTTTTTCATTCAAGGTATTTAATGGCTGCATATTATCTCTGTTTCCAAATTGTTTTCTTTCTATTAAGAATGAGTTCAGTAGAAGCGTTGCTTCTAGTTCCTGCCACGTCATGAACACCAATAATGTTTTTGTCTCAAACAGGAACCAAGAGCAACAACTCATGAACCACAGGGCCACTAACCACATTATTAAAGAAGAAACCAATATTAGGAGAAAGGGTACAGATTGTAGCCATCAAACATCAACAGCAAACAGAATAATGGAAAATTTAACATGGTTACTCATCTTGCTAAATTAATACATCATAAATATAATTTATAATACATAACTATTCATGTCTCACCTTTATCTCATTGACCCCACCTGACCTCACCCCTCCCAAGTTTTGCTCATTATAAGCTCAAACTGTGTATCTCTGCTAGATTTGATAAAGCCCTTTCGGCCAAAGCATAATCTACAAATTAAAGTTCACGCTCTTTTTGTTACGTCACTACATTGTTTACTACCTTATTAGCTTACCTGTACTCAACAATATTTGCTGCCATTTCTTGATTCACACCACGGACATTCATTAACTCAAAGATAGATGCAGCATTCACATTGATGACCCTGACAGGTGAGCCACGAATACTTCTGCCACCACTCTGAGACTGAGTATGTGAGGGTACGGATTTGCCCGATTCATAACTTGGAAGTGAGTCCATGCTTTGTGTACGAGAAGATGAACGACTGAAAAAATTAACGATACAATTACATATTTTCATTAAAGAGTTAAAAATAAAAATAAAGTTAGAATTGTGGTGTACTGTACACGTCAATCTATCTCTTACAGAACATGTTCATCATAAAATAGTAAAACTATAGAGTACCGAATGTAATGAAATGCCACCTTCTGGGTGACATCTGAGAAATTTCTCCAAGTTTAAAGCACTGACAACCCAGAGTCGCCTTCAAATATTAAGCCTCTAAAACTTTCTCAACTTTCTGGGAGCCATGACCAATATCAGACCCCTTCAACGAAGCAGAGAATGCATATGGGGGATTAATGTACAACCCATAACTATGGTGAAACACTTAAAAATCAAACAGCAAAGTAAAACTTTCAACAACTCAATGAGGAGATAATGAAAAGCCCAAACAAGCCAACCAATAGTTGGAGCAGGCAACTTCAGTGGGTCTTGGTTCTAATGAATTCCTGGTACAAATTATTGAATGGAACAAACAAACATTTGTTTCAGTGAGGATTGTTCACCTAAGCCACTGCCGAGCTTGACCATAAGGGACATCTATGTTAGAAATTACCTAACCTAATCTAATTGTAAACTAATGTACAGTGCATGAAATCTTTTAAACTTAAATACAACATATTTTACAAATCATATTAGTATACCAATCATATTATTGTAGCATGTGTTACTGTAGATCCTCCATGCCTATAGAAATTTTAGCAGTCTAAATACTGTACTGTATTAAGAAAATATTTAAAAATTTTACCAAAAATACTAAAATACAACAATTTATTATACAAATTTCATTGTTAGAAAGTTACATGTGGAAACTATATACAAAATTGTAAAAAAAAGATACAAAAATGTTCCCAAGCCATGGATCATTACTGTGCCTTTGAACACCAGAGCTGCATGTTTAGCCGAATCTAAAGATATTATTGTTAATTATCGCATTATCTACACTAATTTTTTTAATTTTTATTAACAAAATGTCTTACTGCAGCAACCATGGTGCTGAAGCTGTAAAAAAAAAAAACAGAACTGACATGAAACATGAGCGGCTGCTGAGAGATGCCACCACACACTTGGTGTGACGTGAGGAAGACAGTGTCAGCTGGGCCTCCCTCCCTCATTATCACTTGGTAAGGAACTTCTTTATGGACATATTTACAGTTTTGAGTCCACTATATATAAAATATATATAAAACACAACATGTTATCCATTCAGTCTCAGTCCCGAGGGGTTCGGATAGCACGTGGCTGACTGTACAGTATATGACAATGTCAGACCACAAAGGAAGGATTCAGACAGGAATTTCCTTAAGTACTTTTGTATATACTAATACATCTTTAGAAGGATCCTTCTGAAGATGTATTATTAAATACAAAAGTACTTAAGGAAATTCTTGTCTTTATCCTTCTTTCGTGGTCTGACATTGTCATATTGTTCATCACATGTTAATTTCTTTGTGATTTACAAACACAAACACTCACACACACACACATATACATATATATATATATGTATACATATACACACACTGTATATAACTAGATGGGTATCAGGCTATGCCCAGTGTATCTAAATTTAGACTTATATTTTGTTGCATAGGTCTATGGCCTTTAAGAGATATCAAGACAATGACAATTTCGTATATTAGAGCAGAAATAACAATTCAAACATTTCAGAATCATTAACAATTCTGAACAAAATAAATAAAACATTTCGGAACCTTAAGTAACTTGCCTTGAAGACTTTTTTTTTACAGTTATGTCACACTTAAATGTCTGCAACTTAGACGCTCCTACACCAGACACAAGTGCCAGGTCCTCCACACGACGAAAGCCTCCAATAGCTGTGCGATATTCAACAATATTCTTTGCAACAACACGGGTTACTCCTGGCAGCGTCATCAATTCTTCTTCAGGGGCAGTATTTATGTTCAACAAATTCAGCTGTTAAAAAAATGAAACAGTAAGGTTTATGTGGCTTATATAGACACAGAGAAAGTACAAAACAGAGAAGGATTGTTCATGGTGTTAAACATGAATGAAGTTAGGGGAATGGTAGTAAATGATGCTTGAAGCCTATTATAATGTTAGTAAAAGATATTAAACAGTTATCAGTGTACCGAGTGACGTGTTTGATATGAATATACTGTACAAGCTAATATTTTGTAGTCATTATGAAAAGCTCATTTTTTTTCTTTAGCAAAAATATTCAGCTGCTCATCAATGGTATGGTTATGGAGCCTATTTTTCATATTTTTGCTCACAGGTCAAAAACTGAGTTTAGTTTAGTTAATTTATTATGCACCCCATACCCATGCTGTAAGCAGCAGTAATAAAAGGTTGCAGTCACTGATGAGTTAGTTACATAATTTACTATAATTAAATCAACAGTATCTTCAAAGTTAATCAAACTATCATCCTAGTGGCCTCAAGAGACCCACCATAAAGAGTTTATTAGTCAAGCCACTTACACACAATTTTAGTATGTCCATCATTGACTCCACATCCATACAGTGGGTGATGGTGGAAAAATGTTACTATCACTATCAGCAGTTAACAAACTTATGGTAATTTAGCTAAAATTTTAGGTAGTAGATAATTTTTAAAGAAATACTTGCACATTTTGCTTACCATTTGTTATAATGATCACTGAAATCATTTACTTTTTACACTCCATCACACAATGATGCAGGGTATGCAAATAATTTTGCTGACAGTTTATATTTGGTCAAGTCTACATCAGCAGGTAATGCAAATTCTCAGAGATACTTATAACTGAGTTTAGGTTAAAAAGCTAGTAAAATTCCAGCATTGAATTTAATGAGATGCCTTTTTCTGGTGGGTCCCCTCAGTGGCTTGTAAAGTCTCTTGTGTTTTGCATGAATGTACATTCTGCCTGTATTCTTCGCAAACTTGAGTATTCTTTAATATTTCCCTAGCACCAGTATGATGCAGCATGGACAGTTTGAGAAGTTCCCTTTAGTGCCAGTGCAGAATGTCACCCTACCCCAAACCATGCAAAATCTTAACTAGAGGTCAGTATAGTCGTGCCTTTGGAAGCAACTGAGATGTCTAAGAAAACAGATGCAGCATTTAAACCAAAATATTAAGTACAGTACAGCACTGTAAATATTTTACTGCACCTTGGAATCATAATCAAGCATATTAAAAGCAGCAGAAAGATCCTTAGCTTTATGCCCTCTGCTAAATTTGCTGCTGCCCCATGAAGAATTTGAAGAGCGACGCCGAAATAATTTTCGACTGGACACCCGCAGTGTATCTTTTTCTTGCTTCTTTGGTGAGTTATCTCCATTTTCACCTGGTGGAAGTTTTTTTTATTAATGTCACATTTAATGTAGATCTATTTTAATGATAAGAACTCCTATAAAGTAATATAAACTATGTGAGTCACTTGGAAAGTAATGATCAATAATAGAAAACTAAAGCATTAGGTGAAATGAAATGACTCTTTCTGAGTACTTGCTCAGTAGCTCCCCTAGCGCTACTGTACTATACACTGCCCTTAAGAAAACACATACCTGCAAGGCTCTAAGTAACTCACAACTTACCAAAGCAAAAATATTTTTACTGGGTATTACCCTAGAAAAAAGAGTTAAGGGGTTAATTAATTGTACCACAACACTAAGTAAGACCTGATAATTGTACCAAGGACAACAACAACAACTACTACAACACTACTTAACCGGGGCATTTGGGTCAGGATCACCCACAGTAACAAAGGAAAAATCAACAGAAAGGCAAATGGCAAAACAGATCAGTCTTAAACGGATGCAGAGCTACAACTCGACCGATAGACTGGATCTGCACTACCCAAGGATGATCAATCCAGGTGAATTCTACCAGTACAGTTCTTCACAGGACTAGAGGGGTCTCCAACAGAAGACCTTAGCACAGGTTTGGACCTGGCTTAGGGACACCTTCGAGGAGCACCTTTCCAGGCGACACTTCGCCCATTCCAGTCAGACCACCTATGGTGGCGTGGAAGAGAGGGAAATCCCAGAAGTACCACCTGGCACATGGCATAGCAGACCAGTCTTACACAGATGCAGAGCTACAACTTGCCCGATAGACTGGATCTGCACTACCCAAGGACGACCAATCCATGTGGATTCTGCCAGTACAGTCCTTCACAGGGCTAGTGGATCCCTTACAGGAGACCTCAGCCAGAGGACACCCCGTCCTTAACCTAACCTGACCCTAGACCTAAGGGACATGACGAGCGTGCTACAGACGTTTCCAAGACGGGCCAAGAGGTTGAGTGAGCCCCCTATGCAACAACTAACAACTGTACCATAACAAACTTTTCATATGTTATTTTTAATACTGTATATTTATAACTGAATTTAAAAAAAAATGTCATTAAAAGGAGAAAAACCAGCACTGAATGTAATGAAACGCCATTTTCTGGGCGAGTCCCGGAGGGTTGCTAGGATCCCCCAGCAACCCTCCCTCCCTCAAGTCAGTTTTTTTTTGTGTATTTTGATATCCAGCCTCAGAACTGGGGTGTGGATCACCGGTGCGAGGGTCTAGGGCTCCCCCTTCCCCCTCCCGGGGAGGGGGGAGCTGTGCAGACGTGCGGCGCGGCTAGTGTGACGTCATGTTCGTTTGCTCATTTTCATTTGGGGAGTTCTGTCCACTCGTTTGTCTATCTTTGTCATTTTAACCAGAATAGAGGTTTGTTTTGGGGTGCTTACCTTTCTGGGTGCCTGTCTCTGTCGATGGCAGATATAGAATGCTCCATAATCACATGTGCCTTTCTATAGGCCATTGCTCTTCGTGCCTCTCTGAGGGGGGCCAGGTTCTGGCTCGTGGTCTCTGGTAGGCCTAGAACTCCACCCACATTGACTGATGCCAAAGTTAGGGATATTCATATCAGCCTGGATAGCTCTGGGAGCCAACGGGGATCCCACCCAGAAATAGTGGTTTCAGCTGTACAATAATGTAGGATTTATCAGTGCTCAATCTGGCAATATGAAGAAGTTTCCCATTCTATTTTTTCACAAGCTGCTACTGCCTGGTGAAATTCCCTAATGCATGGCAGCCCTAGAGTTATACTGACAGGGAGCTGCTGAACAGCCCACCAGAAAATTCATTGCATTCAACACTTGATTTCTAAAGTACACCACTAAGCAACTTACTTGATTCAGTGGCTTCTACCAGGAAAAAAGTAAGGTGATCTACAATCCCTAGCCCTAGTATTCACTAGTACTGCCACATGGTGGTTGGGGTAGTTACCAGTAGTTGGTGGAAGTCTGATTGTTTCAGAATGTTCAGTGATTGTTGGCAATTTTTAAGTCATTAAAAATATTTTGGTGAAAGAAGTTTTGAGTGATTTGAATGGTTTCTGTGTTATAGGAAGTAGTTATTTTGGAGTGGACAGAGGTATGCACTCCACTAAGCTTCCTGTTCTGTTTATAACAGAGACAAGGTCATTTGCAAAGATACCTGTGTGTCTGCAATGAGGAGTTACTCAGAGTATAGCAGAGGATTGTCAGTGTCCTAAACAGGTCCAGTGCATAAAGTTAGAGAAGCTACTGATAGGGGCTTTTATGAAATGCTATTAAGTTTTTTGAATATATATTCCACGTTAAACATTCTTCCAGTTTACCAGTGCTCATAGGAAGCATCAAACATTTCTACCTTGAAATGTTTTATTTCATAAATTATGAATTTTGTCAAATTTCAGTATTGTATTAATACACTTGACTTACACTTCCAAAAAATTTAATTGACTAATGGTCTTCATAAACATTAAACAAATTTTTTTTTTATCATTCTCCTCTTACACATTTTACTCACTCTAAATAATTTACATTATTTTGTAAACGGTATACAGTATACCAATTCTCATAGTAGTTCCTATCTACTTTTAAATTTTTATAATTTTCTCAGCTCCTACTTACCTTGGTGCTCATCTGTGTTATCACTTGTGGGTGGTGGTAATTCCCCACTTGTACACTGGCCCATTCTGATTCTAGAGGGTAATGCCTTTTTCTGAAATAGGTGTTAAGTAAAATGAAAAAGGTCAATGAATTTTGTTTTTCAAATTATCACATAATACTATTGACTAGTTGTTTGCTAATCACATTAGAGTTTAAACTGAATGAAATTGTGGATATAACAATACAGTATTGTATGATGTGAGTGTGAATGAATGCATCTGAAAAACTAAGTACGTATAGGTCTGGTTTTGAGTTTACACTGTCCTCGCTGCTACAGCAACCAGCCGAGTTCTGAGACAGTGGGTCATAGATCTGACGACTTGTGTACGAGCAGGTTTGGAAACACTCGAAGGTTGCCTTACATTAGAAGTAACAACCAGTAATATTTAACATGGATTAACCAAGATTACATATTGAGGTAGAGTGCATTTACATATATTAATGAGCATAACATATGTTTCCAGCTATCTGGTTTCAGAACTCTTGTGCTTCCCAAGTCTGCTGTTGTATTACCAGTGACAGTAATGGTCAAGAGTCAATAAAATCAATTTTAGGTGATTAGCTGGTTGGAACACAGGGTGACCTGAGGTGCCATCAGCAGGCAATCAGACACATCAGGGTTAGGATTGTCCACCGACAATGATGATTGTTTGCCTCAAACTTACTTTCTTTCTTCAAGTAATAGATTTTTTTTATAAAACTACATTTTAAATATACAAAATAATATTTTGCTGATTTCTTTAAATATTTTTACATTACATTTCAATGCAACAAAATTTTACAGACTCGCTTCACCAGTAGATCATTACAGTTCAGTACATATTCTGTTACAACCAATCACAACACAAAAAAAATAGAATAGATTCCTTCTATTGCACTACGTCTTTCAGTAGACTGAATTCCATTTGAGTGAAACCCTACAATACAGTACAATATAACTATAAGCAACATAAACCCACCTGTGATTATGACGACCAAAGAGCTTGAAATAGTAGAAACAAAAGTAGTTCTTGCACGAACAGAAAGATCTAAAATTCCAAGTTCCAAGTTCATTACTTGGGCTCTTTATCATCTTTTCATAATTCTTGGCTTCACATGCTTAAAGGTGCCTGTTAAAAATATTACAAATATATATTTTTTGTAAAGAAAAGAACAAGCTACTGCAATATAACAAATTTAATTAAACTAATGTGAAGACACCACTAGTTCAGCAGCTTGCCTTCTTGCCGTAACTGTGGCATATCTTAAGATCTTATCAATTCTAATCTTTTGTTATCTGTTCTCCACCAGCATGAGGTAGGTCAATTTTTGATCCTCCAAAGATTTTTTTTTTTTCAAAAATGGAAATACAAATACTTATACAACAAATTTTAACTAAATTACCTTAAAGTAAAACAGTATAATTTAAAAATCTGCCATGGTCAATTGGTTAACAAATTACCAAAGAATTTCAAGACCCAGAAATAAAACCATAATAAGTACGGTACCTGTATTACTGATAAGTTGTAGCACATATAAAACCCCAATGAATTTGGAATAAATGTTAATTTATCTTCACATTTTCTCAGGAGCCAAGGAATTACCATTACATTCACATGCTATGCAATAACATAAGGACCTATTACTGTTTTATATACAGTACAGTACGTATTTAATTTAGAAAATGCATCAAACACAAATTTTGTTAATTGTAGACTTTCTCCACTGTAACATCCCATTTGCTATCTTCAAATACATAATACATTAGCCTATCTTTCTTTCATTACTTCTATGCCTAAGAAGCTAAATTTTCCTGAAATATTGTATTTTTTAAATGTTTTTCTTATGGAATGAAACTACTTTCAATTACATTATACTGTACATGATTTTTGTTTGTATTACTTCCATTCAAAACTAACATAGAAATTTGTTCAAACCTAACCTAACCTAAACTATCATACCCTAACATAATCTAACATAACCTAACATAACTAAGTCAATAATTCATGCTCCTAATATAAGAATTATTATTGTTAGAAAAGAACAAATTTGGAAAGAAATATTTGAAAACAACAAAATCATTTATCCTATTAGGCAAATTGGATCTTGCATACTAGGCCAAGTAATGCAGTTCTTGCTATTAGGCATGACACACACATACATGTATGTATGTATTTATTTATTTATTTATTTATTTTAGGCTTGTATCAAGCTACAAGCTCTAGGTCGAGCTACTGTCCTTTCCCAGGATACAACCCACAGCAGTTGTTTAACTCCTAGGTACCTATTTACTACTAGGTGAACAGAGAAATTATGTGAAATGTAACATAAATTAACATTTCTGTCCCACCTGTCCCACCCACCCACCAATTCCTTGGGAATTGAACCCAGGATCCCCAATTGTGAGTCAAAAAGGAAACCAACTGGAACAAGCAGATATACTGTATCTACAGTGGAAAAATGTTAACAGTGGGCAACAAAAATCCTCTCAGAACTTTCATAGCAGGAATGCATGAGGGCCACAGGAATGAATGAGGGCCACAGGAATGGATGAGGGCCACAGGAATGGATGGGGGTCACAGGAAAGAATGAGGGGGGAGGGGGGGTCACAGGAAAGAATGAGGGGGGAGGGGGGGGGGTCACAGGAAAAAATGAGGGGGGGGGGTCACAGGAAAGATTGAGGGGCTACAGAAATGAATGAGGGCCACATGAATGAATGAGGGCCACATGAATGAATGAGGGCCACATGAATGAATGAGGGCCACATGAATGAATGAGGGCCACATGAATGAATGAGGGCCACATGAATGATTGTGGGCCAAAGAAATAAATGATGGCAACAGGAATAAATGAGAGCCACAGGAATGGATGAGGGGCCACAGAAATGGATGAGGGGCCACAGGAATGAATGAGGGTCACATGAATGAGGGTCACAGGAATGAATGAGGGCCACAGGAATGAATGAGGGCCACAGGAATGAATGAGGGCCACAGGAATGAATGAGGGCCACAGGAATGAATGAGGGCCACAGGAATGAATGAGGGCCACATGAATGAGTGCCACAGGAATGAATGAGGGCCATAGGACTAACAACAAACCACACACGACAGGGATGATCTCATCAAAACTTTCAAAAGCAGTCAAGGATTTATTGGATATTGATCCAGACCACTTTATTAAAAGGTCAAATGTAATACATACAAAGAGCAACGCCTTCAAGCTCAACCAGCCACTCTGTACGACACAAAACATATGCTTCCTCTCCCCCCCCCCCCCCAATGGAACAATAGTTTAATTTGTAGAAATCGATAATCTAAGATTTATTTGTTGTGTTAGGAGAACAGATGGAATAAGAAATACAAATTTAATGGAAACACCTGAGTACAAACATACATACAATACGTATACTGTATATTTGAGGGTCCCGGTAGTACAGTCGGGCTGTTCTCGACACACAATCGAGAATCTCGGGTTTGAATCCTGGGAGGGACAGAAATGGTTGGGCATGTTTCCTATCACCTAATGCATCTGTTCACCTAGCAATAAGTAGGTACCTGTACCAAGGAGTTAGTCAGCTTGTTGTGGGGTTGTATCCTGGGCGGGTTCAGTAATTCCACCTGGGGGGTGGGGGGGAAAGAGAGCTCGATATAAGCCCAACGTGCATTAAAACACACTGGCTGCCTGTCCCCCGACAATTATTATTACTGTACACTGTAATAATTACTCCATTTCTTACTTTCATGGCATTATGAGGCATCAGCCAAGGGAGAAAAATGTGAGTAATACAACAAAATGAGATTATTTATACTAAATAATAAGACATGAAATGTATCACTCAGGCAGTGATTATATCACTAACAGTACCATATATACAGTACCATATATAGTATGACAAGTCATCCACACCACCACCTTCCTGCTCCATACCACCACATCTATAGTGCTCCTAATGACGTCTAAGATATGTACATTACATACTAAGACAGTCTCTCTCCTCCCCTAAGATAATAAGCTTCTTGCACCCAAGTTTACCACACATTATGGATTATTAACTCTTCCTCCCCCTACTTGATCTCTCCCACCTTCCCACTTTCTCTCCTCACCACCCCACACCCACCCACTCCACCCCTCACCAGTCTACCATACTCCAGCCATTCAACATACCTAAATCCTCTAAGCATACCCGCCTAAATCTTGGTGTTTATTTACTAGTGGGCGACACAGCAGGTCTCCATGACAGCTTCCGTCCCTACGGTCTGCCATACCCGGGCAGGCACGCCACTTGGTACACGCCACGGATCGTACACCTCTAGTGTTTTTTTTTAATCATTGTACGTTCCGTATACAAAATATTTACGTTTCGTATACAAATTATTGGTTAGTATTAAAATCACAATATAATGATGTTAACAGTTTACGTCTTCTATTAAACATTAATGTGGTTACTAAATAAAGTTCAGTGATGTAGTAGACATAATTGAATTATAATCTTCATAAGAATAACACCCGCGGGTGTATATACAACACATCCTCCCAATGTCTACAAACATGTTCGAACGCACAACACTAGACCGTGGCCGGTTTTGGGGAAAACTTCTATTATATTTATTGTATGATATTTATACTTGTATATAACAATATATTAAAGGTGAATGCCGAATACCTAATATTAATTAACAAAAATGACATCTGAAGCAACACGCTTGTCCCTACATGTCTTTTGTGTTTTAGTATTTTACTATGCGCTATTGTACTTGTGCGCTGGCTGGCGTTCACAATGGGTCACCATTGTCTTTATTTATTGCAAGTGCATCAATTTTATTTTATTATGTAATTGGCATTGATGACCTTTTTTCGACGTCGAACTGGCGGCGTTCTTAGATATTGTGCAAGACTGGAACATACGTATATTTCGTATGAAGGAATCTTTTCGTAAACATCCATGCATGCAAAATAAATTGGTCCATTTCCTCGGGATTGCACATGTGGGAAATTATGCTCAGTAGTACATAGCGTCTTTTGAACTCTTTCTGCCTATGGAGGCTTTTCATATTGTTCTAAATGCTTCTAGTGTGATCTCTGTGTGTAACGTAATACATATAAAAATGGTAATATTTATGAATGTACTTTTGCCTAAACAATCACAATCATTATCATAATAACGTTGGTTGAAGGACGACGACGATTGAATGATCAGATAGAGATAAATGCACAATAACCCAACAACCAAAGAAAACGGATAGTTGTAAAAACAAGATAAGCGAGATTGCGAGAATCTGATAACACACCATGGATCAGCTGACGCCATAAACACAACACCCCGCCCTACGGTGCGGCAAGTCTCCCTCTAACATACACCTCTGTATTAGTCGCCGCTCCTCTGTCTACACCACAACGCAATAACCACTTCTGGAACTTATCATCCTCTCCTCAACATAAACGCCTCTCCCAACATCTGTACTGGTACAGTCATCGGGAGGACAAATCCTTCATGCAAACTGCACCTACTATGAAGCAGTCCCGTCGCTACGGAGACTATTGTAGCATACGACTTATAATTACATGACGGGTCACTCATTCCCCAAGATGTGGTGGTGTTTGTAGACTCCAAGACTACTCAACTAGCTTTCTCTTGTCGTATACCAAAAAACTTCGGCCAAGAAATGAAATCACAGATGAGGCGACTACTAAAGCACATTTATTAACATCTAACAACCCTCCCTCTAGACCAACATGAAAGCTCGTTCTGCTCTTTGGCAACCCAAATTAGGACCTCTACTTCAGACATCATGGATGGCAAACCATCATTCTGATGCATCTTCAAGTCCATATCCCGTCATTACACCAGGATTCTCTGTTTGCCTTACACGTTTACGTGTAGATCGTACTCGACTCTCTACCCATCTCTTCTGTCTTCGAATGAATGACTCCTGCTTGCTGGTGATGCCCACACTATATGTTGTGGATGCTGCAATGAGTTGATAAGTGATATTTTTAATATTCTATTATTTAATATCCATAACCTTCGACTATATTACAGCACAATCTGTTTCTTTTTCTGCAGGCTGCTGCCTCCTCACCTCTTGAAAGTGGGTAATGATAAAGCATGTATGTATAAATATGCATTTCATTATTTCAAATAAAATTGTATATTTTCCTATAATTTATAAGATTTTATTTTTTATTTTTATTAGGAAAGCAGTATCTTGTATATGAAGAGATGCAATGGAGGAAGCTGAAATAAAAGAATACACTTACGTTATTGTGGGTGGAGGCATAGCAGGAGTTACCTGTGCTGAACACGTAAGTTTCAGGTGTTAGACCTACATGTGCTGAATACAGAAGCAACTGAGTGTTCTACTCATAAAAGAAGCTTTTCATTATACTGTTCAGTACACTCAGTGCCTAGTTATAATTGCAGATAAACTGTTCTATTTTTGTTTAGTGTTAATTTTTGCAGTTTAGACTGCCTTTCTCTATACTACTTTTCTATCTGTGAGAATAATTATAGAAATTTAAATGAATATGGTAGTAATCTATATTACTGTACATCTTTACAGCTGCACATCTTGCATCCTGAAATTACAATTTTGGTCATTTCTGCCACATCAGTTATTAAGGCTGTTACAAATGTTATGCCTCTGACCAAAACTTTGGATTTTTTTAATGTGGAAGAACGACCAGCAGAGGAACTTGAAAGTCACTGCCCTGGTGTGACGGTTGTAAATGACACTGTTGTTCGTCTTGATTCTAAGAAACAGGTGAGAGAAATTGAAAATTTAAATGTTTTAATTTAAAACGTCTAAACATGGAGATGATCTATACATTTTATTTAAAGCTGAATAGATTTGCATTTGTAGTACAGTAAATGGTTCATGAATTATTTGATTGAACTATTGTAACAAGTTACAATAGTTCAAAACAATGTGCTGCCAAGTGGTAGAAATTTGGTGTCTACTACCAGTTTGCTTCAAGTACATGTTAGCCGATATGCTAATGGTGGTGTATTTGTATTTAATCATTTAAGGGATGCAATTTAATAACTTATTTAAATAAAGTAATACCATAGGTATGTGTACAGTTTTTGTATATGTCTAAACTAATAAGTATCAAATGTTCTTTGCAGTATATCTACACATCTATGGGTAGATGTTTCTCCTATAGACTGTTGTGTATCTGCTCTGGAGCTAGTCCAAAATTGATTGAAAATAGCCCACACATTGTTTGGATACGTGATGTACAATCAGCACAACAGTTTCAGTCACGTATTCAAAAGGCAAAAAGAATACTCATTGCAGGAAATGGCGGTATTGCTACTGAAATGGTGTATGAAATCACAGGTAATATATTTTCATAGTCTATGAATGTTATGTGTATTCGGTTAATTTAATTCTTTTTATTGGTTTCTGTTGGGCCCCCTTATTTGCTCTCTGAAGCTACAACCTGGAATAACATAGCCTTAGGAAAACACCATACCTCTGAGACCCACAAGAATATACTGCGAATTAGGACCAAAAGTCTTGTTCCCTCTTAAAAAGATGTATGAAGCCTAGGGATCAGAGATCAACCTACAACAGAGGCAGAAGGCCAGAAGGCAAAAGTTTCACCAAAACAATCAACTGCTTCAAATAAATTTTAACCCTGATGAATACAGTGCAAATAATCATTACTTCAGGAAAATCACTGCTGAGATTTGCCAGCCCACCACCAGATGGCAGCCCAGGTGATTCAAGGTTTTGGCCAACCAGCTACCTCATTCAGAAGTAATGTGACTGGTAAAGGGGAAAAGGGGAAAGGGTTGCTTGTCTGATGGGGGCCCACTATTAGCTTTCAGATAAGTGATGTTGGCTGTCCCTGGAGCTTTTAGTTCTGTGTGGGCCATTACTCTGTGTTCCTTTTATTGCTTCACGTGTGTCTTGTGCCACCCACCTTAAGTGTGCCCAGTGTTTACAGTTTGCTGTACCCTGTAGCTGTAATGTCAGGGGTAACTTCCCTGATGGCTAACTTGTTTTCCTTCCCCAGATAGGGTTATCTTCCCTCCCTTCCCAGGTTTTGAGGGTTGGGTTATCCCTCTGGCTCTGCTCTAGGCTACCCAACCATGGTTTCTTTCCCATCTCTCATAAGACACAGAAGGCAGTTCATTTTGATCATTTCAAGCTCTGTGTCAACTTATATGTTTGAGATTGGTAAGCCTAATACTAAAAACTGAAACCTTTAAGTAGCTTTGGTCCTAGTCATCCTTTTGAAGTTGAAGAGAATTGTCTTAAGAACATTGTGAAGTTGATTTGGGAGCTCTGTAGAAATTCATTGTCTTGAATGGTTACTTGTCTAATTTTATGCCCATGCTCATGATGCTCTGGATATCATTATTTTGAGTAAAGTACGTGATGCTAAACATCATCTCATCCTTATTAGCAATTCAGTTTTCTTAGGGTTTTGCATTAATCTTTTCAGCTCTTCATTCCTTAAATTAGATAGCTGAAATCCTTTATAATTTCTTTCTTTCCTTAGTGTGTAATAATGTCTATTAGATTTTACAGAAATGAAAATGGCAGAATGATGAGCTCAGAAAATATACTCATTGAGCATTTTAAATGCTCGTTTCTGCTGCTCACACTCTGTCCTTTCCCTCTCCATTTTTTTATGGCCGGTGATCTTTAGCTTGCCAGATGTATATGAGATTTTAATGAATACATGAGGTTGGGCGAGGTGCTGCTCCATGTAGGTGGAGATGTGTGTCAAGCAGGAAATTGTGGTTGGTTGTTAGGTGTCTTAGAGTTCCCACTGGCAGTCATGAGTGCGACAACACTGCAAATCTAAATTTTGAGCTAGTGAACACTCCTAAAAACCCTATGTTCATTTCATCATATATTTTCTTCTGTGCTCTTAGTACTGTACCCTATATGACCCCGCAAGGATATCATAGCCCATGATAATTACAAAGTTACAGATTTTTTAGTACAATGGCTGGAGAAATAAATATCCTGAATACATTGAAGGAGTTGAGAGATGACAGTTAAGATTAAAATTCTAATACAGTTTTGAAGGCTTTTGAAAGTTACTAAAATTCTTGAGATAGTTTTAATGATAAATTCAGATGCTTGTACAATTTTTTTTATCGCATTTTGTTTATCCTTTCAGGAATTCAGATTGTCTGGGTAATCAAAGACAAGTACACGACAGCAAACTTCATCGATGCAGGGGCTGCAGAATTTCTTCGACCAGAACTAGACAAGGATAAACCCAAGAGTAATATAGTAAAGAGAACAAAGTACACTGTGGATAAGGAAAAGTCTAGTATCAAGAACCATCAGCTGAGAGATCTAAGCAGTCCTGTAAATTTTTAAACTTTATTTTCCTTCTGTAATATCTTAGGTTTTGACAGCTGCATCTTCGACACCCTCCTTCTGGTTTTCACCGTCTCCTTTCAGATATTTTATACATCTTTAATGACATCATTATTTTAATTGAATTGGATACTTGACAAAATCTTCATCCTTCCTTCTTTTTTTCTCTCTCTCTCCACATTACTGAATTTTTCACTCACTTTTCAGCTCAATTTTACCTCGCTCTCTTCAGTTTTATATTCTCCTTGCCTACATTTACCTGCTGTGTTCTTTACAAAAAAACTTGGTAAATGGATGAGTTAGTAATTACCTAAATGTAATTACAGTATAGTTAGATACAGTACTGTAATTCCAGGTACCTAAGTGTGGTACATTTTAATGCTCACAAATGTTATGAACTGTTTCTTAATATTTCTCCATCCATATATATACTGTATATTTAAACATGATACTAAAATTTGGTAGCATAGATTAGGCTCCTCCTCACAACACCTTTGACGTGATCCTCTGGTGACAGTGTACCATCCAGAACCACCCCGAAATATCTTTCTTTGCAAGTTATTTAAGTGTAGCAAATTTGTCACCTTTCTTCCATTTTGTGCAAAAAGTTTGTTTTTAACCATAATGTATCAATTTTTTAAGCTTAAGCACAAACAAATATGAATTTTTAATTGAACTAACACTATATATAATGTACAGCATATAGGAAATATATATCTCTTTTGTACCTGTGTAGAGATGAGATTCATGCTGATTAAGTCAGCAACTCGATAACCCATCCCAGTCACCCCTTCCCTCCTTCCCATACCATGAGGAGGAGTTTGTTCTATATTCACTAACTTTTTTTTTTTTTTTATGTATTATGTTAATTTCATTATATTTCTTCATTTATGCTGAGATTACTTAGATCTGATGCCACTCCCTGCATCTAATGCTACTTTCCACATTTGCTGTCTCATCCCCACTGCTGCTGTCTACATCCATTGGCACTTTCCACACCCACTGTCATTCCAACACAGTGCACTCTTTTTGCTCATTATGGATGGGATGCAGCTAAAAGCAGTAACGGAAGTCTATACAAGCCAAAATAATACACTGGCAGAGACTGTGGCAAGACTGGCAGAGATTAAAATAGTTGGAGTAGCTTATTTATGTATTATGTACTGTTTAAAAGGATGGAACAGCAGTAATAGGAGGAGCTCTTGGACCAGACTGGCACACAGGACTTGAATTGAAAGGTGATAGCCAGCGCAGGGTTACCATAGAGACTGAAGTTGAGATTAAGAAGATACTAGAACCAGTAGATGTCAAGCAATCTGGAAGAACAATAACAGACTTGAATTCTGAGAAGGGTAAGTACTGTGAATGTAATGAGTTAAAGGTCCTGTACTGTAATTTGTTACAGTATATTGTTCTCAGTATGTTGCTTTTCTGAGTTAGAACCCCTCAGTAGGTCTCTTTAGCCTTAGCACAACTAACACCTGGGCATTGTAAAAATACTAGACTTCCGGGTGATTTTGTGTTCTGTGAGGACAAGTATTCATGCAAAATGTGTTGGCCACTGATAAAGGGGTAGAGGACAAAGGAGAGCATACAAGAGATCTTAAATTATCCAGTTATCTATATACCAAATTCTCAGTTTAATCAGTAACAGAAAAAATTAGGTTATGAGTATCAGTTTGGCATCACACTGCTTGTAAATGGATGAAAATACCAAATATGTTTCAGTTAGTATTTGGCGTCATCAAATAGCAGCCACTCGTCAGAAAAAAATAACCTTAGATAATCTAACCAAATACTGTGTAGTAAACCTATAAAAGCCTATATACATCATATACACCATCAATACAGTCAAAATTGGCAGAAATGTGGTGTTTAATAACTTGAACATTCATAAAGGCTTTGGAGAAAGTTGTACATATAAATGATAGCAAGAGTAGCAGATTGCATTAAACCAATACAAAAAATGGCTCCTACCAGTCCTCATGGATGCTCACTCTTCTCATGTGTTCATCTATCTGTGTTTTTATACACAATTGATGCATCCACAATAATTTACCCCAAAGAATGAAGTAGAATGTTTACGAACATGAAAATCAATAACAAGAACCTGGGAAAGTTAAACGTATAACAGTGTTTCTGTTGGACGATGTGTGAAACTCTCACCTTTATCTTTAACTAGCCCCTTCTTCCAACTTTCTTCAACAGTCTGCTTTATCTTTATTTAAAGGATGTCCATTAGAGATACAGTACTGTATCTCCTTTGAGGATGTTGGGTACCTTTTCTGTTACCTCTTGAGTCGACACCAAACGCCAACAAAAGTAAAGCCAACTATTAGGAAGCAGCTGTATTTAGAGAGGCAGATTTTGACCCTGGCTTATGGTAGTTCAGTGTAGGTTTTGGAGGAGTAATAAGAAGTAATTATCAAAAGAGGGCAACAAGTCTAGAAGACTATTTAACCCAAAGTTTTGGAGGAGGCTAAGCATGAGTTTTAGCCCTTGCAGTACTCGTACATAAGCACCTGGATACTGGCAGTACTACTGAAAGCCTACCAGAAAAGAGCATTTCATTACATTCAACACATGATTTATTATTTCAGACTGTTTAAATTGTGTCCAATACATACTCATTTGTGGATATTTAACTTGAAGGATAATTTATTAATGTACTGTGTTTTTTTCTAATCATACAGAAGAATGGCCTGTCTATGTGGAGCTAACAAATGGAAAAATATATGGCTGTGACTTCATTGTGTCAGCTATTGGCGTTACACCCAATATCTCTGCTTTTTTAGAAGGTAATTGAAGTTTATTAACACATGCTTCTGTATTGTTATTGCTTATTGATATGTACCAGATGAGGGGCATAGAGACAGCACCACACAAACATCCCTTCCAAAAAACTGAGGTTGAAGCTTACAATTTATATTGTGAAATTTGTATAGAAACACAGTTTTTATAATAATGTTTAATTAATAATTAGTTGATTATTGTGAGTCATATCTTTGGGGGTGGTTAGACATTGGCTGGGGAGACCTCAATAAGTTAGTCAGGTTACTATTTCTAAAAATTGGAAACCAAACCAATTAAAGTACACTGCAGAATTTTCTGGTTCATGCATGCCTCATAAAGTGACCTTTGTAGATAAACTGGAAAATTACACATGGAGCTCAAGATTTTTGTAGTTTTACTGTAACTGTTTTATACTGCTCATTTAAGGAAACAACTTTAAAGTTGGAGAGGATGGTGGCTTCCTGGTTGATGACAAAATGAGAACATCTGAAAAAAATGTGTATGCAGCAGGAGATGTTTGCACACCTGATTGGCATCTGGCCCCACATTGGTTTCAGGTCAGTAAATACATATTACATGTGTGTAATTATCGAAGTATTGTTAAAGGATGAGAGCTATGCTCATAGTGTCCCGTCTTCACAGGACTGTCATATAACGCTTTGAAACTATTGACGGTTTTGGCCTCCACAACTTTCTCGCTTAACTTGTTCCCACCATCCACAACTCTGATTGTAAAATAAAATGTTCTAATTTTTTTCAGCACCTTTGTTTCCTTAGCTTGAATCTATGACCTCTTGTTCTTGAGGTTGCTGGTGTCAGGAATGCCTCTTCGTCAATTTCATCAATTCCCATTATTATTTTGTAAGTGGTGATCATATTGCCTTCTTTTTTTTTCTCTTCTATCTTCTAGCTTTGGTATATTGAATGCCTCTAGTCTCTCTTCATAACTCTTGGTTTTCAGTTCCGGAAGTCATTTTGTAGCATGCCTTTGCTACAAAAATGGCTTGTGCTTGGACCTGACTTGAACTGTGTCAGTCTCAGTCTATATTAACCAGTCAAATCTCTGGTTATCCAGATATGGTAAATTTTTATCCAGACTCAGTTTTGGTCAGATAACCTAAATTTCTGGTTCATTGGGCTTTGGATAACCAAGCTCATACAGTATAACAAAAAACTCAATCCTAGATACAGTAGGTCCATGATCTTTAATATAAGAAAAAAGTCCTAAATACTATACTTTGTAAATTTTTTTTAATTTACAGTGAAATTGCAAATATGTAATAGATTACTGCACTTTCAGATGCGGCTCTGGACTCAGGCACGTCAAATGGGATCATATGCTGCTAAATGTATGTGGTCATCACTTGTCCAGGAAGAAATTTACATGGATTTTTGTTTTGAGCTGTTTTCTCATGCTACCAAATTTTTTGGCCACAAGGTCATCCTTCTCGGCCTCTTTAATGGCCAAGGACTTGAACGCAAATATGAAATTCTCTTAAGGTATACTAAAGGTAAGGCTATATTTCAGTACTGTACAAAATATAAAAATAGTTTGGAGATGTGTGTAAAATACTAGATGGCAGCACTGATCTGTGCAGGGCCTCACTTGGCACTTCTTCACTCTGAGACTTCTTCTCATACTGTGGGTCTAATTAATTTAAGAGAAAGTTCTTCATTCATAAGTGTGCCCCTTACTTCTCGTAAGTTATAATTTAAAAAAAAAAATCATTGTGTGGAACCTTACACACGCTTTCTTAAAATACTCGCCCATGGTCTCTATTGTTGCTTTTGAATAATGTTATTGTTCTAGTCCATGTACTGTACACATTTCATTCATTTACTTCATCCTGATTTCTTGTTGTCTTAAATATCTATGGTTAGTGACACTGGCATATAGATCAAGCTTTTGATATCGTAACCATCCTCTCAAGAAAACAGAGCAGGGTTTTCCCTCCAAGAAAATAGAAAGCAAAGCAGAGCAGAGCAAGTCTGGATTAGCTCACACAAGGGAAAATAGTTTCAAACTCAACAAGCCATAATATAAGACAGGAAAGAGGAAATGCTTTTGTACCTGTTGGGTAATAAATCCATTGAATTGCCTACTCACCAAAGTTATAAATCCTCATGAATAGTGGGAGGGTGAGGAGCTTTGACAAGTCACTGGTTTTCTGTTCCCATCAAGGACCCTTAGATAAATAAGATGATTGAATTTTGCTGGGTTCCCATCCATATTAGTGTTGCTTCAAATAATTTTTGCAATGCCACTGCCAAAGAGGTCATGTGTGTCTTTTCAATCTCCCAGAAATAAATTCCTTACTCTGATTTCTACTGTTATTCATAATGCAATCTGAATTAGTTGGATAGATGGTCAGCTATTTTTAATAACAGTGTGACCTATTCCTGTGGCCTTCTTCCTGCCAACAAAGCAGCAAGTGTGGGAACTTCTCTGGCTAGGCTTCATAACAACCACATACAATTAACTCTCACACTAATGAAACAGACCTGCACCTGTCGGAACTGCATTGTTCCACTAAAAGTCTATCTCCTTGTAGAATATCATGTTTCATCAGGATACTCCACATATGTGATCATATAAAACTTTTGATCTGTAATTTTGCTTTCCCAATGTTCCTTTGAATCATGCGTCTGTCAATAAATTTGAGATGACAAAGTTATTGGATTCCCCAACTTGTCTTTCTGCACTAAACAGTATTGGCCTTCTGAATTACTGCATGTCATGAAACTTATAGTCTGGGAGTGCTGTATAATCTTCTGAGCTTGGCACCTTTCGATATCTAATTACTTGCTAAAAATGAGGTACAGCAAGTGTTGGATTATATACCAAGTACGAGTTTCATTTTGAAGTTTACGTGTACAGTACTGTATCAGTTTTTTGTGGTCATGATTTTATATATAAGCAGAAGATTATTTTTCAGGAATGGAATATATAAAGTGCATAATGGTTGACGGTCGTATGCAAGGAGCAGTATTGATTGGCGAAACAAATATGGAAGAGACCTTCGAGAACCTCATTCTCAATCAAATGGATCTCTCCGAGTATGGTGAAGACTTACTTAACCCAGATATCGACATTGAAGATTACTTTGACTGAATAAGGAGTGTTTAAATTCCATTATCAATTCCTCCCCCTGTAATGGTTCCCTTAAAGTAACGAACCTACTTTGAATGTGAATATAATTTTTAATTACTGTACTAAGAACTTTGATGGTTTAATAAATTGCTCTTAAAAATACTATTTTCAGTTGTTACCGTTACTGAACAAAATAAGCAGTTCTTTGAGGCATGATAAGGGAAGTATTTTAATATTTTATTTTACACTTGTATAGGCATCCAATGCTACACAGAAAAGTTTAGTGCCAGCAGTAATTTCCTTTCTTACTTTCCCACACCTCACGGATGACCAGCAAAAGAAATGTAGGCGTCAAAACCAGAAATATCTTCTCGAAGTAGTGATGTAGACAGTCAGTCACTTTACATTTAACAAAATGCCAAAATTTTTTTCATCCTAAATTTCTAAACAAAATTTACTCCATCCTAAACCTGCTTCCAACACTTAGTACTATGCTCTGCCTTCCCCTTCATATCTAAACTCAAATTTCTTACTAATACCCTTCATCCTCTTGACGTAAAGCTCGCCTTTCGACAAACTAACACTCTTCATAGCAATCTAGTTCACAATGCTGCCCCTGCTTCTAATGCTGCTGGTGTCTACTCTTATTTTCTGTTCGTCTTGTCTTCTCCAATATTTTGGTGAAACTGGCCATACACTAAATAACACTTTTTTTGTGTGTTCTTTAAATCTAAGTCTGCAAGCACAAACAATGCGCTCTTCTGTCAAGTTAGGAATTCCATTTATCCTATTGATTGGTCTTCTTCTAAAATAATCTTTCCTGCCTCTACTTTTCACAGATGCTGTCTTGTTAAATGGGCTCTGATACACAACCTATCCAACCTGAACCAGAGTCCTGGCTTTGTTGCTGTTGACTCTTCCCTTTCACAGTACATACCCAAATGTTCTAAACTGTCCAACAAACATTACCTAACATAAGCCTGCTCTTCATTTTTCTCTTTCTTTTTCTTACGTTCCCATTCTTACTCCTATTTTTACACCCTTTATTACACCTTCCCTTCCGTACCTTTTGCCATGCTCTTATCTTCGTCTTTAGATGTCCTCCTCCTGCCTTACTTAATGCCTGTGCCTCCCTTGTCTCATCATAGTGGTCCAAGACAGACCGAAACGTCTTCATCTCTTCATCTTCGTGTGGTTTGGTCAACATTTCTTCAGCCATATTACTGTGACTCATCATCTGCAAATGCCAGCATATACCTCTGTTTCATTTTTTCTCTGAATGTTTACACTAAACCTATTGATGTGATTTTGCATTACAAATATAGCATGACATTGTGCACCTCCCACAAGCTGTCTGCTTATCTAATTCGGAGACGGGAGCATTGAATCCTGGAACCGACAGGTCTTTCATGTAGAGACCAAGTGTTTATTAAAGATTGCTTAATTTTTGAAACGTAATACACAACATACAGAAGCAATCGTAATATACTTAGGGAAGTAGAAACTACTACTAGCGACAGTAAAGTATATCGCTAGCTCTCAAAAAGAAAATCGGGTGCAGTACAACCAAAAGCAAATTATTCATGATTGATTTTACTTTTGACCCACTAATTTCAAATGTTAAATAGTAATTCCATGGCAACCATGCTCTAAATCCATATAGTCATGCTGACTTTGGTCTGTACAATTCTTCTTGTCAGTTTATATATACATACTTCATTCACTGCCACCTTACAAACTTGCTTCCATCTAGCTGTCTTTTGTTGTATGTCATGGGTTGTCCACACTACTCGTGCTTCCTCACATACACACTTGCATTGTACAGACATCTTCCCAACCTACCATCTCGATACACACGGCTCCATCTTGTGGTTCATAAATTTGTGCTCCAAATCTTTCGTTCCTTACTGTATTACATCACACACACTTTTCAGTGCATGTTAATACCACACCATTGTCTCGCATATAAACATTGATAGTTATTACCATCCCTTAATGCAGCTTATGTTGAATTTATTCCTATCTAACCAGAGTTTTCATTGTACTAACCACTTCCAAAACCTTTACTTGACCTACTGTACTTACTTCGTTTGCAAAAATTCTTTGTGTAAATCACAAAATACCATAGTTAAAACTGTTAAAAAGTGCAGTTAAATATCACGAGCATCAATAAAACGATCAACCAATAGAATTTTGTACTTCATCTGTGCCTAGATACTTTATCTTGCTTTCCATTATCAAAGAAATCCAGGTACAATAAAAGACATGAAAATATTGAGACTTTATATCACCTCTTCGCTCTCCTACAACACACCACACAATTTAATAACAAGCATGACTGATGTACACACTAAATAACATCAAAAATTTGTGGAATGAAACTGTCAACTCTGACAAGCATAGAAATAAAACCTGATATCTTGCTTGTTCATCCACACACCATATAAGTTTAGAACCATGTATCCTTTGTTGAACATTATTTCACTAAGAACTATACACACATTATCCAGGTGACCAAACAAGCAGGTGTTCACCAGGTAACCTCTTCACTGAATAACTTTATGCCAAGTCTGAATTTCAAATCCTTGTAAACAAAATAAAAAATTTCCTTCAAAAGGAATGCATTTCTTTATATCAACAAACAAGTATATCAATAAACCCCCTTCAAGAATACTCAATGTATATATTACAACAAACACAAAGTACATTGAACAAATGTAAAATTGATGACTGGACTTGGGCAGTTGGGATGGATGAACTGAAGACACCATGTATCATTAGTTCAGGCATTCCTGGAAGAGTAATAAGATTAGGATAAATAAATTAATGCCTCATTATATTAATATACAAGGGTGTCATTACTGTGATGAACTTCTGAAAGCAGCATGCTAATTATTCTGTGTGTGTTTCTTTCGAGATGAAACTTACAGACGAGTCCATTTTATAAGTAAAACTGACGGCAGGAACTTTCCTTTAATTTTTAAACTTTACATGCATTTTTAAAATTCATCAATAGATTGTAGCTTTGAAGCATAGATTCCAAAACAAGTAAAAAATAATTATTATATTCATGAAAATATTATGACTACATGCACGCAAGATTTTTTTTCCCCATAGTAAGCATGAGTTCATAATGAAAATTCAAACCCACAATTCTTAAATCAGAAGTGCATTTGCAATTGTGTAAACATCCTCATATGAATGTTGTATCTCTTGGTATCCCCAATGTGGCTTTTGAGGCATGAACCAGTTCATAATCTACAAGGGAATGCTTTGTACATTATTCAACTGCAGATAATGCAACATGTACAGCCATATTTTACATTATTGCTAGTGTGTCACCAGGTAACCCAGATACAGCACTATGCTGCACAAGTAACTGCAAAGGATTCCATCAGGGTAAAAAAATTTGTTGTGGTAAGACAAGAGGGAAAATACATTGTTATGCCTATTTCTCATAGTAGTTTCTTCTACAAAATTGTTTACAAATGCGACTGGAGCCACATTAAAAAAAAAAAAAAAGAGTTATCATTTAAACCCTAATACTTCCAATGCTCCATGGGTGCATTACACAGGTACTAGCCTGGTTCTCCTGGTAGTTAAGCTATTTTCTCTTAGCCAAGATTTTTTTAAGATCCAGTTACTTACATTTTATTTTTTCAAAGATAAGGTGATGACCCCAAAACAGTGTAAGTAAACCAAGACCATCAACTTTTCCACAGGCCTATAAACTCTGACTCTGCGTACTCAGAAAACCTGAACATCACTTACTTCACTGAACTATGTTCAGTGAAGTGGGTGAGAAAATCCAGTCTGCAAAGTGTGTATTGCAACCAGTGAGGTTTACTGGAGTTGAGAGATTTGCTGAAGTGAGGTTTCATAGTATTTTTAGTAATATTTACAAATAAAATACGAAGACTGGTATTAATAGAAAAAAAATCCGACGAGATGGTAATTCTTCTCGGTGACAAACTGGTGTTTATATAGTTTGAGTATAGTTGATATAGTCAAGTATTTTATATAAACGTTTATTTCTGCTAGTACAAGAAACTATTTGCATCTTTGTGTATAATCAGCAATTAGGAGGAAGTATATACTAGGCTACTGACCTCATCACCTATATGTGGCAGACACTGTGACTAGACTAGTACAAGAATTGGTAGGGCTTGGCTATGAGGACTTCATCGAGGAAAATCCCATTTGACAAACTCTACAATATAATGGGATTCAGTTCTAGATGATAGGAAAAAGTTCTACAAGATGATGGGATTCAAACAAGAGAGAAAGGATCAAGCAATTTTAGCTAAAGTTGATTGACAGATATAGTGGGCTGGGTATAATAAACATTTATGAAATACTAAGGTTGGTACAATATTTATAACAATGTGACATCCAAATTCCTGAAGTTTCTGCAAAATGGGTTGCTAAAAACCTCTGTACTCATGGATGGTTGATGCAAGAGCATGGCTACAAGTCAAGAGCATTTGAAAACTCTAATGCTGATGTAGCCAACTTTCTTTCCTGTCTGATAATGGGAAATGTAACTTTGCTTCGTCACTGGGACCACAAGTCAAAGCTGAACTGAAACCTATGCATTGGAAGCACTCAATATTCATGACAACCATATGCTAGCAAGATCATCTAAACTGTCTGGGATGCTAAAGTGATTATTAGATTGATTACCTGCTGCATAAAACAAAATGGTGAATAATATGCTGACCTAATGAAATCATGTGATATCCAGAAGAAACAACCTGGAATGCTCGCCTAATAGGTGCTGCTGCTGCTACTCCACAAATTACATGTCACCGTGTCAATTCAGGAAAGTGGTTTAAGATCAAATCGTCATCATCCCAGAGCCCAGATCTAGCCCTAAGCAAATATGACATGTTTTATAACCTGAAGATCCACCTCTGAGGACAGTTTTCAGGATGATTAGCAGACAGACTTTCTACAAAGCTGTAAATGCACAACTATGGTCAAATGGAGAAAACTAAGATTCACAGCAATACGAGGAATTTTGCAAATTGCACAAATTTCATTGTTTAGAGGAACATCCTCTAATGTTCATCCAGACACCTGGGATTCAGAATTGGAATTTGGACTTGGCAGCAACAGCTGGTTGATGGTGATAAAAGAATAAATCACCCAATGGAATCGACCTAACTCTGACAAACGGTTAGGTCTTGTTCAAGAATCAGTCCCCCATAAATCAGTACTGTAAAGATTAATGGTAAATATGAAATGAGTTATTTTTTATTTGAAATGTGAAGTTTTTAAAATATATGAGAAAATAACAAATAAATCTATGCAGGGATTTTTGTTGTATTTTGCAACTAAAATACTGTACATCTAATTTATTGGCAAGTTGTACTTGTGTGATGTAGTTATATTTAATACATAACATTACTTTATGTTGCCATGAGAAAGAGCAAGTAATTTTCTTTCTATAGTTTTACAACAATTCCAAATATACATTTTTTGTTTTTAAGCCTACAAGTACTGTACCTACTCTTTAATTAGATTCATAGAAATACAGTACACTATTCAGAATTTTGTATTCTCACAAAAAAATAGTTATAACATGCTTATAAAAGGTTTTGCACAAGCATTCAAGTTTTTCTTTGTATAATACAGTACTGAAATATTGTTAATATATTAAGTAGGTTAATTTATAGTGTTCTTTCAGCCTTAAATCTACAGTATTGCAAATTTGAAGACAAAACTCTAACCCAAAAGTTTACTCTGAGTGCAATTATTTAAAGTTCACTGCTTTACAATAAAAGATTTATGCCAAGGGATTAGTATCCTGTTTATTAACCTACAATATAAAGTTCGTTAGCTCAAGATGTTAACAGAAAAATTATAGCATTAAAAATTAAAGCATTTAAAATGAAAATCGTAAAGCGGTTAGGAAACGATCTATAATGTGCAGCTACAAAAAGCCAATGCAGTTAGTAAATAAAGCAGTGTCATACAAAATAAACTCAAACCCTAGCAAGGCCATAGATATTCCTCAGTCCATTTGCATGTCCTATGATACAAGAATTTTTATGAAAAAATTATGAGTGTTAACTCAAAGTGTTCAAATTAAACAAGCCATGCATGTGAGATAAACAAGTGGGAAGACGTTTGTAACAGCAAAGTACATAAAGGATTTATAATGATGTATTTGATTGCAGTGTGTGGGGGGGGGGGATATTAAGTTGGGTCCAGAATCTGGACACCAGAAGAGAATGTTTTGTAAAGAATACAAGAGTGTACAACAGATATTTTATTTCATGGGAGAAACTGAAAGATTACATGCAAGCCTTTATATCATGTTAAATGCATGGGACAATCTGAAAGATTTCCTGCCATGTCCAATGACAACACCCTTTGCAGTTAAGTGCAAAGGAGAACCAGGTGTTAAGAAAAGGACAGATATAAGACCCATATGATCATCAAATGTGAAGTAATGATCAAAATATATTATCAAGTCAGACATGTTCCAAAGCTTAAATGGGTCTACATATTATAAGTGTTGTGTAACGGAGACGCCCCAAGAACTTAAACCGGAAGTTTTCTCCCAAAAACATCACTCTGTGAAAATGAATCATGCTGCATGATGGCAATGTATTGTTTTATGTCTGAAGTGAATCACTGGAGGTGCTATTGATATCACCTTGAAATGAAGATTGCTTTTAAAATAACTTAAATTTCATAATTCATGAAGGCACTATTAATGTTCAGAAACACAACCTTTATGAAGAAACTAATTCCAAAAATAGCCACTACGAGACAAAACAATACATGACAGGTGAAGCTAATTCATGTGAAATATATAAAGAACATTATGCCACTAACTGGATGAAGCTTCCTAAAATGTGTATGTCAGCATGTGACAACAAAACCCTCACTGCCTCAGACATATTTCAAAACAGTTTCTGTACCCATGGCCAGTCTTTTCTGTTGTAGAATTTACTGAAGAGGATGGCAGTGGTGGGTACAAACTGTTTGAACTGTACTTGTCTAACAGTAAAAATTTGTCATTATGTGCAGACATTATTAGTGATACCTTAGTTAGAAAAGTTGACAAACAAAATACAGAAGAAAAAACCAAGACTTCCATTCAACAAAGTATTGATGACTTAGTAATTACAAGTTCAAAACAAATAATATTTTACTAGCAAGCTGTCAGTACCTTAAACCAAACCCCTTACTCCAAGTTAATTCTGTTGTGGCTGGGAAAACCTGTAAGATTTATTGTAGTAGGGCCCATACACCATCTTGACCTCCTGCCTGTAAAAGGCACCCAAAGAAAAGGCTAACTATTACCCTTCTTGGGATAAAAACTAAATAATGAAGCATAGTAACCAACATCACCAATAAACATTAATGCAAGAAACTTTACATTTACATTGACTGAGAAAAGTTTAGCAATGAAACTACCTCTATTAAACAATTGCATCTAATTAAATGTATATCATAACTATGACAAAATGAAGCACTGAATGTAATGAAACGTCCTTTTCTGGGTAGCCTTTTATATTTCTCTAGTGCACTGGCTCTAGTACCACAGGACCGATCTTGAGGTTATCTCGAGATGATTTTGGGGCTTAGCGTCCCCGCGGCCTGGCTCGACCAGGCCTCCTTTTTCCTACACACCCCCAGGAAGCAGCTCATAGCAGCTGTCTAACTCCCAGGTACTTATTTACCGCTAGGTAACAGTGGCATCAGGGTGAAAGAAACTGACCATTTTGTTTCCGCCTCCACCGAGGATCAAACCCAGAATCTCAGGACTACGAAATCAGAAGCGCTGTCCACTCAGCTGTCAAGGCCAATCCCTAGGCACACCCACAAGAATAAGTCCCAAGCTCAAAATTCCAAGCCACTAGGAATGCAGAGCAAAGGGGTGAAAGACAAGCCAAAGGTAAGCTGAAACTACAGGAAACCAACATGCAGGAAAACCCAGTACATGTTGAAAACCCATTGAAACACCAGATACCTAGGATCCACAGTCTCGGTAATCGACTGAAAAAAGAGCCAAGTGCCAGGTTACAGAGCTCAGAGATTGACAGTGCACAGCCAGAAAATAGCCTTACGTACTGTCAGATTACAAAAAGTGCCATAAAGATTTGCCTGAGAATGGAAGCCTGAAGATATCCCCCCCACATTGGTGAGGTACTCATTACCCTGACCACACAGACAGGCAGACATGCAACTCAACTGAACAAACCCTGAAACTCAACAAGAAACACCCAGTGGGGAAAGGAACATGCAGCCATGGAGAATGATAGGCTCTCAGTGGCAAATGAAGCTACTGAGAGCTACTTTAATTTTATCTAGCTAATATTCCATCTTGCTAGTAGAAATCTTAACTACTTAATGAACCTCTACACATCTGGAGGGGGCTTCGGGAGTTCTTATACTTCCTGAGCCCGGCCTTGGGACAGGATAAAAAATAGTTATGTAGCAATATAGCTTGAGCGATGTAGAGTCTGAGGCCAGGCTCTACATAGCTCAATCATGACACAAATAAGCAATATTCGACACTGACACTGCACATTTATGAGATATGCACAACAGTATAAAATACTGTCATTAAGAAAATTACAAATCAAGATCTTCATAGTGATTAGAGGACAGAATAGGGTCATAGAAACTGACACCACATGAGTCGCTACCAAATGAGCAGGACAGTCGAGCCTTATCTATTCCATCAGAAAATACATCACCATGGTTCCATCCTGATAAAAATCCAAGTATATATAATTTCAGGAATGCATTGGTTCACTAGAAGACAGCACAGATATACACATCCATGGGTGCCAACTTCACTATATTCCCAAGCTCATGGAAAACAAAAAACCAAATCAAGTGCATGGCCACCATTTTGAGAATAACTTGGATGGTACCACATTATTCTCAAAATTAAAATCAATCAGTTCCAAAAACTGACAAACGGTTTCAAGAGGACAGAATTAATCCAATACTTTATTTACTATATATCAATAGATGGCCAGTCTCGTTTGCTAAACACTCAAGAAGAGAACTACGCTCATCCATAAAGGAGGAACCTGTGCCACCACTACCAGAGAAACTGAACTTTTTTTGCGAACCAGCTGAACTCCAGCTGGATTTTTTTTTTTTTTTTTTTTTTTTTTTTGCAGGGATATTCCTGTACAGGCCCTAAGCCTCTGGCTGGCCCACTAAGTATTGCTTGTTTCTGTTTTACTTGGGCAGAGTATGAGTATTTATGACTCATATGGTCGCTTCAGTAAGATTTTGCCATACTTTGTGTGTTTAACAACTTTTGCTCTGTTGAATCCAAGTTGAAATCTTAATGGGTTTGCAACTGTGCACTGTTAAATAATGTTCCAGTAGTCTGTCGGGCATTTCTCCAGTGCATGTAACTGCTAACCGGGTAATCCTCTGGTGACAGCGCACTACTACCTCCTACCATAAATGAGACAACCAGCTGAATGAAGGGCACTTTACTTTCTCCAAATATCATGGAGCAGCAAACAACCTCAGAACATGACAAATTTAAAAGGACTTCTTAAGTGCAGCCTCATCCATCTAATAGCAATCTTTTACAGAACAAAGAGAAAGATTACTTCAAAGAGAAATATTACTTTACACTTTGACAACCTGCACCATTTTATTAAGAGAAAATATCTCTCAAGAGATAAAGAGATATTCAGAAACCCCATCCTCAACGACTTTGCAGAGGGTGAGACCCTTATAATCTTTTTGAGTGACATTTGTGTTCTCCATCAATCTTTAATGGTGCAGTAATATCTTAAAAACAATAAAACCTGGATGAAAAGTGGTCCATTAGACTTGCAACACACTTTTAGAGAAACAACTAACACAGCTAGGAGCCAACTTGCTCCCCCAATTTTAACTCATGACTACTGGCACACAAGGCACATATAGGAGGAATATCCTTCAGAGGACATCTCGCAGCAGTGCAGCCAAATCACTGGTAATGGTCGCTCTGAATCACCCAAAATTTGTTATACACCATACATCTGCTCAAACTTACACATAAATGCCATCCATCTTTAACTAACAGCAAATTTAAAGGGCCAGCTTCAGTACTGCTATATTACTACAGAAGTCAAATTAGCCAGACAACTTTTTCCTTCTAAAACCATGCTGTACCTATTATAAAATTTTCCTCAGGGCTTCACCATTTTCTTCATAATTATTTTCTCAACACATATTAGACACAGGGTCTATTAGCTTAGGACATCCTGCCTGTTACCTTTCTTGAATTCTAGTACTGTACTTCATTTGCATTGTTAAAGCTTTCCTCAAGTTCCACAGTCTCTAATGCTAGGACAAAGATCCTAGTTAGCAGACAACAAAATACCTGTACCCTGTAGTTACATTAAACTATAGTGATATCTGGTGTAACAATATTGCCCCCACTGAAAATAGTTCTATCTGGTTTATACTTGACTATGTGTGCAAGGATTGACAGTAATCCTTTTTATCAGGTTTGAATGGGTAGGATGCTAACAAACACCTCAGGAAAAACAATCTAATGCCACATTTGAATCTTTTCATAAATTCTTCATTAACACAGCATTATGAATAGAAAAATTACAGATTAACAAGATTAGAGTAATTCAACATTCTAAAAAAAGTTGTACAGTACCTTTCAAAATTTACAAAAGTTAAAATTGTTTCTTCATATTAGTTATCACTTTAGTATAAAATACTCACTCTTTCCTTTTGGTTGCTATATTGGAGAGCATGGAATTGCCACAGAAGAATGTTACTATGCCAACCATGAGTAAATAACGCAAAGTAGAGAACATATCCAGCTGCACCCAGAAAAGACAAAACAGTCCCAGAATTCCTGTGGAAAGAAGAAAGGTAGCCATAAATTAGTGGTCAAAAATGAATATAAAAATTACAATCGTTTTAGTTTGTAATACTTGTAATCGATGAATATTTGTATTCAAAGCAGTAGGTTGGCAACATTGTCTCATACCATTTTTGATTTGTTAATATGTATAACTAATAATTTATACTATAAAATACAAATAAAGCACATACCTGCAAGGCCAATATGGAACAGAATAGCTGTAGGAGTTAATGGGAAGTTGGAGATGTTGACACCCAGCTTCACCCACTGCAATATAAAAAGATATTTGAACATGACTAAAAATAAACCCAAACTAATTTTCTAATTTAGAAAAATGTCTACACATTACGTCACTGAGATTTGAGCAATACTTCTTTGACAAATTTTAATAATAGTCATTATACAGAGGCTGTATAATGTTATACATTATACAGATGGGGCTGCTCGTCAACCGAGCAGCCCCATCTATGAGCATTTCAAGTAACGAGCGAGCCACTCGCAGAAAATTTGTCTCAATTGACGAGCTTCCGCTCGGTTGCTTTTCTTTGTTTTTTTTTGTGGTTTTGTGACTACAATTTGTAACCACGATGTCGCCAAAGATGCTGCTTGCTAAAGAAAGTGATGTCAAGAGGAAGAAAGACACAATTACTGTAGATTTGAACAGATTAATTGTATTTCCATTATTTTAAATGGGAAACTTTGTTTCGTGAGACGATCGTTTCACATGACGAGCTCGGTGCTGGTACGGATTAAATTCGTTAACCGAGGTTCCTCTGTATAATGATATAATTTATAATACTATAAATTATAAAATTATAATGATTTATACTTAAGTGGTAATTAACTCAAGAGTAGAAAATTCCCAGAGGGAACATGGTATCAAAGATAATAAGATATACTGATGCATAATTATATGGCAGCTACCGACATTCATCCATACACTATTTTTTATGGAGAATGTGTCAACAGAGAGGCTCATATCAACCTAAGAATATATTTATTACTACAATCAACTAATTACAACATAATAAACATGTTATTTATGATCCTCTTATTAATAAGCAATTTGTTTCACCTTGCATAATATTCTGGATGTGACCAGTTATTTATGAAATAAACATCATCTAGCTATTGTATCTACAACGCTTGTCAGCATCTTGTTATTTTGATGCAAATTTGTCATTATTCCAACCCATCCTCCTGTTTAGATGGTACTTTTTGTAACTATGTGCAACATAGTACAAACATTGATGTACTAAGCAATCAGATACTAGTATTTTGTACCATTCACTTTATAAGCGTCCAAAAAATGAAGCTAAGCAACAAACAAATATGCCTAGGCCTAGTACAGTACACATATGTACTATATTAGGCCTCAGATAGTGTGTATTAGGACTAGGAAGGTTAGGTTAGTTTAGTTTGTCTTTGCAACTCGAGTAGAAAATAGTTTTCCCATTTTGTCCAAACTCAACAGGATTGAGTACGTTCGATTGAGTACAATTAGATTTGTACTTTATAATTGCGTTGTATGTCGGTATATGTACTATGGTCCTCATCCTTCATATAAGTATTACCAAAACAGTAGGATGGACTGCCTTATTCATAGCTCTCATTATAATAAAATATGTGTACAGTGCAGCAGTATAAATAATTTTTCTTACTTCATTTAGAGTAAAATTATGTGAATAAAACACAATGGACATGGATAGAGAAGCAAAGCAGCTTTGGAGGCAAGACTAATAGAAATCATTTGAGAATGTTATGCAATCTATCTCAGTAATTTTTTACATTTTTGAAAAGCTAAGAACGTACGAATTCTGACTATTGACGATCGTCACAATAGGTGCAGTACTATCTAAACAGGAGGATGGGTTGGAATGCTCACATTGAGAGAAATCAATAAAGGTACAAAGTAAGATCTGGGGGCTGACAAGCAATTGTAAACAGAAGGCATGTAGCTGGGAAGACTATGAGCAGACAAGTAGGGTGAGGTCAGATACTCGAGGCTCGAGGAAGGTGGTGACTGGAAAGGCACCCAAGAGACACACAGGCCAGGCAAGGAGGGAAAACATTCAACATTTAACATCCCCCCCTCACACAAACTGAGGGACAGCTGGTACCACTGTTCCAAGAGTATAGTACTCTCGTTAATATGAGCTTTGTTTACTAGCCCAATTTTTCTTAACTAGCAGTCATCCCAGTTACTGAGAGAAAATCATCCTGATATAATAATTACATATTACCATTTACACTTTGCTGTTGTACACACATTTTATTGATACTTTTCTAAAACTATTTCGAATTTTATAGTTTAAGAAATGCCAATAAATATAGTCGTAAATATGAAAAAATATAATAGTGCACTTACTATAAGTAGAAGTAGCAGCAAGGGCAAGATACACAAGACAGTAAAGGTTGTAGACATGACAGATGACGGCCTTGGATCAGGACTACGGAACACATGGTTGATTTCTGGACGAACCTGCAAACCCATATATTCTTGGTAAATGAACCATTAAAGGATTTTAAATTTGAGCAAGTCATTACACCATATACTGTACTGTACAAGAAAAATATAAGAATAAATGCAAAAATTAAAGAGGGCCTGTTATATGTAGATTCTCATTATTATTGTTACTGCTGCTGCTGGACAAAAAAAGTGCCAAGATTCCAAGTAAAAAATAACAAATATTTATCTGGGGATCAGGAGTTATTGGTTCTATCTGTGGCATTAAATATTATGAAGCTAGCAGCAAGTGGGTGAAATTCAACACCAATTATTTAAATCTCGTGGTGCACGGAAACATCAGTTTGTATGATTTGTTTGATCATCTCTGTTGGTAAGGAGATCCAACTAATGGAATCATAGAAGTAGATATATATATGCATCACCCTATAATTAAGTTATATCTTTATTGAAATCCAGCATCTGACAATGAGCTTGGGCATGTGTGTGCACACGTGTGTATAATGTGCATAGAAAACCTACATAGGACCATAGAGGTTTTCATGTGCACTGTGCAGAAATAGCAGGATCTTTTGAATCCAATTTAATGCACATTGGCATGGCTAAGATTGCCCATATTCATAATTATTTCATGTGACCCCAGCTGTCATGAGAACAGCCAGCAAGTCAACATTTATTAACCAAGATGAACAAGGGAGGCCAACAAACGACTGACCAAAATTTTGTCATAACCTATGGTCCATGTAACTTATTAAATTATCCACAGTAACAAACTCTTTTACCTTGTATGTGTAATCTTGAGGTGATGAAACAACAGTAGATTCAGGGAAAGTGAGTGCCAAGTCAGCAATGTGCCAGAGGGTGGGGTTACTGATGGATGCATCACCAATAATCAGCTCTATGGAGTACACCCCACTTACTCCTCCAAATTCTTTCATGCTGTTACTCACATCCTAGAAAAAAAAATTGACTAGAAATAAAACATGTATAAAACAGCATCTACATAATCAACTCCAAGTAGGCACTGTCAAAAGCTAATATCAAATTAATCTGCTTCGATTAAATTCAGCATTTTAAAGTCTTAAAACATATACACTATATCGTCTATATATAACTACTGGAAGCAGTTATGCATTGATGAAAAAAGAACTTAAATTGCAGTTTGCAGAAAATTAGTTTCTAGTGATAAAAAAAATTCATATAAAGCAAATTCAATAACACAGCACAATGTATGGAAGTAATCCATATGTATCAAATTTATGAAAAGTCATGTGCTAAAATTGTGTAGCAATGCACTTCATTACCCCGCAATAAAAGACAAATTTACAAAGAAATAATGCACTTACAATATCAAATTTATAGATGTCATTTGAATCTGTCTCTGCAACAAAAATAATCTCGCGCTTTGAATCGATATGAGTAATTTTCACAAATGCTTGATGAACTTCAGTGGGTCTCCCAGATGCAGTGTCTCTCACCAAAAATCGCAGCATCACACGCTGGTGTTGATCAGCTAGCAGGACATCTGAGAGGGTATTAGGATAATTCACCCTGAAAAAATGCAAATAAGAAAATTTACTATGCAGCTCAACACAATGTAATCAATATTAACTACATGTATAGTTTGAATGTACGAAAGTGAATAAAAGCAAAACTATTTACAATAATACTTGTGTAAAGAAGGAAATGTACATGTTTATCTCTCAGAATGTTTGGTAATATGTTTATTGTTTGTGATGTGTGTCTATGTATTAACACGATGTACTGAACGAGGTGAGAATAGCTTGAGCTACCTCATCCCTTTGTGTGTATTTTACCTCAATAAACTTATTTCAATTTCAATTTACAATAAATACACACAAGGACAAGAGAATATGCTGGGTAATAGTTCTCTCATAGCTTTTGTTCTCCTAATTCAGGTGCTAACTTTGTCACAAACTTATTTACATTTTGAAGTTTCTATTTGGATTCCACCAGGAACAAACTGCTGGCATCCCATATGTTGCTATGTTATGTTATTTCCCTATCCCCATCTTCATTACAATGCATTTGTTGGGGTGTAACTCTCCAACAACCATTTGTTTGCCTACTCTTGGAGTTTTGACAAGATTTTCTGACAGCTACAGCCCTCTTGCCTTTACTTTCATTATTAATTTTGCTTTGTCTCCAAATATCAACATATACGAGCTCACTCCCCCGTGAAGGTCATTGACGTATAAAAAGAATGGTAATGGTTTTAGGATCAAGTTTTGGGGATACTTTCTCGCTTCTCGTATGACTTGTATTATATGTGACCTGACAGTGGATTATACTGAAGATGCATATTTATACTCCAAGCAGACTAGTTTATACACTGCAATTTACAGTAATGATCTACTCAAATTTGTCTAAATAATCAGAGACAACAAAAACTGACACAAATGACTCATACAGAGGCACAAGAGAAACATTATATACCCATAATATGTATGAGCCCATTGCACATACCAGAAGTTTTAAAATGAAAACAAACCACTTCTGCTTATGGTCCCCACCTGCCCAAATGACATGGAAATCACCAGTCAAGAAAACCACTGGAAAGCTCATAATAATGAACAATATTATAGTGTTGATCATGGTACCACTTGAGCAGGGAAGGAGCCTGGCTGTTAGCAAGAGCAAAACTAGAAAAGAGCAAATATAAAAATGTACTGACTTTTGAAGAATTGGTGCCGTAGACTGGTCAGAATCAGCAGTTCCAATCTCCACTCCTTGGATGTCAATGGCAGTAAGAACTTTAAAGGTGAGCTGAGCAGCAGCGTGGCCAACAAGGCGAGAGTCTTGAGCATCTACACTCACCACCAAACGATAAAATCCTCGGTCAGGGCCTCTGGACATAACATCTAGTTCGTAAACACCACTGTGGGTTATGGAAGGAAAAAATTGCATTAAATTTTATACATTTGTTAAGTCCAGGTTAGTTTTAAAAGGATTATTTAAGATACTAAACATACATACATGTATGAATGTATGTGCTGTACCTAATAAACCAAGTTGCCTAACAATTTTCCTGAAATATTATACCTGTATATATTTTTTTACATTATTCTTATGGAATGATTAAGCTTTTCATTACATTATACATGATTTGAATTTGTTTAATTTATACATTTTGTACTATTAGTTGCTTTCAGAGAACTAGCAATATATATAAATGCACTCATGAAAATATTATTTTCTTTAAAACATTCCTGTCACTAGAAGTAGAAACTTGTAAAATATACAGTACTGTATAAGCAATAATAATACATAAGGTTCCAGATAATTACTTATTGCATCGTTAAATTAAATTATGGCAAGACTTACTCCACTGCTGAGAGAGGCACTAGAAGCTCTTTTGATATGATGACTACTTCATCAGAAACTCTTGTTGCAGAATCAGCAGTCACCTTCAAGGGTCCCAAACTACTACCTTTGAGATCTGTCACTCGCACCTATTAAAAATAAAACAAGCATTACTAAAATATCACTAAAATTCAACACACGTCTACTTACCCATAACAAAAGCACCAGCAAAAATGCCTATGGTATGAAGCAGAACTCTAAGAGCTGAATCTTTTCCCCATAGACAAATTAGATAAGCACATTTTGATTTAAACATGCATTCTTAAACTGTCATTTAACCTACAATTTTGCATTTTACTGTACAGTACTAGTTTAACACATCTCTCAAAAGAATACAGTAATACATCTATTACCCCATGCATATTAATATTACCCATATTACTCCATGGCAGAATGTGTGCATTTACTCTTAACATGTCCAAAGCAGTTCACTGCCAAGAGAACTTGCCTGTATTTGAGGAGCCTCAGCACTTACAGCAACATTGCTTGCTAAAGTAATTGCCACTGGAACATGGAACCTGAAAAATAAGTTCAATTTTATGTTACTTGTTTTGGCTTGTTAGTTTTTTAAGCTTTAAATTTATTCATACATCAGACAAATTTTAAAATTCATTGCAGTGTACCTTGGTTATGATCAAGTAACACCTAGAGCGGCCGAAATGCTGTGATAGTTCTGACAATCAATTCATCTTGAACATGAAAGCTAAACACTGCTTACAAGACTAAAAAGTATATACTGTATGACCAGGTATAATCAGAGTTAATGGCATTTTTGTGTTTCATCCAATGATGCAGACCCAAGGCAGATTTTGGTTTTCACTGTTGGCTGGACATTGGTAACTAACATGATATGTGAGACTATCTTGGTATATCAGTAGTGAGAACCATTTCTGGTAAGAATATGTTAAATAAAAATAGGTGTGAATATTCATTAATTTGTGACTGGTAATCAACCTTGATTTCTATCGAGGTAAATACATTCGATGTCTCTGGTGCAGAACATTTCTTTCCTGTGGGAAAGGGGATATAGAGAGACAGAGAAAACAGTTTCCCTTTCAATGTTTCTAAAGTTAAGCTTGTATTTTGTAGATTGGAGTTTTTAATATATGTGCCTATTTTTTTTATATTTCAGATTTATTGACAAGTTTAAAAAATAGATAGGGAGATGATAGCTGTTTGGATACCGGCTGCATTACATTTATTTCTCATTTTGATTTGCTCTATTTCTATGGGACTGATGCCTCCCAACCCCATGTACAAAAATGGGACAATGATTATTATATAATGATGCAAAATCAGAGTATACAGTGGATAGCAACCAAATTAATCCTGGGCATAAGAAACCATTCTTACAAAGATATCTCAATATATATTTCTAGAATGGCATATAGAGTAAGAGGTAACATGATTCAAGTATACAAATGGATGAAAGGCCTTAACAAAAGGGATACATGAAATAATACTATTCAGTCAGGAAAAGTTATGATAAGATTACCGATATGTAGAGCAAGTTACAAGATATATCATGGAAGTAAACGCGTTTGATAGCTTCAAGCATAGGTTGAATAAGTAAAAATTAGTATGAATGGTTGAATATAAATAAGATCTAACTCAATTGGGCAAATCGACCATCTGCAGATTTCCTTTTTTGTGTGTTTTTAAAGATGACACAAAATTAGTGTACTGGAAATTTTTAAATATTATTCATTAACTATTTAAAACTGACAAAAAACTTACTTGTTATTTGTAAACATAGATACTGCCTCCAGCAAATAATATACACCTTTGGACAACTGGACAGACTTCCGAGACATGAGGTAATTTGCAAACTTCACAGCTTGATCTGGCTTTATGGGCGGTGCTTTTCTTGAAGCTTCTGCCAACTTGTACGCACCACTAAGAACTAAAGCTGTGGACAAAAATAAGAATGATTTAGTATTTTAAGCAAACTTAAAAGATAGTATTGTACCATAAATACAAAGAAACTATTACATTATTGAAGAGTAAACACAATGTCCAAAAAATCCCTCTCATGCTGTATTTTCCATTTTGACCTACTTTTCCCCTTCCTCTCCTATCACCTCCAACTGCTCCCATCTCTCTCCTCTCACCTTTCTCTGACCCCATCCCTCTCCTATCACCTCCAACTGCTCCCATCTCTCTCCTCTCACCTTTCTCTGACCCCATCCCTCTCCTATCACCTCCAACTGCTCCCATCTCTCTCCTCTCACCTTTCTCTGACCCCATCCCTCTCCTCTCACCTCCAACTGCTCCCATCTCTCTCCTCTCACCTTTCTGACTTAATCCCTCTCTTCTCCCCTAACTGCTCCCATCTCTCTCCTCTCACCTTTCTCTGACCCCATCCCTCTCCTCTCACCTCCAACTGCTCCCATCTCTCTCCTCTCACCTTTCTGACTTAATCCCTCTCTTCTCCCCTAACTGCTCCCATCTCTCTCCTCTCACCTTTCTCTGACCCATCCCTCTCCTCTCACCTCCAACTGCTCCCATCTCTCTCCTCTCACCTTTCTGACTTAATCCCTCTCTTCTCCCCTAACTGCTCCCATCTCTCTCCTCTCATCTTTCTCTAACCACTGTCATCCATCATAGCAGTCATTACAATAGTTATTATAATTAAAATACTCTAAAATGGCAAATCAAGCAAGAATTCAGGAAAAACTCAACTACCAATGTCCATACAAATCCTGAGAGAAACCATTCACCTGTGATTGAAAGGCCGCCTTCAAACTGCAGCATACGCCCATCAACTTCATCTGCTTGTACTATGGCATCTTCAATCCTCTCAAAGATACTTCCAACCTCTCCCTTGAGTTGTGCGCCAACATGAAAAGCATATCCAAGGCTGGAAGACAACCCTGGGTCTTAACACATTTGTCAATATTTCTGTTTGATACTAAATATTTTAAAGTCAGTCCTTTTCTTTCTATACTATTTTTCTAATTATAAAATACTGTAAAACCAATTTTCTGCAACAAAATAACATGCAGGCACACAAATTGGCAACAGATCATCATAAACAATGTAAAATTTATTACTTTTTGACTAATATCCTAGTGGCTGGGAGGGAGAGCTTTGAATATTATAGTTTGATGACAATCCCTTTTTAAAGACATAAGATACAACTACTGTACTTGAAATTTATAAAAACTAAACTTACTGGAATTGGTAAATTCATAATTAAAACACTTGTTTTTTTTAGTTTCATCATTCTAACCTTAATACACTGTCATCTTTCTTCAGAGCCATCTGAGTAGCACGAAGGACCTTGGCAGTGTCCAACTCTAACCCAAGATTTGCTGCAGCAGTCACAGCATGGAAAAGCTCTTGAGATGAGGCTCCTTCTCTAATGGCCTCATTTACTGCCTAAAATACAAATTACACAAAATGACAAACAAGGTTACAGGACCATGATGCTACAATGTAAAAAAAAATATTGCATAATTAAGAACTTTGGAAAAATTATGTAAATACTGTATTGTATAATACTACAGATCAACATGTCTGAAATATAATTTTGACTCAACTTCCCACTCCATGAAACAGGGAATAAGTGCTATTACTGAGTATTTAAAAAGAATTGCAAAAGTAAATAAAAATAACAGAAAAAGCTGTAACCTACGAAACAATGACAAAATGAAGTCATGATAGATTAGATATGGCTTGACCACATGAGAACAATCAAGAAAGGTATCCCTGGGGCCTGCATGCCATGGGATACAAAAATGTTGGTGAAAACTGAACTGTCTGCTGTGAAGAGAATTGGTTCATGGGATGGTGATGATAAAGAGGGAGGTAGGGGTAAAATAAAGCTGTGGGGGTTTCATAAAGTGCCAGAAGTGAAGAACTTGACCACTATTGTTTTGGTAGTCAAATCATTTGATAGCAAGAAATCATTGCTTGCAGTCATGATTTGTACAAGCATGAGCCACATGGTTTTACAGTGAGTCAATTGAGACAATTCCTTTTTGAGAAAAATGCAATGATGTCTTTTGGACAGCAACCAGTGAGGAACAGTTATCTCTAGAAACTTTGCAACACTAACTGTGCTTATAGCTCAATTTATTGTATGCCACCTGAAGTACCTCACATTCAAGGAAGGTCTTATTCTAGTGCTATAATAATCACCTCTCTATTCTTTTTCTCTTGTAAAATATGCAAATGCTCATTATAGAGAGTGAAGCTGCATCCTCCTAGACCTACATGATACAAATAAAATCTATGAAAGGGGTATACAATTTTTCATATATTGTATATATAATGAGAAACCCATAAAGAATTTACTTGCACAATGAAATCACAATAACGTGATTCATTGTCTGTTTTGAAAAAGGTTGTGTGAAGAAGGTTTCAATATAAAGCATGACAAATTTTAAACACACATGAGATAATACAATCTTACCTGAACTGATGCAGAAGAAGCTGCTATGGGACATCCAAGTGCTTTACCAGCTGAAGATGCTAAGAAGAGTGTCTCCACAGTTGCACCATCACCAGCTGAACTCTTAACAAAGTTACACACACCCTGGCCAAGGAGAAATTGATCACAAAGGTTATAAAACTGGCAATTATTACACTACTGTATCACAGTAACCAAGAACAGAAATTATTTGCTACAATATAAGGAACATTTAATTAAAAGCAAACAAATGTATCGAGATTATTGCTATTGAACAATTTACTACAGTTTAAAGACATTGAGTTTACCACTAAGGAGCAACTGAAGGAGATATCCACATCTACCAGAATACATCTATGAAATAGAGGGGCAAAAAATGACACCAAGCAAAAACGAACAATGATGGGGTGGACGAGCCCTTGGGGTGTGCCAGAACATTGGCCACTGGAACATTGATATTTTGACTAATACAGTATCTCGGTCATTATTGTGTCTAGACTTGGATGCCATTTTTCCTCTTTGCTCATATAACTGAAATTAAAAATATAGTTCTATTCCAATTTTTAAAAATCCTAAGGTTACCAAGGACCAAATACAATGTTCACATACAAATTAACCACACAATTAGTTCTCACATATACCAATGATATGCATCACTGAAGAAAGTATATTGTGGGGCTCTCGGGTATAGTGTTACTTAAACAATTTGAGGCAGACATCACCTAAAACACAAATATTGCTACTGTAGCTATAATTCATGAAAACAATTTCTAACAAATATCAGTCATAGCACTAAATCAATGCATCCCATTAACAGTACTGTATATAACCAAGATATATACTGTACAGTAACCCCTCAAATCCAGACCCTTATATAACAAATTCTACCCAATACAAAGTTATTTTACTCTCTAAATCTTTCCCTCCCTATCTCCCTCACCTCCCCCCCTCCAAACTCCCCGAGATCATAGATCACAGCACACCTAAATTGGCCAACAAGGATTAGCTTGCAAGAACTTATCTTTACAGAGTAAAAATTATATGTATTTTCTATAAAAATTTCCTATAAATGTGTAGTAATTTCCAATTTAAATATCAAAAAAAGGATCATAAAACATTTTTTAAATGTGTCATTTTCAGAAAAAAAAAACATTAAATAAATACATTAGACCAAAATATTGGAAGACGTGGTATTACTGAACCTATTGGACTACCGTGCACTAGGCCAGATAAACAAGGTTACACTTTTCTAATTTCTTGCAAGTACTGTATTTTCACGAGTGTACTATTCTTGTACTTTTAGTAATGCAGTATTTTTTGTTATATTTACTGTGGTATAAACTGGGAAACAATTTGTATGAATAACTTCTGTGGATGGTCCCAGTACTACCGCCAATGAACATGCCAATGCCATGACACGGTTGTTACTTAAAACACACAGCAATCACACTAACGTGATATATATCAATGAGAAAATCCCCTAGAATTTTGGAAAATTCACTGTTATTCTGAAGTTGGGGCATAAGGTGTAGGAACATTTTGTCCTTCCACCCAAGTGCTTGTAGGTCATACATAAAATCTTGGACTGCTTCAGTAGTGGCCTCCAGCTTCCTGTGATTTCAGAAGAAATCCGGTTGTATGACTTTTGTATGGTGGTCCAATGGTAGAGCTGGCAATGCCTTGGTCATAGGTTCGTGCCACCTCACAGTCCTAGTGGATTTTCTCATGGTTGTTATTTCTTGATATTCAAGGATATTTATTCAATTTTCTTTTCCTTTGTAATTATGTGTGATGTCTGCTAGCAATAGCAGTCTGACTGGGTCAGATAAGAGAAAGAGGCATGTTATCACAGATAAAAATTTTAAATTGAAATAGAATAGTGATCACAGCCAAGAAGTGAGGTGCGGGAATATAACCCCCATGCAAATAATGAACTTTGTGTAATGTGGGGATAGATATCTGGGTAATCATTGTTATACTAAGTGCCAAAATGCATAGGTGAAGTGCTACTTTATGTGGGATCTCAATGAACTGTGCTAGGAGGTTGCTTGTATAGGAGAAAGTTGCTTGTATCCAGCTGGTTGCCAATGTCCAGCTTATGGCACGTAAATAAGCCTATAGCATCTACACTATTTAATAGAATGGAACCACAAAAAATGTTTTTAATTCAACTAAAATACTTCAATAACATGAAAACTTTGAGGTAACAAATAATAAACTTTATGAAAATCTCAATTTTATCATCAAACCATCTGATGACAACATTAACATACTGTGTTATGCTCTATACTTGACGCTAATGTTGAGAGATACATGGTGTTTTATTTCATTTTCTTTTCTATTCAGGTAAATGTTCGTTCCTTAACCCCTGCACTGCACATCTGTTTTTGGCAAAAACTTCATAGTGCAATTGTTAAGGACATATTTTTGTTGTTTTTATAAATGTTCAGGTAAAGTTAATGTCAAAATGTTTCCAAACTCAACTATTTTCATTTTAAAAGTGATGAAAACATTAAAAACACTAAAATATAGCCTAATTAAAACAAAACGGACAACTCTCAAAACAGCATTTGTTGTTTGGCGCAGTGCAGTGGTTAACCTCAACTACTGCAAACCTAGCTCATAAGCGCTTCCATGATATCTGTGGGGTGTGGGACCCCACACCCATGAGTGCTTAGATACATGGGTAACTGGACAAGATTGGACAGCAGACACGAGTTTACAGATGCCTGGTTAAGCGTGCAACTATCAGATGTCCCTGTGGACAGAGCGGCCATGTTTCCATCAACTTAGAAAGCCATCAGTCCTCACTTGATCTCTACAAGGCTAAGCTGTCACCTTGTGTCTTCTCCAGCCACTACCCCACACCTCTTAGATAGGATACCTGTGTTTATTCAGTATTGTTACCGACTACTAATTATTTGTAATGACAATAATGTCTCACTGAATGAACTGGTAGAAATGGAGGCCAATAACACAATTGTGAGTGGGAACAAATACCTTCATTATTTATAGGCCCAAACTGAAAGTACTGTATAGAACTGTATTGCAACTAAACATGCTGTTGTCATTTCCCTTTATTCAAGTTCTCTCAACCTTTCTGTCAAGTATTGGTCCACTCTTCCCTTTCATGATGCTGGTCATCAACTTCTGCCATATTATGGCATTATTTTACAAACCTTTAAAATAACATTCAGTACATACCTCTATATTAGGAATCTCTTGCCCTAAGTGCTTGTAGCCTGCTGATGCATATAAAACCTGGGCGAGGTCGGAGAGTGACCAAGCAGGGTCAAGAACAAGCTTGAGCCGTTCCTTGTCCCCTGGAGTCAGGTACGTGGATGGGGATAGGGCTGAACTCGCCCCCAGTAAGGCCAAAATTACTAGTGCCCCTGTCAAAACAAATACAACTTTGTAAATTACATGCACCTTAGGCTGCCCATACTGTGGCATACATTTATAATATGTAATTGAGCTTACGTGAACTTAAGTTCTCAAAACACTTATCTATGGAGTAGAATATTTCTACATATACAGTGTGTATGTTGTACAGTAAGTGTATGTACATGTATATATGTATGTGTATACATGTGTATATGTGTACGTGTACATATGTACGTGTACATATGTACGTGTATATATGTACGTGTACATATGTACGTGTATATATGTACGTGTACATATGTACGTGTATATATGTACGTGTATGTGTATTCGTGTATACGTGTCCGTGTATATGTGTGTGTGTTGCAAATGTTCTAAAAATGTGTAAGACCATGAGATTACAAGCAGGTTTTGCAAGAGAATGATACACTGCCATTCATGTCCTAATAACAACACACAGTACATGATTATTAAGGTACAGTATATCACATGTACAGCAATTTTTGGGTAGAATCACAAAATAATAAAATACTGTTACCGAAATTATGCACGACATTATGTTATCACAAACATTAATACCGACAATAAAATGTACCTCTAGAAGTCATGCAAGTTCAAAGGCTATATGCAAGAGAATTTATAATGAACATGGGTCATCCTTTAAATACCCCTTCAGCATTATAAAAGTGTAGGAAAACAGCTTTTTTCCATGACTTTTACAATAACTAAGATAACCAAAAACAGAAAATACCCAAATAGCTCTCAGGAAATATCAATTTCCTAGCAGAGGTAACTTACACTGAATTACAAAAAACACTTAACCAATCAACAGAAGGACAAATAAACAGAATACTGTATACAATACCTGAAAACACTAGTTATAAACTTAAATTGTGTGATGAGAGGACAATGAATATTTTTAAGGTGGTAAAAATCACATTCTTTTTGTTTTATTAACATATGAGCAAAATTTTAATTCTGTATCTACTGCCTCAACCAAATGCTGTATGGTCATTGTTACTAGCATCTAGCAGATTCTAGCATCCTGGCCGGGGAGGATTTACTGGGCACAAATCCTTAACTGATGTCTCTGTTTAATTCAACAGTAAAATGAGTACTTGGTTGTAAAAACGATTCTTCGCGGCTGGGATCGTATTCCAGGGACCTGCCGAAATGCTACGCGTACTAGTGGCTGTACAAGAATGTAACAACTCTTGTATATATCTAAAAAAAATGTATCAAATAGCAAGTTTCTAAATATTAAATATACATCTCAAAAAGTAAAGCTACATTTAAAATATCTTGTGGACTTGTAGGCTGACAAGGCCTCTCACGTCCAACTTGCTCCTAACCTTAACTCTTCACCCATACAACCACAGATAGCAAGGAGAAAAGAAACCACAGCAACACCAATTTGCTTCAACAATTTAAATTACACGAGCCCAGTTTTGCATCGGCAGGCAAATGTAAACTAGAATACTGCCCAGTATGGGCAGAGTAATTCCTTTACAAATTACATTGTAAATTCTATACAATCCTGGCTACATCAAATGTTAAACGTGTAAGCATCAATGGGACACAAAAATTACAGCTTTGGGAATCTGAAAAGGTAGTTAACAAAAATGTATGCAAGGAAAGTAGAAGCAAAATGTGTTTCTTGAATAAGATGACAAAAGCTAAAACAGGTGTGTAAAAATCATGTATATATATATCAAGAGCACTGCAACCTTAAGAATTCCAAGCAGTTTTCTATGAAATTAGAGCCTTTGCTCTAACACACACACTGATGGCATGGAGAAATTACATCTATTATCATGTATAAAAAAAAATTATTATAAAAAAACAATAATTTCACCCTAGTACCAATGAGAGAATGCAGAGGTAAGAAACTTATTTATTAACTCGTCATGTGTCTTCAGCCTCCCTCCAGCATGTGAACATACTATGCATGTCTCATTTAAAGCCCCAGGAGTAATTAAGAGGTATAATGTGTAGGAATGTGTGAAGGAGCAGTCCATGTGAGCCGGGCCAGCGGAGGGGGCGACCAATGAGAGCGCTGCTGCGTGTCCCGCTCCGCCAATCACAGCTCTTCCTCGCCGGCGTCTGCATAAACAAACCTCTTCCCCTGCATCTCTCCCTCATTACATTACTCGCTACCTGCTGTATTCTCCCCTCTCGTGCAATAACTGCTTAAACAACACTTGTATGTAATGCTACGTCAATATAATGTAGTATCGTTACAAAACTGGGAGACTTGCGTATTACCTCGTCTCATGGCTGTTATCCCCGTCTGTACAAGTGTCAACAGACTGACTGGCAAGAGAGGAAGATGATAAACGCTTCCTACACGAATAAAACTATTTAATATGTTGGTAATTGACTTTAATCTATTAAATTACTACATAAAGATTGTCTGAATTGTTATTGTAATCATATAACTAGTTTTATTATAAATTTTATTATTGCATACATGGATGCTACTATAAAATTTGGCTTAAACCTTATATTAAATAACAACTAAGAATTATTTCCTTCTAAACATTATTTTTGTTATTGAATAATATATTTATACATTCCAAAATACTCATATGACAACTGAACAGTAATGTCCATTGTATATATGTAATCTGTTGCACCTGAGGTGGCCAAGTTGTGGCGCTTACACTGTTGTAAGGCGTCACATTACAGTACAAGCTCTCTCTCTCTCTTATTTATTTATATATTTTTATTTATTTATATATATATACAAGAAGGTACATTGGGATTGTGAGGATACATAGCATAGTAATTACAGTCTTGTAAAGCCACTAGTACGCGCAGCGTTTCGGACAGGTCCTTAATCTAAGAAACTTATAAATAGGTAAATACTTGCAAAATTTATAAAAATGATAACAGTTACATAGCATGAAAAAAATAAAAGATGAGAGAAAAATTGTAGGTATGCTCTCTCTCTCTCTCTCTCTCTCTCTCTCTCTCTCTCTCTCTCTCTCTCTCTCTCTCTCTCTCTCTCTCTCTCTCTCTCTCTCTCTCTCTCTCTCTCTCTCTCTCTCTCTCTCTCTCTCTCTCTCTCTCTCTCTTTCTCTTTCTCTCTCTCTCCATTCTCTCCTTAACACCAGCTACTAGTACCCATATTCTTCCTGATACATATTTTATTTTATGCTTTTATTTGTATTTTTTGTATTTATACTAATAAAACCTCTATTATGCAAAGCGCTTCGGGCCAAAAAGTTCTTTCATATTAATTTGAGAGTTCTCTTCTGATGACACTTGTTGCCAGTCTTGTTTCATAGCCCAATATTATGTTCAAGATAATATTGATTTACTGTAAGCTTAAAAGACCGGAACTGGAGTGTGCTTATAGGCAGGCTAATTAACATATTAGGACAACCAGACAATTCAATTCAATTTCTTTCTTTATTATGCACCCCATACCCATCCCGTGGGCGGTGGTGTAAAGGATTACAGAGGCACATAATCGGTTCAGGAACTGAACCCTCTAGTTCGTTTAGCTAAGCAAATAACAATTTTCGACGGTAGTTACAAAATTATTAATGTTATATATACATGTTATAGACAACCAGTCAGATGGGCAAGAAAATGCACACAAAAATAAACTTTATCAAGTTCTTGCAGCCCAATGTATGAGGGTATACACAAGATTTTGACTTAACCCGTTTCTTAAGTATGCATATCTAGTAGAATATGTGTATCTGTGTCTGGCTGTAGACTTTAGCTCAAATATTATGCATCCTACCATAAGACAGTCACGTTATCGTTTGATTGTAACCTATTTAGAGTTAGTAATGATGCAGCCCATCTATCGTCATAGGGAGTTGGAGATGATTCAGCTTTTTACAGAACTGTTTTCAATACTTACAAGTACTATTAGGATGGCTAAAAAAGATATTTTAGTTACAGCGAGATATTTTAGTTTACACATCATTGATAAGAGAAAACTATTCTTTTGTGTGGGTAGACTAATGTATTATGCAATTATTTTTCTTTATTTTATATTATGAAGCAACTTTTTCTTCTTTACGATGCGTGTAGTTTACTTAAACTCTTAAGGCTTGTCGATGCAATCATCAATCTTGTCGATGATTGCATGAATTATTCTGTATGAAGCGCGAGTCAGAAGACATGAAACTCCCGTTGGGTAGGTTTAACTTGAGTCTTTGAGGTTTAATATCCTCTGTGGTAAAGATGTAAGGGGTCTGAGATCCACATAACCGCTTTTCCTCCTCACAGTCACTAGCGACAAGGCTGACAGTCACCAGGGCAGCCGTCACACTCCGTCACATCCATATCCAAGAACTGGCGCTGGATTTTCTCGTCATGTGGAGCTTTAAAGAAGGTTTCGCTATTGTGAGGTCATTGTTGTTGTTTCAGATTTAGCTACTAAGAACGAAATGTCCATGTAGCACGGGCTATGGTGAGCCCGTAATTTTTTGTGAGGTCATAACAGAAGCCTTACGTAGACCAGGGGGACAAGGAGGAGTGGGGGGGTTAAAGACAGTATAATATTATTAAATACAACATTCACTTTATCCGTATCTCGCCAATATGTACAAGCAGACTGCATATTTATAATAAAATTATAACAATAGTTGTTTTATTAATATTGAGAAAATTCACTAGTGATGTAAGGCCTGGACCATCACTGACGTAATTGCCATACAACCCAATTTGTACTAAAATGTTGTTGTTGTTATAGATTCAGCTACTCGGAACAAGTTCCAAGTAGCACGGGCTATGGTGAGCCCGTAACTTACCTAGCACAGGAGCGGGGCAAGTAGCACAGGCTATGGTGAGCCCGTAACTTACCTGGCACAGGAGCGGGGCAAATTGTACTAAAATCACAGGTTCAATTCCTAGCCCTGGTGGATTTTCCCATTGATAAATGCTATCACGTTAGTGTGAGTTCTGTGTCATTATTATTATTATTATTATTATTATTATTATTATTATTATTATTATTATTATTATTATTATTATTATTATTAGGTATTATTACTGCTTATTATCCATGGGTCACAAGTCCAGTGTTTTTACAAAACTATTCTTCACGCCTCTAAGCCATTCTCAATTTATTTGATATTGAATCTTGCAATATATGTGGCGTGTAGGCTGCGTAATATGTCACAAGTCTGAGAGAAGCGTATGATGGGCGTCCATAAAGGCTAGGTGTGGGGTTAGGGGGGGGGGAAATACTGAGGAGGGGACGATCCATGGGGGAGAATGGGGAGGTGATCATGTTCAGTCGAGGGAGGAGAAGATTGGGATGCGTGGCGCTCAATCCAAGTCTCTAGGGAGGGGTGAGGGAGGAGTGAGAGAGGGATGGGGAGGGTAGGGAAGAGTGTAAAAGAGAAGAGGAGTACTGGGAGTACTCACCTACATGTGCCTATGACCTCGGCGAAGAAATCTCTCTCCAACCAATAGTAGTTTAATTCAATGACTGTTCTCTCATTGCTACAGTCATGTTTACATATAAACCTGCGTGTTGAGATAGCTCCAACAATTTCTTCACATAATCCATCATATTTATTTACAGCACTTATACAGAAAAAAGTTCTTTCTGAGCTCTCTGTGACTTATGAGTGTTGCTAACTTCTCATATATGCTCCGTCCTTCTCTTCTGCAATTTTACCATTGTTTCTTTGTTTTCTTACTTTTATTCCCCCCTTAAAATCATATATGTTGTTATCATGTCCACAGTTCCTCCCAACCTCCAGTTCCCACAATCTATGGTGACCCCGTAGTGGACTTACCTGGCACAGGAGCGGGGCTGTGGATTCCATACCAGGGCTGCATGCTTATATAGGTTCCGTACAGCCCTTGGAAGGTTCTTTGCCCATGGGGGAGGGGGTAAAAAATAGCCTAAGCTACTCTATCCCTTTGAGATGTATTTCTTTCTTGTCTCAATAAACATACTTGAACTTGAACTTGAACTTTGTCCGTGTTCCCGAAAAGTGTGGAACGTTGGGCAGTTTGGCGCAAGCTGCCGACGTTATGCTCATATTTGTCTATGGCATTTGATTTGTAGCTATGTTGATTATCAGATCTTTCACCCCTCTGTCTGTACTGCTGAAGGAGTCTTCTCACTTCTGTGCCTTTTCTCGTCACTTTGAAGGAGACAGCAAGAGGTAAGGCTACAAGAAGATGTTAAGGAAAGACGAAGAGTGTAGGGAAAAGGTATAGAAGAGGTGAAATGCGAAAGAAAGTGAGTGTGGAGTATAGGAAGGGAGAGAAGAGAGGAGAACAGGACAACCTGAGGGAGGGACGATGGTGAGGGCCCGGGGCGATAATATGAGTCCTGGGGTGAGAGGAAGCTCCGCCGGACGGAATGATGGCTGGAGTTAATTAGTTGATGGAGTCCCCGGTAGGCGGGTCGAAGGGGGACTGCTGCGACGGGAAAGGAAAGACGTGTTCCTCTTAGCTGTGACCTGTATTAAATTTCCAGTCTCGTTCAGTTCAATTTGAAGTTGGCTATCATTTACATAAGTGATACAGCTTAGAATATAAATAAGAACCCATCCCTGCCCTTGTGTGGCAGTGCACAATAGAAAGTTGTTTTCACATATCCACACATTAAAACATTGATTGTAACCATGATATATATGTGCTTCAGCCTACAGTTTAGACCTATTGTCTTATGTATGACCCTCTGTCCTGCGTGACAGTGAATACTAGCATTATCCTCAATTTAATAAGACTATCAAAATCCTCAGATTAGGCAAAATTGTAATTAATTTTGTCAATAAAGATGTTAATAATAATAATCATTTACATACCGCTGCCCGCGTCGGATTTAGCAAAGTTCAGGCAGCGATGATTAGATAGGCTTGTGTTTGATATTCTAACTTAGATAGGCTTGTGTTTGATATTCTAACTTTATATACGATTATAAGCTTAGGAAATATAGAATTTTTATTCTGCAAGATTTTCATTTGTAAATATGTATTAGTCTTAAGGAAAATGAACTGAGGACTCTTAAAACACTCCAGAACCTTCCCCGTCCACGTCACGTGACTTTTTCCAGCCAATCATGGATGACATTATCTTGGTTCGAATATCAGCGAGAGAAGAACAGCCGGTTTTTATATTTCTTAGCAAAAGGACCGACAAGGAATTGGTTCCTTATCAGAGGTGATCCATAAGTCTAGTGGGATGTAGCTGTTCTGCCGTCAGCAAATAGCTGAACGAACGAAGGCACCAATCAGCAAAGGAAGATTGAAGCTTCCTTTGCCTTTCCTACTTCCTTACCTTTCTTCCTTTGCCACCAATTAGTGGCAAAGGAAGAGGCCTTACAATTAAGGTAGAGGCCAGGAGCTACATTCTGACCA